CTCGCGTATGTCCGTCAACGACCAGTACATCACCCTCGCCGGCCAGACCGCTCCGGGCAAGGGCATCGTCATCCAGGGAAACCCGCTCGGCTTGACAGGCGCGTCCGACATCATCTTCCGCCACATGCGCGTGCGGCCCGGCAAGGTCTCTGGGCAGACTATTGACGGAATGGGTATGCAGGGTTCGAACCACTGCATCTTTGATCGCTGCTCCATGGTATGTTTCCTTGCGGATGATGCGATATGGGAGTATACTTGATGCTAAGTAGGGAAAATAGGGCTGGACTATTGACGAGGCTTTCAGCTCACGGTCTGCTTGGAACATCACCTTCCAGCGCAACATGATCTCTGAACCCCTCAACGTCGCTGGCCACAAGAACTACCCCAACGGCACGGCTCACGGCTACAGCGCCACGATTGGCGGTGACGTCGGATCTTTCCATCACAACCTGCTCGCCCACGCCGAGGGCCGTAGCTGGAGCATGGGTGGTGGTGTTGACGACAATGCTGCGTTTGCCGGTCAGCTTGATATCCGCAACAACGTCGTCTATAACTTTGGTATGTAACGCATTAGGCATGCAGAAGGAGTGGTTATTCTAACATGTACAGGTGGCCGTGCTACCGATGGCGGTGCAAAGAAGGTGAACTTTGTCGGAAATTACTACAAGCATGGGCCGGCCTCCACGCTCACCTACGCCCTCAGAGCACAGGTATGAAGGGTCTTCACAGTTCTGCGTAATCCATTAGCTAATAATGCACTCCATAGTACGAGGACAACATGCCCGGCATGCAGCAGTATTACTGCGCTGGCAACTCCATGCCCGGCTTCTTCGATCAGGACTCGGTCCAGTACCCCTCCGGCGACGGCACCGCCACAAAGAACACCACAATCGCCTGCTGGGCCGATGTCAGCTTCGAGCCGGCACCGACTTACCAAAAGTTCTTTACCGAACAGTTCTTCGAGCCCCATGTCGAGACCCAGCCATCGACCGAGGCCTACAAGCGCGTGCTCTCCGACAGCGGTGCCAGCCAGCCCGTCCGCGACATCCACGACGCGCGCATCATCAACGAGACGGCCACGGGAACCGCTGCCTACGTCGGCTCTGTCTCGGGCAAGAAGGGCCTCATTGACGACCCCAAGGACGCTGGCGGGCTCGAGGACTTCCCTACTGTTACGCGCGCCGCGAGCTGGGATGCTGATGGGGACGGTATCGCGGATTGGTGGGATGGATCAACTGGCGGTGATGGGTATACTCCCATCGAGGGGTACCTCAACTTCATGGCTGATCCCCACGCGTACGTGTCGCCTTCCAAGTCAGTCGAGGTTGACCTTGCTGCCCTGGCTTTGGGATTCAAGGAGCCTACGTTTACGGTTTCTGGGGCGAAGAAGGGAGAGGTTACTGTTAGCGGGGCCAAGGCTACGTATGCTGCTGGCGCTGAGGCTGGTATCGATTATCTCGAGATCAGCATCAAGGATAGCGAGGGGAGCACGTGGACTCGGTCATTTGGTGTTGCCATCTTTGCTGGTGCAGAGGAGGCGTGAGCGTTCACGCATGGAGCGCCACCATATACTTCGATTCTCTAGGCAAGCACTCTTCATTCTAGATTAATGGTAACTGAGTCACCGCCAAATGTTTCTCTTGAGATGCTGCCTACTCTTCAGTAAATATCCTGGTCACTGCGATCTTGATCATCGTCATCTGCACCTCACTTCGACATCAATTTTCATTCATCACCAAGCATTGCTATCAAGGAACCAAAGAAATTTATTCCCAACTTTTGATTAAGTACCTTATCTTTACATGTATCTTTGAGGCCCAGCAGAAGAATCGAAGTTTACCCCGCATAACTCATTACATAAATCCTATCCCCCCGATGCATAACGCTATGCTTCATGTACAACACTTACAAATCGGGCACTACGAAATCAAGAAGGAAAATGGGCTGCTGGCCACAGTGAAGGACACATGTCTGTTTATGCCGCTGCTAGTACAGCTGCTCTGAACTTGGGCTAATTGTCCAAGGAATCTTAGGTAGAGGTAGGCTCGGCGCTGAGGACCAGACGAGCAAACTTGTTGCAGTTGCCGGTGCGAGAGTCGCAAGTGGGCTGCGCAGCCAAGCAGGTGACAGTGGAAACCGTGTAGGTGTAGTACCTGGGCGCAACGCTGGCCGTCTGGGTCCGCGTGATGTAGGCATAGCGGTACAGGCAGACGCTCTGGTCAGCGGGAACGGTGGTCGTCTGTGTAATGGTAGCTATGGCCGTTTCCGTAACGGAGGCAGTGATGGTGGCATTCACAACCTCGGTGCGGTAGGCCGTGGTGGGCACGATCTCGGTGGAGTAGATTGTGGTCGGGACCGTGGCGATGTTGTACTGGGTGGATTCGACGGTGGAGACTTCCGTCTCGTAGATGGTAGTGTCCACGACGGCCGTGGCGGTGGTGTAAATGGTGCTTCCGAGGGTGGTGACCTCGTTGACGGTGGAAACGCGCGTTTCCGTGTTGTACTGGGTCTCATAGATGACTGTGGGCACGGTAGTGGTCTCGTCGAGGTAGACGGTGGAGTAGGCCGTCGAGGTGGAATATTCCGTCGAGGGAAGGGTGGTGACGTCCAAGACGGTGGAGTGGATGGTGGTTGGCTCGCCGGTAACGGTAGGGGTATAGGTGACGGTCTCAGAAGCGTCGACCGTGGCACGAGCGGTGCGGGTGAGGGTAGTGGTAGCAGCGGTGGTCCGGACAGTGGCCGTGAGGACGAGAGTCTGGACAGCTGCCGTGGTGCGAGAAGTGTAGGTCAGGGCGAGGGTGGTGGTGGAGGCGGTGGTGCGCTGAGTGTAGGTGAGAGTGAGGTTCTCGGTGGCGACGGTGGTGCGAGAGGTGGCCGTGTAAGTCTTGCTCTCGGTGGTGACGGTGGTCTTGATGGTCTTGGTGACGGACGTGGTGGTGTCGATGACGGCGGTGATGGCCTTGTCATTGAGACCGCTGGCCACAGAGGCAGGAATGGAGCCATCGCCGTTGTTGGCGGCGACGGCGGCAGAGGCAGTGATGGAGGCATCTACGGCTGCGGAGGTGCCGGAGATGGCTGCGGCAGAGACCATACCCGCAATGGGGAGGAGGCTGGCGAGAGACTTGATGAAATGCATTGTTGCGAGGTGGAGTTGTGCAAGTGAGCGACAGAAGTGAGTGAGTGACTGGGGTTGAAAAGAATGTAATCTCGCAAGAGGCAAGTTGTGGGAAAGAGTGTGAGGGGAGGGGATGGGGGCTCGGTGACTGGCTGTGGTCTGGAGAGGCTGATGAGGATAAAAGATTGGGGGGATGCTCGACGATGTTCTGGTAATTATAGGATGCTGGAGATGCTGAGAAGAGATGGTCTAGAACTTGGACCCTGAACCCACGAGTCTCTCACAAGATTGCTTTCCGAGCACGCTTTTCCAGCTGACATGGGATTGCGAGTCAATGTTGAGGGAAATGGCATGAGGCTTGCGTGGGAATGGTGACTATCGCTCGATAGCTTACGACACGCAGACGGGAATTCCGTGGTCCACACTGGCTGTGAATCGTCCAGACTTTCCCATATTGGAGAGTAAGATGGCTGATGACCTGACACGTTGATAGACTTGGCATGTGTAAGTCAGGGTCCAGGGCCTAGCTCGAGAAACGTCGATGGTCCTTCGCACATGGGCCAGTTAGATCTAGGAATCGAATCTCGAGCTCGAGACCACAAGCACTCGGTAAGCAGTAGCTTGCCGTTCCACTGGTACCATGATAAAAGACGATGCCTCTTCAAGTGATAGACTCATCTCCGAGATTGTGGAAAAGAAAAAGTCGGTGGATCTCTGCCTTCACGAGCCACCGAGCCCAAGTCTCCGGAACCTGCTACTTCGAACATAGCTGTGACACCTGCTATGCCATTCTGGTCTAATGCTACTTCTGGTATAAGGCGACGTTTTCTTGTTGATCTGCTGAACTTTCTGGCGTATTTGTTAGTCCACTAGTTCTTGTCGGAGGGGTCTCCCAACGGAGCGGGAAATTGGGGGCGGGAAGTTAAAAAAGAAAAAGTCGCGGAGGGCTCCGTCCGGACGGCATACGGGATGGGGTCCATGGCCGGGCTGTACGTACTCACTCGTTATGTGCATACACCACCTAGCGCTAAAGGAGTATACGCCCTCCTCTTTCACCAGCAGCACACCAGGGGTTGACTCAGGAGAAGGAATGAAACAGCGCCATCTTAGCTTCAACTCTGGTTAGGCCTGAGTCGCTGAGCCGCGTGTCTTGAGCTTAACTTCCGACATGGACCCCTGTTGCTGGGCAAATCTGCGCCCCAGCACCCCCAGACTAAGCTTCTTCGGCTACCTGTGGCTTGCGGCACTCCATGCTTGGTGACTAGTCTCTTCAGCTCATAAACGGCAACTGCAGACTCTTACTTGCTAAGCATCAATGCCTGCCGGGTTCCTGCATGTGATGCATTGATAGAATGTGAATAGTGGCATGAGCACAGACATCGCCTAAGAGGACGCTTCTGCTGTTGACTCAACAGACAAGACCGAAGAGTGAAAACTTAAGCGAATGTTGAATTGCGGTCCACGACAGCGCTGACAACGGTTGATCTGTGAGCTCACACATGGCTTACACGGAAGTTTCCTCCTCGGGTTGTTACGGATAGATCATGTAAGCTCGGTGCATGCAGTGATTTGGCGATGGTGAAGTCCTGAGCAGCATATTCACCAGAGAATGTAACAACTTTGTGCAACCGCCCAGCTTCATTTGTGAGTGTCTCTATCAGGAACACAGAGAATTTGAATATGTACATCGAATCTTGTGAAAATTACAACTCCTCCGGGCACTACTTCTAAGTACACGTATCTACATAGCGTCTTTTTGGGTAAAATACAAAGATTAAATCAACAAGAATGAATTAGGCGACTTGAGTCTAAGAATGAAAAGGTGAAATGTTCGATCAGATGGCGAAGACATGCCTCCGGTTGAATTAGATGCCGTAATTGTGGCTTAGAGCACTTCTGGCGGCGAAGGGGGTCGAGAGGTGGGACTTTCCGGCCTCTCGGCGCCTCCCTTACCCTCTTCTGCTTCCGATAGCTTATCTTGGGCAACAGGAGCTGGGGCAGCGGACGACGCGGTGACACCAGACATTCCCCAGACAGCGTTCCCGAGGTTCTTCGCCACAGCCGAAAAAATAATGATGGACATGAACGGCGAGACGAGCTTGTTGACGAAGAATCCGAGAAGAATCTTGTGAGAGCGTTGACGCAGCGCCGGTTCCACGGCTAAACAGACGCAGAACCAGATAACGGGGAACTGACCCACCACAAGCAACGGGAGGATGTCCCAAGGGTTGAAGGCCTGAATGAGCGCGCGGATGAAGAGGATGGTGTTCAGGACGCGGTAGTATACCAACGTCTGCCGGGCAATATCAATAGCGGCCGCGATTCGCGTGATGAGAATCATGTTCTCGCCGCCGCAGTAAAAGTAGTTGTTGAAGTAGGCGTTGGAACCCCACCGCCGGCGCTGGTGGACGTAGTGCTTGAAGGACTGCGGCGCGACCGTCTCAGAGACGGCATCGGGCACAAAGATTGTCTGCAGCTTGGAGGACTGGCTGAGCATGCAGTACGTCAGACGTCGGTCAGTGCCGAGATTCTGCACCTGGTGGTGGACGACCCAGTCCTCCTTGACGGGGCGCGCGTATTTGGCGATGGCGCCAGCCATCTCCTCGCGGACGGCGACCATGGTGACGCAGCCCGGGAGACAGGTGACTTTTCCAATAAAGCCTTCAGCGCGACGCCGGACGAACTGGCCAAAGGTGTACTGCAGCTGCTGGTAGAGGTTCCAGAAGGACCACTCGTAGCCTGGTTCAAGCTCGACGAGGACGATACCACAGCTGGCGATGGCATTCTTTTCGCGGGCAAGGGCGTTGGCGAGCTTGGCGACGCGGCCTTGGTGGATCACAGAGTCGGCGTCGGTGCAGAATACCATGTCAAAGTTCTTGAACCCGGTGCCTTCGGTTAGGGGAGGGAGAATCGTGCGCCAGATTTCCTCGCGGAGGAGGCGAGTGTATGTGGGCATGTTGTCTCGGGGAGCGTTGAAGAGGTCGTGGGTGAGGATGAGGGAATCCTTTTTGCCGCTGTTCTTGACTTTTTCGATGACGATGACGGGAACGTCCTGCATGAAGCCGGCGGTGATCTTGAGAGTGCCCCTTTTGTACTTCAGGGAGTGGTAGGGGCGTTCAATGTCGACAATGATGCGGGAGAACTCGCGCTTGATGTTGCGTGGCTTGCCGTCTAGGACGATGCACATGACCTGTTTGTGTGGCTCACAACCGTTGTCGCGGAGAGAGTAGACCGTCTTGATTAGCTGCTCCTCGCTTTCAGAGTAAGCTGGAATCAGCGAGAGGATCCATCGTTGGGAGACGGGTGCGGGAGGGCGAAAGTGCTTGTAGATCGATGTTCCAATGAGACAGACGAGCGAGAGCAGCGAGGATAGGAAGTCCTTGCACTTGACGAACAAGATGAAGACAAGAGTAGCTAAGCCAGTGTTGCCAAAGCAAGCAACGGCAGCCAGAGCGATGTTGAGGCAGAAGACGAGGAGGATGAAGGCGATTCGTTGCATCGTCAGCTCCCTAGGGGTGAGCTTCTTGTTGGGGTTCATAGGATCCGAGAGGATCGGCCAGCCGTAGTCAGTGACGAACTTTGAGGGTTTCTCGATATAGCTATCATCTTGGCTGAGCTTGCTTCTGCCCCCGCTTGTCTTGCGTCTGCCGCTTATGCTGGAGTCTCCAGATGAGATGGACGTCCGGGGTGTATTGGGCCTGCTGTCACTGGCGGCAGAATAGGCATCCCATTCACCTTGGCTTCGCCAAGAATTGGGTGTTCCGGGGCGAAAAATGCGAGACGGGGGACGCTCAGTTGTTGAGAATTGTGTGCTAAGTCTCTGTGATAGAGTCTTAATAGTCCCACGCTTCTCATCTGTATGCACAGGCAGAGGGCGCGAGATCTCTGGGTGACCCATGGCGTCCCGAATAGCTTCACTTTCGGGGTGTGAGTGACGACGTTGTGGACATTAGACACACTTGACGTGGTATTGAGCTGTGCTCGAAAAGGAGTGAGAGGAAGCGTCCGATGAGATCAGGACAGCGGAGAGACTGGATAGGACACAGAGTGTCCTTGTGAAAGAATGGCACCGACAATACGTCGGGAGTAAAGACTGGACACCACGAGTGGTGAGGATTGCTGGATGTGAAGTTCGGGATGAGGATGCAGCAAGAGAGGAAGAGCAGAAGGGAAACATCTCGGACTTTGCAAGATGACACACTTTTGATTGACTTGATCGGGGTGATTGCCGCCCCCCGGAGCCTCCCATGCGAGCTCATAGCCACTAGTCTGAGCAGACTCTTGGTATTGAGGCATGTAAGATTACCCATGATCAGCTCCGGCGTGACGCGGCAGAACGTCGGTGAACTGCGAAGATCAAGTCAAGTACTTCTCTGTAATAGCTTGGATTGCCAATGTGTAGTTGGTCCAAGACCATGGGACAGGAACATGATCGATTTCTAATGAGGCCAAGAAGCCGATTGCGTCAAAGTTAGGACTCATACTCGCGGCCGTAGCTCTTCCACCGGTGTCAATCTGGGAATGCACCTCATCTTTCAACACTTGAGCCGGCAAAGAGGTCCTCTACAGGGCAGCTGATTGGCTACAGTACGGCATCGAAATCTCTTCCTCAGCCATATGTCTGAGCGCCTAACAAGATGCTTGTAGCCTGTGAAGCTGTACCCAAGTAACATTTGGTAGACAGCCAGCCAAGATTGTGTAGACTCCCCAACACAGACTAGCCCCAGCCAATGACATGACAAAATCGGGTAACAACGTCGGCAGTAGTAGACAATCTTGGGAAGTGCATAAAGTAAACATCTCAAGTCCGGTCCCTGGTGTTAGCCCCGGGATTGCTGATGTTGAGACGCTGGACACAAGTTAGCCGCAGGCGGCTGAGGCACTATGCATCAATAAGGATCTGTGTAGTCCTTCCTCGTTAGTACCAACATGTGCGTAGGGGTCCACTGCAGCGTCGAGAAAACTTTCCGCAATCCACGCCACCAAACTTGGATTAAGCTTAAATGCCAAGGCCCTACGTCAAGCCATGGCCGATGGGATATGGCAACCCGAAGCAACATCCAGGGATCCCGCGTGTGGCTTCCAGCCCCCAATCTCGAAGCACATTAGCGTCCCCGACGAAGGGAATTGTGAAAATTTGCTGCAATTGCGCAATCATTTCACACAATGCCATGAGGAGTCTGGTGTCTTTTAATGTTAACATCTTGCTAGTGTGATTTTGCCCACTTCCCGGGCTTTGGAAGCAACCAGCTGGGAAGCAATGGAAGGAGGCATACCCAGTGCTGTATTTGACGCCTGTACACATATGTCAAAGCGTGCACTCAGTTGACCGAGATTCTCCGATGGCATATGTATGCTGTCTAGGTTGTCTTGTAGGGACCTGGAGAATTTATGTCAAAATCCAACTATGAACAAATTGTGTGTTTACTGTTTCCCGACAGAGTAGAGCATCCGACGTGAAAGTAAAGAAATCAAGACCCCAGAATCAAGTCTGAACCCTGAAGCTTGGCTGGATCTCGGGGGATCTCTTGACTGCGCTGATCATATCCTTTGCTGGGATAGACGTGAGACATGCCCCTCCAGAAAAGGGACGAAGGATTCGGGATGGGCCCCAAATTTTTGGGCATGGGTTATCCGGGGGACAGTGTTATACTGCCGGGATGCCAAGTGTCATCAAACCTTTTGCTCTTAGCGTCTGCTAGCTGCCAAAGCTGTGCCTGGCTAGCTGGCAGCCCTACACCAGAATATCCTGTATTCGTCCACGGTCCAGGGACATTCAGCGTGGTCCATGCAATCTTGGCAGCTGAAAGTCCCGGAATATGCCTCAAGGATTGATGGTAGCTGAAGTATGTATCCTGGTGCCGATGTCTAGGTTCCCGATGCCGTTGAGGATGTACGTAATATGGAACCTAAATTTCAAGAGTCATCAGGAATTCAAAGAGCTCAAGAACAATGAGATCGAACAGGTTGAATCAACGGTCGACGGCGTATCCATAAGACTCAAGTCCGTCAAGACACATTTCCTTAGTCAACAAACGTTGCACGAAGATACCTGCAGAGAAAAGGAGTTGACGCAGGAACGAGGCAGAAAAAGAAAACATAGGGGCGCCATGTGGCTTGCCTACCGCACTTGTTGCGAAAGGTCCATTTCCCCGTACTTAGCACTGGGTGCTTTAGATGCATATGCGGTCTATCACTCCTCGCTTAGACGACTTTCTCCCGACTTCACACCCCTCCAACATTCGCTCTCTCTCAACTCCCTTCACGCCAAATGCTTCCGCCCACCCCCCAGACTAGAACAACACTAATAGAGTTCATGTGGACTCTGATTAGTATTTTCCTCCGCACCATCAACTGCCGCCTCTCAAAGAGGTAATGAGGCTGAGAATAGGTATGCCTGCATGGTCCCCAAGAACCCCCCCTGGTAGAGTGACATTAGGTAGTGCCCGATCGAGAAATTCGGTTTTCCATGATTGGGGCAGGCAATATGCTTTCGAATACCGCGGGTATCACTAATACGGTCCACTCAGATAAGGAAAAGAAACAAGAAGTGAACTGTGCTCAGATGTCATTGAGTCCGTCAACCGTTGACGGTTGACACACTGCAATCACCAATGTCACTTCTGCAATCATTGGCGGTACGCTACGCGAACAATGTGCGTGCTATTCTGCCAAGAAAGACTACCGGAATTGGGCCATGAGGCTGAACAGCGATATTTTCTTTTGCCCCCTTCATTTCACGATGCAGAAGTTTTCAACTTCATGGCGTTTTCTCGGTCTTGTCTTCCGTATTAGGAATGGCGACAGCCTGCCTATTCCACCATCGTCTTTCGAAGCTGTTCGATACGTTCATCTTTTCGACTGACTACGTGGAAGAGGAAATTTGCGGCACATCTTGGCGGGATGGGGCAGAGTTGGAAAAGTTTGATGAAGATATTTACGCAACTTCGATTTGCATCTTAACGCACTCCTTTTTTCGGACTCGAAGATTTCCATATAATCCCATCTCAAAGTCCGCATCTACACCCTCTTGTTTCTCATCCACTCACACAGTAACATAAAGCAGTATCATCTTCAGATCGACACAGAATCATATAGCTGTGATATTTCTCCCTTATCTGGCTTCATCCCTTCGACCTCACTTCCTTCTCTTCCTCATTCTCACAAGCCTTCTTCAAAATGAGGGCCACCATCGACAAGCCATCTTTTCACAGCCGCAGCCTCTCTGTACCGGCACCTCCTACACCTCCCCCCGAAGCACTGGGCCTCAACCTCCCCGGCTTCGACACCTTCAAGGCCAACTTTGACCTCCCCCTCACACCCGTCACACCGCCGCCAGAGTACAAGGAGCACCCTTTCGCTCACAATGACCGCGTCCTCGACCTCTCTCCCGTCGTCGACCCCAATGACCAACCCCTCGTGGCCGTCATCGGCGTCGGCTACGTCGGCACTCACCTTGTCGAGTCATTTTCCGCCCACTACGACGTCCTCGGCTTCGATGTGTCAGAGAAGAGAATCAGCGAGATCCGCGCAGAGCTCCCCAGTGATCGCATCCGCTTCACAACCTCAAAGACAGACCTCCACGAAGCCACTCACTTCCTCATCTCCGTCCCGACCCTCCTCAAGGCAGACAAGTCCATCGACACCTCCTACCTCCAGTCCGCTATCGCCACAGTCGCCCAGCACGCACGACCGGGTTCCACCGTCGTGATAGAGAGCTCCGTCGCAGTGGGCATGACACGCAGCCTCCTGGGCCCCGTTGCCACTGCCCACGGCTTCTACGCCGGCATGTCCCCAGAGCGCGTCGACCCAGGACGCATCGAGCCCCCCTGTCACGCGATTCCCAAAATCGTCTCGGGCCTCGACGACGAGATCCCCGGGTCGCTGGCCTCGGTCATGCGTCTCTACAATCAGGCCTTTGACCGCCTCGTGCCCGTCAGCCGCACAGAGGTGGCCGAGATGATGAAGCTCTACGAGAACTGTCAGCGCATGATGTGCATCGCCTTTGCCAACGAAATGGCAGACGCCTGCATCCCGCACGGCATCGATCCCTACGAAGTCGCCGCCGCCGCGTCCTCCAAGCCATTTGGCTACATGCCCTACACCCCTTCCCTCGGCGTCGGGGGCCACTGCATCCCCGTCAACCCGTACTACCTCCTCTCCAACAGCGCTTTCCCCTTGCTGGAAGCAGCCGCCGAGAAGATGGCTGCACGCCCGGCCGCTATTGCCCGCCGCGCTATTGATTCGTTGACGAGAGACGCCGAAGCTGGGGCTGCTTCGGCCCTGGTTCGTCCTCGTGTCCTCGTCGTCGGTGTGGGCTTCAAGACTGGCCAGTCTGTCCTGAGCAACTCGCCGGGTGTTGATCTCGTCCAGGCTTTTGTCCGCTCCGGTGAGGTCGATGTCATGTATGCGGATCCCCTCGTCAAGCAGAGCGCTGTGCCTGTTGCACCTCGCCTGACTGATGAGAAGTGGAACCGGGAGACCCTGGAGACGTTTGACATGATTATCGTCGCTTTCCGCCAACACGGGTTGGACTTTGGTATCATGGACGAGCTTCGTGGCGTCAAGGTTGAGATGTGGTGCCCGTAGTTTTCTCTGTGCCTTCTTATTTTCTACTTAGAGTTCTTTCCCCCGGCGCTATTAGAGAAGAGGTCAGGTGTTTATGATTCCTCTTGTTAGCATTGGTTTGTGCCGATGGACTGGCGGGGCAAAATTGCATAAAATGAAGGCTTGGATAAGAGTGTAGTCATAGACGAAGACGTGCCTTCGATGGCAGTCCCAATAATAATCATAATTGTTCTCAACGATGTGCTCGGGTGATACAGTGAGCAAATTTGGTACTGGCGTCCGTAAATATAATCTTCGTGGTTGCGGACGGCAAACATCATCGATGGCCCAGACAAGGCATAGAGGTTCTACACTTCACATCCCATCGACGTCAAACACGTAGCAGCATATTGCAACCGATACTAGGAATGCATGAAGTCCTACTTTGGAAATTTCCGGATTAACTTTGGGTTGCTTTTGAGTTGTTTACTTGGTTGAAGAGCCTGCCGCCAAAGTAGGTCAACTTTGGGAAAAAACTAAAGGTTATAGCTTGACGTTTTCCAGCACTCGATCAATTATTACATGTACTGATATGACCGTTCTCTATATACTAATAGCTGAATCACATCATCTCTTCAATTATTGGAGTGCTAAAGACATGTTCCAAAAAGTCTTAGCCAGAGTGGTGGTCCAAAAAACCTTGCACCTATCGATGTAGTGAAATGTTTCGAATAATGGGATTACTGCGAAAAACTAGAAACGACCCGAAGAACCAATTCAATCGTGTCTTCTGTTTATCCATCTGCATTCTTAAGACCAACAAGAAAAAAAAAGCCAAGCACGTTCGACAACGAGCCACGGCCAAGTCCGCTCTCATCTCGTTCCAACGACAGTTGGAGTGACGTGATGATTCCCCGGGGAATAAAACAAGTCACCGGATTTCAAACCCCCCAAACCTATTTCAATCGCAATATTTTATTCAATCTACACCTAGAGCACCCAGGGCACGCATATTTAAAAAATACCACGAAAAACCAAGTATCTACTTATGTAAAGACGAGAACACACACCCGGGCCGCGATACCAAATCTCAGCTTCTCGCAAACCATCGTCTTCCAAGGTTGGAGATTTGCCATGCTACCTTATGTTCGGCCCCACCGACACAGGAAAGATTCCCCGCCATCAGGCCCTCGGATAGTTCCGTAGCATCATGACAAACTCAATCACAATACTAATCTTCCACCTAGACCCAATCCTAGACAGAATCTAGATACCAAATCCGCATTCTCTATAGACAAAAGCCCCAACGTTCCATCCCAAATAATCCAAAGGGGCACAGACGTCCATATTGATGACCCATCCGATGTATCTTCCACCATACTCACCAGCCAGGAACATCGTTGAAAAAGTCCACGTCCCAAGGCAAAAGTTGAAACTCCTGGGTGGGATGAACCGGTCTTACATGTACACACGTCAAGAACAAGAAACAACCCAAGGATCAAAGCTCGACGTCACATCTCAGAAGCTCTCCCTCTGAAACTATTCCTGAGAAGCTACCCCTGACAGGAAATAACACAAGGGGAGATGGCATAAAGGAGAAGGAATATTGATTTGCGTCACCCAGCATGTGTGAAAAGCGTGTTTCTTTTCTCAGTCAATTGTGTCTACATCATGGGTATCGATATAAGCACGCACGCAAAGCAAAACAAGAAACAGAGAAATGCCATGCTGTGCTATGCCATGCTGCGCTATGCCGCGTTAAATCCACTCTCCTCCTCGGCTTCGTTCCCGACTCTTCCCTCAAAATCCCATGCCCCCTTTTCAGAACTCCCACTGCTTGATTCAGAATTCTAATTTGGGTTTACTTCTTCACCTTGGGCGAAAGCACCTTCACACCCTGCGCGCTATCCCACACACTGGCACTCACCCTCGCGGGGATCTTGCGCCCCCTCAACCTCTGATCAATCAACCATAGGCCAACCACAAACTCAGCCTTGCCCAGCATCCCCCGATGGCTTCGGTCCACGGCATCCCACACCTCGGCCAACTCCTCTTGCGGCAGACGCGAACGCCGCCAGACCTCACGCGCCACCACGTCCACCACACAGTCAGCTGCGTCGTGAGGCAGTGGAGCGCCGCCGAGACTCTGAAACGTCAGCCCTGTGGTTGAGGCAGAGTCGATCAGCAGCACGCCGCGGTTACTTGCCCACACCGCCTCATACCGCCTCCGTTCGCGGACTGTAATCTCGTCACGCCATCGCCGCCGTGCGCCCTCCTTGTGGGAGTGCTTGTTGCTGGCGCGCTGATGCTTCTTCTTGCGGATCTCGTCCTCGTCGTCTGATTTTGACGGTGGCTGGCGGAGCGTCTGTCGCATGCGCGGTGACTTCGTGTGGTTGGGCAGTTGGGGTGGGGACAGCGTAGAGTTGCCCGTGTTTGATGGTGTCAGGCGGGCGGCGGCGAGGGATCCGGCCATGATCGCGTTGGAGAGAGAGTTCAGCGGTAGACTCGTAGTCGACGAGGCGGGTGTGCGTCGCGGGGTTGTTCGGCTTGGTGAGCTATTTGCTGGTGAGCGGCCCGGAGTGCTGTGCGTAGAGTTCGTTTGCCGAGGTGTCGGGCGAGATGGGGCGTATTCGGGAACGGCGGTCTGGTTTGACTCTGCCGAAACAAACGTATCATTAGAAGAGCTTGTGTCGGCAGTTGAAGGTCTTGGTCCAGATTCTGAACGACGAAACGGCTCCTGGAAATGGGCATGACCATAGACTGATGCCATACTGCGAGGCTTCGTCAGTGGGGGAGGTTCCCGTTCTATTGATTTCGTACCCCGTGGCTGAGGTGGCGTAGGCGGCTGTACCCTGGCCTTTGATGCCGGTCTCTTCAGCTCGGGAGTAGCGATCTCATCACCTGGTCGTTCAACCAAAGGAGGCGAGACAGGTTCCACCGGTTTGGCCTTGGCCCGCGACCTCCTTGGTTCCGGCGTCGTCGGGGGCTGCGCGACCTTCGGCTCCGGCATGAGCGTCTGTGTGATGGGCACTCTCGTGAGCTGCGACCTCGACCGTACTTCCGGCGCCTCTGAAGCTTTCGATGACATGTTGATTATCGTTTGACGCCCCCTAGCATGCGGAGACTGCTCTGTGACAGTCTGCCTGTGCACAGCCTTAGCCGGTGACAGGACAGGTTTCGCAGGCGATGACTTGAGCGTAGGCTTTCCCGCCTGCGGCGTGATATCTCCCTTGGACTCCTCCTTTCTAACAACCATATTCGGCGTGACAGGCCTTGGCTTGACCCTAGGTTTTGTCTTCGACACCGCAGGCCTCCGCTCTCCTTCGCCGCCCTCCTCATCAACGATACCCATCCTCGCCGCCTTGGCACGGGCAGGACTCAACTCCCTCTCAGGCGTCAACGGCCGAACCTTGGGCCTAGCAGCAACATCCCCACCGCTCCTCTTTACAGGATCAACATCCTCCCCTTCTCCTCGCTCAAACATGCTTATCAGATGACCCGTTGCGGGGATGGACGTCTCGTCTGGTAAATCGAGGCTGCTCACCACGCTCTCCGTCTCCCCGACGCTGCCTCGCCTGTTCTTCCTCGCGAGCTGCATCTGCTGGAGCTGGTTTATTTGCGCGGGCGTCAGGGCGGATGCGGCGGGACTCGCGTGCGGCTGCGGACTAGGCGAGGCGCTTCGTGAGGCGGCCAGCGTGGCGGCGATGTAACTCGGGCTTTTCGGGTCAAGCCGCGTCGTGTGCGGTGTGAGGTGGGATGCCGTCGACGAGGCTGCTGGGCTAGAGGCGAGGAAGTTGGACAGACGGTCTCGCATGTTAGATGTGCCATCGCGGCCGAAGCGGCTGTCGCCTGGGGTCGTTGCCAGGCTCGCGCCCGTGTGTTGGCGTTGTACTGGGCTTGTGCTCGTACTTCGGTCGTAGTTTGACGCGGCAGAGGCGGCGATGAGGCTCGCACCGCGGCGACGGGTGATGTTGCCGGCATTTGGCGTAGGTTTCGGGGGCGGAATGGGCTTCGGTTTCGTCTTGTTGAAGGCGAGGTTCGCGCCTTTTAGAGCTGCGGCTGCATCGGAAGCGCCGCCCGAGGGTGGGTGATGGTGGTGGTTGTGGTGGGTGTTCATCATCATGGCGATGGACGACCGCGCGATGGTATTGTAGTGGCAGACGGCAGCATCGGAGGGCTATTGAGATGTAGTTGGAATATGTTCGATCAACGGAGCGTGGCTGTTTCGGTCATCAATGGAGCTTCGTGTTCGTCGCGGGTGGTCGAGGATGATTGTCGGTTCGAGCAGAGGACGCACAAGGGGAGGGGTCGAGGGATCGTCGTCGGGATTGGATACAGGTGCAAGGCCACGAATGACCTTAACTAGGCAGATAGGAGTCGAAGTTGAAGAAGGAGGGAAAAGGACAGCTGTACAGAGATGAATACGAATAAAGGTAATGAATGTGGTAATACAATACTACGGATACCCGACCCCAGGTGGTAATTGCTCGGCAGCGCGGCGCAGAAAGTGGAAACGGCACCTGCCACCTGGACGGTGTTGCGGCTGAGCTCCAGCTTCCTGCGGAGATGCGCACTGCGCACGATGAATACAATGGGGAGGGGGAAAATCAGTCAACAATAGAGAACACAGAAAAAAAAAGATGGAACGAACGGGTGGCCCGGTGACCTTTCCTCCCAATGGAACTTCTCATCCCAGTTCATTATCCATCCATCTCAAGTTGTACCTTGCATCGCTAGATATCCACTCTCTCCGGTGCCGTCGGGTCTGTCAATGTCCGTCCGTCGGGTTTCCTTCCCAAGAAAGTGTGTGAAGCTTCACCTCTCGCGTCTCTTGACCCCAAGCCCAAGGTAGACGTGATCCGCGAGTCAATTAATCAAACCTATCCTAGCACGCTGTTACAAAACATTGGGGAAATGACGCATCTGGGGGAATTCCCTTCCGTATGTACTTTAATTAACAAGACGCAACCATCGTCCACCACCAAGGAAAACATGCGTAGATCTCGACATCACCACCGTCATAGCGGATCTGCACACCATGGCCCTGGCTAGACGCTCATCCTTCAGCAAACCTTTTTGATAAGCACCACGTACCCAGCCAGACGGTGATGGAGTCCTTTAGTTCTGGTCTCAGTTCGTTCCTTCACTACCTTATCTACCTACGACCTAATGCATACACCATGCATGCGTGTTTCCGCTGTTCGCTCAATTATCTTCCCTTAGCTCCCGCGTCCCGGGCGTGCCGCCGCCGACCAGCGGTCTCCTACCGTCTTGCATCCATAGCGTCATTCGACACCAACGCCGGAACTCGCGGCTTCTACCGGTTAGGATTCCTTCTCGTTTCTACTTGGCTTGACTTCATAAAGGCACATTTGAATCGGGACCAGACACGATGATGATGATAAATAATGTATGCATGACTGCTTTTTGTACTACACTACGAAAGATTCCTATTTGTACCTGGAGGCTAAAACCGCGCAGAAAAAAATCAGTTTGACCAAACAAACAAAGACAAAAACGTACGCTCGTAATCCTCGCAAGGGGTTTGGGGTTGGGAAGGGGTATCACCCCATCCAGAAGTACCGACCGCCTCGAGAAACCAAAACTCCAATTCTTTCCATTTGCTTGCAGTGACCAAGGAAAACAGAAATTGGTATACCCAGATTCGAGGGTAGCTGGAACTTGTTCCGACAAAGAGAAACAAAACAACGGTTGTCGTCACAGCTGTCTATGGGCCACTCTAGTAGTCATGTCGTAACATGTACCGTGAGAAACCCAGGTGCCTCGCGGCTTGGTAGCCAGCATGCACAGAGAAGGAAGAAAATCACAATGGCCTCCCATCCTCTTTGCTTCCTTCAACTTCCACCAAACACACCGACCAAAATACAAACGACACGAAAAAAGAAGCGAAGGGCGTCCGTGGACACCGAGATCCTCGACCAATTATATTCTTTGCCAAGAAGAAAAAATGGGCATGTTCGTCATGAGCGAGTAGCAAGTGCATCGTTCAGACGTGAGGCGTAATCATCCGACATTATCATCAGGCTGTAGAGTTTCTACGACCGGCGCACCAAGATGGAGAAACAAAACGAGCGGTGGATAAGAGACTTGTCGCGTTCAGTATCCATCCTCGTCTGTCCACTCGCTACCCGAGATGATGCGGTTGCCCTCGCCGTCACTGTAGCCATGCACAGCATGTCCACCAGGTGCCGTCATCGGGAAAGGTCGCTGCCTCTTAGGATCGCTGGCCGGTGGCCGATAACCAGTCTCGGGCTCGAAACGCTTGTTGCCGTTGCGGGCGGCTCGCACTTTGGCGTAGTATGTGTCGCTGGCATCCTGCTCAGGTTCGCTGGCATCGTCGTACGTCTCCCAGTTTTCTGAGCCTGTCACATTACTCGATCCGTTGGACGAGTTGGAGATCTGGCGGGGTGGTGGTGCTTGTTGGTATGCAGAAGGGGGGTACTGGCGAATGGTTGAGGAGTGTGAGGATGGGTAGTCGTGCTGTGAAGACCCCTGAGAGTGATGTGAGCTCTGGGAGGCGTACGACGCATGCGAATTATGCGAAGCGTGAGAAGCATGCGAGGTGTGAGAGAGTGTCGAGTTGTTTCTCATCAGCTTCGGGTGCTGGCAATCCTCGTCGTATGGGTCCTCAAGCTCGACTTGACGCACGATACTCGCGCCCAACCCGACTGCCTTGTATGGGTTGACTGGGGTCTCCAACTCGATCGTGTTGAGATCGCGCATCTTGGGTGGAGGAGCACGCATCTGGTGGTTTCCACCGCGGATCGTCGCGTAGGCGTCAATCCTCGACGCTGGCCTCTCCTGTTGTACTGGTGAGGTATTGCCAAAGTTGCCGTACTTGAGGTTGGTCAACGGGGGCCGTGCTGGGATCCTCGAGGGACTGCCCGGTGGCCTGTTGAGGGTTTGTGCACGCTCTCTCAAGCTGCCCATAGAAGATGCTGGTCTGGCGATTTCTTGTGCTTTGGCGTGAGCAGAAACAGGTCTAGTTGTGGGAGCGGCACTGTTCATATTGTTCGCACTGCGTTTGGTGGTGGGCGCAGGTGCTGGTGTTCTTACCCCATTGCGAGTTGGGGGTCTAGCGATAGAGGTGGTGCTCTGCGCTCTGCTGTGCCCTCTTGGTCTGGCCGCCGATTGAGGAGCAGCCCCAACGCCTGGTGTCTTGGATCGCGGACCGGGTGCAGGTCGGTCTTCTGCTTCGAGTACGTCCAAGTAACGTTCCCCATGGACTGTGAAAGGCCGTCCGTACTCGTCTTCGAATCTCTCGAGAATTCTGCGCAAGTCGACAGCAATCTTGGGCAACTCCTTGGCGATGCGCTTCCGCATCTTTTCTTCTCTGAGAAGCTTGCCGGGATCGCGCTTCTCGCCCTTCTGCCCGCGCATCATCAAGCGAGAAGCATCCTGACTCGATGCCGCGAGCTCGTCGCGCTCACTGGTAAGGCTTCGATGTCTATCGACCAGCTCGAGAGTAGGGAGGCGCTGTTCTTTGAGAACCTCTAGTCGTGCAATCTCACGCTCGTGAGCTTCGAGCAGAGCATCGCTGTATACGTCGGAAAAGGCGGGTGTGAACTCGAGCATCTCGTCCTCGGAAAGGTAGAGCGAGTCCCAGAGTTCCTGTAGCTTGAACCGCGCATCCTCGACGAACAAGTGCAGGTTCTGCCTCTTCAGCTCGTTGAGGCGCGCAAGCTCATCCTCGAACTCGTTGATTTGTCGCACACCACAGCCTCGGTTGCTGTTGAGGAAGGCCTTCCTTTCTCCAACGTCCACCTCCAACTTCTCCCAAAGGGCCTCAACCGCGGCGCGCAGGTCCTTGAGACGCTTCTCGCGGTTCTTCTTCTCGTCCGAGAGCTTGTCGCGCTTTGCCTTGAGACGCTCAATATCTTCCTCGTGCAGGCCCAGCTGTTCGGGTGACTCGCGGTAGTACTTGACAATGGCACCGTCGGTTTGAGCCTGAGGGGTTCCCAGCTCAGCCCAGAGCTGAATCGTGTGCTCGCAAAGGGCCTTAACCGTCGCGACGCGGCGCGTGTACTCTTCATAGACTCTCGTAAACTCATGATCGAGCTTGTCCACATACGATGGTGATAGGTCGAAGTTGGGAGGAATGGACTGGTTCGGGCCCGTCGGCGGCAGGGGAATCTTGACAAAGGTAGGTTCAAGATGTGACGAATATGATTCAAGTGCTTCGACAAGTTCTGAGTGGCTGGTTAGTACCAAATCTTCTGGCGTCTTTTCGCTTCCGAGTTGACTCACTCTTGACCTGTTCGAAGCGCTCTCTATGCAATCGACTGACTTGCTTGTGCTTTTCCTTGAGGCCCTGCAAACATCGGGTCAGGGGATAGGTAATCTGAATATCGTCGCTGCGGTCTCGACGTGCGCGGTTGTCGTCGAGCGATGCCTCCATCTGCTGTATTGTAGTGATTATGCGCTCGGCTTCCTCAATCATTTCCTCCTTTTCGTTCGTGACTAGGTGCACCTGATCGGTCAGGGCCTTGGAAAGCGCCTCGAAGAGCTATGTCTGAATGTCAGCACAGATTGAGGAGAGAACGAAGCGAGCTGGGAGAGGCGTACGTCTTCCTCGCGCTTTTCGCGATCATGGCTGGGAACGCCAATCTCATCAAACAAGCCGTGCAATTGACCGATGATGGTATTGACCTGTTGAGACAGGTAACTCGTGTCCATGGTGGATTAAACAGGCCTGACGAAAAGCCGAAGAGAAGGTGAAGATAGGTGCAATGGCGGTATGGTTCAGAGAGTTGGAAGGTAATTAAGGTAAGTGCGGTAAGGCGTGCAGGTCGTGGGGGTAGGTAAAAGAGTGGGCGCAGCGCAAAGGCTGAGTGTTGATGCTATTCACGGTGGCGGGGAGGCCAGTGCGGGTGCAGACGTTTTGTTTACTTTCTCTGTGGTACTTGGATGCGGTCGTGACGTAGACTAAGATAGGAAGCGAATGGTCACCGAAAGAGTTGCGGCTTGTAGTGCATCGTCCAGCAAGAAGGTGTCCAAGAGAGAGAAGAGAAAGAAAAGGCTGTAATGGATAATTGCAGTCTCTTGGGATGTGTGAAGCCGACGAGATTTGTCTGAGACTGGCCTATCTGCGTCTACCAAGTCAGGTACCTTGGGTTGTTGATGGCCGATGGGATCTTTTCTTCCGGAGGGAGGGATGGCGGAGGGCGGAGGTTGGGGAAGGTCGGAAGTGGGAGAAAAGGATGGGAGGAAACAACCAGACGAGAAGGGGCAAGGTAACGAAGATGCGACGGGAAGGTGCCACTTGATGAATTGAATTTCACGGGCAGGAGGACCTTGGGAGTCTGGGATTCATGGGAATGAGGTGGCCGGGAATGTCGTGAGAAACGGGTCCTGGGTTTTCCTGTTTGGGTTCGCGTGGTGGGGCACGTATCCACGGCAACGGGGTAGTCTCTCAGCAGGCAAGGGTTACAGTGCGTGAGTGCCTTTTTCGTGGTGGGTTTCAGGAAAGAGCTACCCCGCCATTGGCCACCTTCCGTCCATTCACGAATCACCTTTGCTCTTGCACTTCAGCTGCCTGCATCTTTTGAGACAGGGGTATGAAGAGGGTACGTATCTGTTGCTGGGGCTTCAACTGGCTTTAGTGGGTCCCCTCGCTTGCTGTCAGCTCAGCCCATCAACCAATCTTAGCTAAGCACGCTTAATGAAGCGAGCATCTCCCACCTCGCACCTTGCACCCCGTCAACCCAGCATTTGTCCTGATATCAGCCTCTCAAGAGGCTGGTCATCTAAATGGCCGCTTCATAGCTGAACACGATAGTGATTCCGTTCCGCACTCTCAAATTTATCTATTCTACTGAACGAGAGGGCCCTAAGATCTCATACGAATCTGTTGAGTTGTGATAATGCTGTTGGTTGGTCTACTCCGTACTGCACGCAACTTGGACGATCAAACAGACGCCGCGCTGCGCAAACAAATCACCCGCAGCTCTAGTCGCGCATCGGCATCCGCTTTGTTTACTTCCATTGCTGCATCGCATCGCATCGCATCGCATCGCCCCCAACGAACTCTCACGCCCGTCCTTTCTGCAAGTCATCCAGCTGGTTGCTGCCCACAACAAACAACAACCTTTTCCCTCTTTTTGAACTAGGTAATAGCTTAGACCCGAGTCGTTCGTCCATCCTACGTCTGCCTCGCATCACGCTAACATCATCATGCATACGACAACTCTCTTGCACCATCAGGATCAGGGCCCATCACATTATCCACCTCGATTCCTTCATGCACCTCATTCTCGCAGCCTCTCCTCCTCAGACTTGTTCCTGACTGGTCTATGCTACGAAGAGACATATCGAAGTCTCCAACAATACTCCGTAGGCCGAAAGAAAATCAAGAAAATCGATCTGGCTCATCTCGGCTCTTTCCCATCCCATGCTCGCCCCTCCCCCTGCCACGCTGCCGTGCCCCATTCTGCTGTGGGCATCTTCAGGCGCGTGCTCCAGCGGTGAGATGCAAACGCATCCTCTTCCACCCCTGGTCTGCCCATCGCTCACCACGGTGACGAGCAATCAGCCTTGCTTTTCCTGATAGCATTCGCTCGAATAGCTGTCCCCATCAATCGCACATACGGCGGTACGGACTTTATGTTTTCTTCTTTAATTCGATCTTCCCCTCTTATTCAGGTGATCATCCTCTCTTCCAGCCAAGTCCAGACCCTCTCTCAGCCCGCATGGTTCCCAACTTTCTACACTCTGGAGTATGGAAAGCTGAGTATCCGTATGAAGTACGGAGGAAGTACTGTCCCCAAGCTCCCATCTATTCCCTCTCCTCGGTGCAACCCAAATGACAATCCACTGCCCGAGGAACCATGATTCTTAGGATGACAGTCCCATAATATCAGGCCCATGCTCTTTCTCCCTCTACCAGCCTCCCCAGATTCGGACGAAAATCTTCGTAACCGACCCGTTCAGAACCAAGTTTGATCTCCGCAACGATTTCGCTTCTCGCCGTCGCACTGCCCGGAACTGAACTGCCCAAACCTGCTCGGATCCAATCCCATTTCAACGTTTCGAACCCAACACACACGGCACAGGCCGTCCACTAGTAAGCTTCTGGGACCTTGTTCGGGGCATTTGTTACGCGCGCATCTCGACCTTTGCCCCCCTCCCCTCCCCTCCCCTCCCTCTCACCCTGGCTCTGCTGTGGCTGGTGGCTGGTAAATCCAATGGCTAGCCGCTAGCGTCCCCTCTCCCCAGTCTCTGGTCTTTTCCGGCGACGTCATCGTCACCTTCTCCCAAGGCGCGGTTGCCCGGTGGACCTTGATGCGATCGTGATCCCGCTTTGTCAACCCTGCAGTCAACTGCACGCAGTGCAGCTCAACCAACTCGTAGCATTATCGCATTTCGCCATGACCGAGAGATGGATAATGTGCATGGATTTCTACCGTATGCCGCAAACTCCACCTGTGCCTCCAGCCTCCGGAGACCCATCCACCTAGTCTGTACGAAATGTATTTCCTGGTAAGTCGGCCTCTGAGAACACATCAAGGAAAATCAGCCTTTCAGAGACGCAGGCATGCGACAGCAAAGTCTTCCTCCCGCTCCTGCAGGATAGAGCCATGAGATTAATCCCATACTTACCATGGTCAATTTGGAAATGAGAAAGATTGTCGGATAACTAGACAATGAATTAGCGACACAGAGACCACCTTAAAGCACAACAGAACGACAGTACATGCATGCAACAGCGATTCTTCCAATGAGGCCACTGTTTAAGCCCTCCTCAATGCGGGAAAGTGTAACGATGTTTGAGTGTAGACATGTGTCGCCTCCGTCAAGCCCAACAAGGAAGGTAAATAGGATGTCTTCCACATGTGACATTGGCGACACTGTCCCCGCCAAGCCCTATAGTTTTCAGTCTGTTTCCTACCTCCTTGGTGAGAACACCTCGCTTAGGGTCTACTTCTCCAAAAGCAACTCATAGCCCTCATTTTCAATTGAATCAAGAAATCTCCATGCTGATGCAACAAATGGCTAACCAAAGTGTAGACATAGAAGCTTCTCTGCTCAGTCAAGTCCAGCAAACTCGACCCATCCTTTTTCAAGGCAATTACAGTCAGCTGAAGTGCAAATGCACAGGTGACAGGCCTCAGTTGTCTCTTAATACGAAGACAACCCCGCTTGACAACCTGTAAAAACGACGAGACTAAGGTGGAGGGCTGAGTAATCCGTCATGATTGTCACGCAATTTATAGATATTGTTGAAGATGATTGGCTACATCACATCGCAGGTAGCCGGAGAGAATGGCTATCAACTTCTTCAAGACTATCTTGCCCCAGGCTGGCTGCACATTCATTGGCCGTTAGTAAGACATCACGCACTTCATTACATAGGTCATGTCTGTCAGCGTCGCATTCATCTACGAAAGTAGATCGATAGTGCTCAAGCACAAGAGAGCGAGGTGCTCAGCTCTTTAGGCAGCCAATTTAGCAATCAGTTTGGAAATATGCCTAGTGACTATTAAAGTCTCAAGAGTCCCTCGCAGTGGTTTAGACCAAGTTGCCATCTCAAAGCCTCCAAACACTCACGCTACATCGAAACTTGAGCACAATGTTTCTCAAATCTCTCGCCATCGCGGCACTCGTCACAGCCCCAGCAGCCGTTCAAGCAACCTACCCCTTCTCCAACCCAGGCGACCTCGCCGCCGCGGACAAATTCGAGTACATCCGCCAAGAACACAACGGCGTCGTTCAAACCGTCACAAACGTAGTCTACAAAGGCACCACAGCCCTCAAAATGACACAGACCTACGACCCTTCCTACAACGGCCGCTACCACTCCGAAGTCGACGTCAACGACGGCTACACCCGCGGCCAAGACCGCTTCTACGGCTTCGCCTTCCGCCTCTCCGACGCCTGGCAGTTCCAGCCGCAGTCTTACAATATCGCGCAGTTCATCGCCGACCGGCCCGGCGCGGGCTGCGGCGGCGACGACTGGATGCCGTCCAGCATGCTCTGGCTCGAGGGCGACCAGCTTACCTCGCGGATCGTGAGCGGGCAGTACCGTCTGCCGGATTGCGGGCGGAGTATTGTTAAGTATGGGAACCTGACGACGGTTGAGCGCGGGGTATGGCATCGGGTTGTGATTCAGGCAAGTTGGCGGAGCGATGCGAGTGGGTTTTATAAGATTTGGTATGATGGGAACAAAGTGTTGGAGAAGTATGATGTTGCGACGACGGTGAATGATGATAGTACTTTTCAATTCCGTGTTGGGTTGTATGCGAGTAGCTGGTATGATCAGAAGAAGATGGATGGGGACCAGCCTTTCCGTCAGGTTTGGTTTGATGAGATTGCTGTTGGTTCGACTTACAAGGCTGTAGATCCTGATCAGTAAGGAGGGCCGTGAAGGCGAAGAAATAAAGTCTGGAGAATGGGTACAGTAGTCTAGAGGCTAGGCAGTGCTTGCGTGTACTGTCTCAATGTTTCCTTGGACTGGGCACATGGCGCTTAATCGCTGGTCCCTGGATGGCTACTATTACTAGACTCATTGAGATAAGTGAATTCTACCTTGCCTCAGTTATTGTACTATGAGAGAGGTACTTGATGCTTGGTCACGCTTCAATTGGTTATATCGGCTTATCCGTTCTCGTCCCCCACTACCTATTCAAAGTGACGTCTCTGAGTGTGTCTTGGAACTTCGCAATTCCCATTATGACAGCACTCAGTGATCAGAATTCTTTGCTCTGCTAGAATAAGTAAAAGCGCCAGATTGATAAGACACTGTAGAGATAGAGAAAGGCTCACTGGTTGTCTGAGACGGTCGAGGAGTACGACCGAATAGATTGACGCCGGAAATGTACAGGAAAAGCCGCCGGTTCGGTTCGGTGGGGTCGCATCTGTATGTACACAGTAAGACAGTCATGTCGAAAATGTCAAAATAGCGGCGCCCTTGAATGACTCGATGTTCCACTTTTAATTAACGCTATCCATCTCTTTAATTCAAACAGGGCTCTTTACCATATGCTAGATTCCAACCAATCAGTGTTCACGATATCGTCTGTTCTGGAGATTGCATCTAATCAAACCCTGTGAACACCGCGATCATGAGCGATCAAAAGGATGACATAGCCCTGTGCGGATTGGATACATTGAAAGGCGTGGGTCAACAACACAGGATTGAGGGAAATTTTCTGAAGATGCCCCGGAGTGGCGGTCCGGTGGGTTCTGGCGTGACGACTCGACGAGCGATCGTTGTATTTAGGTTCTTTGGTGTTCACGACCCCAGATGACAATCTTGGAGTATCCGACGTGTCACATTAGATATCCATTCACTCATTGAGGTTTACTCATATCGACTCACACACTCAACCTCAAGAAAGTTCCCAAGCAACCCACGATACGCAACTCACTCAGGGGTAAAATCACGCACCGCAATCACAACCAAACTCATCACATCTCAAGACCAACGAGGCAACACGAAGACCAAGCTACACACCTTACCAACAGCCATTATTGACAGAGTCAACTCCTCAAAATGACAGTCTCAACCCCTCAAACAACATTCTCCTTCCGCCCCGCAACACTATCCGACGTCCCCATTCTCCTCCCCCTAATCCGCTCCGCCTACCGCGGCGAACTCTCCCGTCAAGGCTGGACGACGGAAGCGGACTTGGTAGCAGACCAACGCATCGACGAGCGCGGTCTCTCGGCCAAGATCAATGAACCCGAGGGTGCAGTCCTCATCGTCAACGACAACACCATCCACCCAAGCAGCGATGAGAAGCCTACCGCGCCGCTAGCATGCTGCGAAATCGTGCGAAGTAAACAGAATCCCGATGTAGCGTACTTTGGCCTCTTTGCTGTCTCGCCTGAACGGCAGGCTGGCGGGGTGGGGAGGAAGGTGTTGGGGTATGCTGAGGAGTTTGCGAGGAGGGAGTGGGGGGTGACGAGGATGGAGATGTGTGTGCTTTGGATGAGGGGGGAACTGATTGCGTGGTATAAGAGGCGGGGGTATAAGAAGACTGGGGAGAGGAGAGAGTTTCCTTATGCGGAGATGGTTGGGGGTGGTGCTTTGAGGGATGATTTGTGGTTTGAGGTTTTGGAGAAGGAGTTGTGAGATGGTATGAGAACCCATATGATGAGGATATGTACGTTGGATGGTATCGGAATAGAGTAACTGGTCTTATTTTCAAGGTTTGATAGATATTGAGAGCGGGACGAAGATTATACTGAGAGCTATCAGTTCTCACGGGCATCCTCGAAAGAAAAGACATCAAAGACGTTTCACACCCGCCCCGTTCTCAAGCACTACAATCTCCCAGACAAGCCTACGCAGGTCCAATCTGAACAGTCACACTGCTCCCCGAAAGAGGAACAGACCACCCGCCCCTCGCCTGTCCGATACCCGACGTCGTGACTTTGAAAGCACCCGTCCCAGTGGTACTCTCCAACCACACAACTGCGCTCGCAGCCTTTGGAACACCATCCAACTGCGCCAACGTAACAGAGACACCCTTCGAAGAAACTGTAAAACTGAAATCCTGAATAATCCCAGCATCAACACTAACAAGCACCCCCAAAGGCCCGATAAACACCTTTCTCCTAACCGCATCCTTCGTCGTAACACTCACGGCCCCCGAATTCGCGGTCACAATCCCACCAAACGCCAGCACTCCAAGTTCAGCGTCCTGAACGACGTATGTGCCAGACCCAAGGGCCAAACCCAAAAAGTTGGGGCCGTAGTCGCCGCTGATGCCGTCCCATTTCAGCGTGTCGGGCCAGCTGTGGAACGAGGCGGCGGCGAAGCCGTCTTGGTTGATGTTGGAGAGGGGGCCTGTGGTGCCGCCGTAGCCTGTGCGGAGGAGGTAGGTGTCTGTTGGGGCGGAGCGGAAGGCGGAGAGGAGGACGAGAGCGTTTAGGCCGGAGCCGTAGTGGTGGATTTGGCGCTCGATGCGGCGGAGTTTGCCGCCGTAGCTGGGTGGTGGGTTAGTCTGCTGTTGGATGATGTGGTGCGTGGGATGAATTTGGAGAGAGCTGAAGATGTGAGAATAGGAGAAAGAGAGGAAGTCTTGACTTACATGTTATCCCAGTAGCGGCGGGCGTTGCCGTTACAGCCCCAGTGAGGAACGGTTGGCATGAAGCCGAGAACGCTATTGACGGACTTTGTCGCGGTGTTTGTGTAGCCAAAGTACCTTTGATAATGTAAGCCAATGTTCAAGCCATCTTCCGCCTCGAACCGTCTCACGCATCGGAGCCTGAAGAGGCTCCTGGCTTTGTACAAGTGAAATGTAGAAGGATCAGAAAACTCACTTTGCCCAATAGTAAACACCCTCCTGACCCGTCGAATCCCACGCCATCTCACTCCCAAACGGGACCTCCTCCGTATCCCACTGCGCAGCACGCGACTTCATGGCAGCAGATAAAGCACTCGCCTTGGATGTCTGCCCCTCGCGGCCCAAATCGGCTAGAATCTCGCCAAACACCGTCTCCCCCATCAGTCCGACGCGGTTGTATCCAACATCCCCTTTCATCGCCCGCATGACCGTCTCATACGCCTGGTTGAGGTACCAGTCCCAGGCGTGGGTCTTGAGAAGAGCCGGATAGGCCCGTCCGACGCGGTAGAGGGACCAGTAGGCGCCCGCAACGTGAACGTAGTTGTAAGCCCGGTCGATGGAGTAGGCTGCTGCTTTGTTCCATGATGTCCAGGATGTCCAGTCTATAGAGGAGGAATACGCATACCCGGGCACGGCGGCGGGCTCGTAGAAGAAGATTGCTTTGCGGACGGCAAAGTCCGAGGTTTGAATCGTTTTCCAGAGGACGCGGTCGACGAAGGCTTCGAGCTTGGTTACCTCGTCCGCGTTGGGTTGGATAGCTTGTTTCATGAAAGCCGAGAGATATGATCCTGCGCCAGCTTCATCGCTGAGGCCGGCTACCCATGCGCGGGAGTCTTGCGTGACGATGGACTTGGTCTCGTAGTCGTAGGTCATCACCGAAGGCGCGCGACCAAAGGGATCCGACGTATCGTTGAAGTACTGCGCCGTGGTGAGGAACTTGCCGAGGCTGGCGACGGCCTCGGTGGAGGGCTTGGTTACATAGTAGTGGATCGTCTGGATCTTGCCGTCGGCGTAGGTCACGGTAAGGCGGATGCGGCCCCAGGTTGTCGTGGAGGGGGTGACTGTGTACTTCCCTGCTGAGACGAGGGTTACTGTCAAGGCTCCGGCTGGTTCTGAGGCGATGGAGCGGACTGTGGATTGGGCGTATTGGAGGAAGAGCTGCGCTGGCTCGCCTCGTGGGATGATGTAGCCCGGCACGCCGACAGCGGTTGGCGTATTTGTGCCGCGAACAGTGGCGTCGAGATCTCGGACACCCCCCTTTGCGACGGAGAAGCGCACGCCGAATTGGAGCGACTGACCTGGCTGCAGGGTTCTGGAGGAGGGGGTATTCCACGGTGTCTGGGAGCGCCACTCGTTCTCTGCCCAGGCCTTTGTGAGGACTTGCCACTCGTAGAAGCCCTCGAATGTCTGGCTGCCGTAATATGTGCCCTCGTAGCTGCGCTCGGCGAGGTTGCGGTATGCTTCAAGAGGCGTGTCGCCCAGCGGGGTAACAACGAGAGCGGCGCCGGTGCCACGGGTCGGCGCCACGCGGATCTGGCCGGCGTGCATGCCGACGTAGGGATCCGAGAGGGAGCAGACGCGCTGCATATCAGCGGCATAGCGGTTCGTAAAGATGCTGTTGAACTCGGCAGGGAAGCCGAGACTACCAATTTCAATGGCAGCAGAGCCGGAGTTTTGGAGCGTGAAGCGCAGACCGAGGTCGCCGGAGACATCCAGCCATTCTCGGGTGATATTGAGCGGGCTGCCGGAGGGAAGGGTGGGGCCAAGACGGGAGGAGGCGAGGATGCCGGTGGACGGGGCGACGGTGGTGACGGGCTGGCGGGCCGCAGCGGAATGCCCGTTTGTCCAGGCGGTTGTGCCGGATTGGCGGTAGCGAAAGGTGATGTCGCCCCAGTGGTATTGGCCGTTGCGGGCGCGGAGGGAGAGGTAGTCTAACGGAAGGAAATCAAAGGTGTCCCCGGCGGGTTTGAGTGAGGCTAGGACTTGAGCGTTTTTGACGAGTTGGAGATTGAAGTTCTTTGTTGTGAGGGTGATGTAGCCGCTGCTCAGGCCTAGGTTGTCCTGGGAGAGGACGCCGGTGAAGAAGAGGCCGGCAGACACGAGGAGTGTGCCGAGGTAGACCATTGTGGCGAAGGAGGCAGCCTGAGCCTTTGCGACCTTTCAGATTGAGGATGAATTGGAACCTGCCGGCTACAGGTTTGATGGCTACTTTACGCGGCCATTGGGGCTTGATCTTATATAGAGCGTTCAACATGATGGCACAAAGGGAGTCGGTTACGTTATTGATGATGTTCTGGCCTACCACGAGCGGAGGGGTTCATTGAGACGAACGACTCAACTGCAACCCAAGATGCATATTGGAGGCAGATGGCGGTACCACCTCGTGTCCGGCATCGTGCCCGATCACACCTTTACAGATGCGGAACGGAGCTTGCTCGATATTCTCTTTGTCAAGACAGAATCAGACAAGACTGCTTGTCGCATGTCGCTTTTGGCTCATGATCTTTGGATAACTTGTCCGGGACAGTCGCCCGAATGCGACACTGGATCGGGCGGCGGATCCGACTCTTTGCAGCAACCGCAAGCACTTGGGAATTGTGATGAACGCTTACCTCGAGACCACACACCATTTCCATGTCTGGATAACCTCAAACTGGAAGGTCGAAGGATGCTAGACATGATTAAGCATTTTACCAAGCCCGTATCCTCCTTCTAGCGCAGGAGACTAGGCTGGTTAAACGCGGGGTACTAACGATTACCAACAGCCCATCGACCGTTGAATGTAACCCTCAAAGTCGCCTGGTCTCATCTTGATTGGGCCGCAAATAGAGAGTGACATTTGATGCCACTGAGGCTCCATCCATCCAACGGGGGAATCAAAATCCACGCATGGTTCTCGCCGGCTGCGCGGCACCATCATAGATTATCAGAGATTGGTTTCCAAGACTCTTTAAAGAAGTTAAGCCGGGTGGGATAGACTGAAATGATGAAATAAGGTGGGATAATAGGGCAGACAATCAACCCAGTGCGTAAGGATGCGAGACCGAGGCGATGTTTACCTAATTGACTCTGTTAAAGTTCTTCGAGAAGGAGAATAATGAATTGACTCGGTCGATTTCATGGACACCCTGGTTGTGCCATGTTAAGGGGGGGCAGCCAAAGTACGAGGTCGCTTGGTGATTTTAGCGGACGATCTGGCGCAAAGCCAATTTATTCGTGTCACTTACGAAATTCCAGGGGAAGCAAAAAAGAGTGGATGCGCTTAACTAAGGTTATTCTTCTCAAAGAACTCAAACGATGTCTTGATGACTTACCTTAAGTATAAGCAGACCTACTCGATCCTAGGAATTCTCTAGTTTCATTTAGTCTCTCAGTCAACTCTCCGAGTCACTGTGTGATTCTTCCATTCTTTTTTCTTTACCGTATCCCTTCCATTCGTTACCCACTTGTGAGCCAGTGTGCCCCATCTCAAACATGTTCAACAACCTCGTGTGGGCGAGTCTCGCGACTTCGCTGCTGGTCCAGCCTCTGAGCGCGGGCCTCATCCCAGTCCGCCGGCAGACCACCTCCGCCACTTTCAAGTCCACCGGCAACCCGATCCTCGCCGACGGCTCCGTCTACTCGGCCGACCCAGCGCCGCTCGTCGTCAATGACACCCTCTACATCCTCTCCGGCCGCGACGAGGCCGGCCCCAACGAGAACGGCTTCGTCATGAACGAGTGGCAAATCTTTGAGGCTAAGAACCCTGACCCGGCCGGCGCTGACTGGACCCTCCACCGCGATGTCGCCCAGCCCAACGCCATCTTCTCCTGGGCCGCTGAGGGCACCGCCTACGCCAGCCAGATCGTTCAGGGTCCGGATGGCAAGTTCTACTTGTACAGCCCCGTCACTCAAAAGTCTACCTCAGCCACCGACCCCTTCGCCATCGGCGTTGCCGTCTCTGACAGCCCTCTCGGCCCCTTCAAGGATGCCCACCCGAGCGGTCCTATCATCTCCCAGACCGTCCCCTCCCCCGGCAACAACATCCAGAATATCGACCCCACCGTCCTCGTCGACAACGGCAAGGTCTACATCTACTTCGGTACCTTCGGCTACCTCAAGGGCTACGAGCTCGAGACCGACATGGTGACGATCAAGGGCTCCGTCGTCGACGTCGACTCCCTCACCGGTTTCTTCGAAGCCCCCTGGCTCATGAAGCGTAACAGCACCTACTACATGCTCTACGCCGCCAACAACGCCGGGGCAGACTCCCCCTGCACGCCCACGAGCTACCACGCCTGCCTCGCCTACGGCACCGCAGAGTCGCCCCTCGGCCCCTGGACCTTCCAAGGCGTCTTCGTCGACATCGTCTCCTCCACCACCTCCCACCCGGGCGCCTACCAGCTCTCCAATGGCGAATGGGGCCTGGCCTACCACACCCGCGACGCCGAGGGCGGCACGCACTTCCGCCGCTCCGTCGCCATCGACAAGATCACCTGGGACGACTCGGCCTCTCCGCCAGCTATCAACAAGATGGTCCAGACCAAGCGCGCCGCCGCCGCAACCGAGCCGACGCGCAACATCGCGCCCAAGGCTGTCGCCTCATCGGCGGGCGAGACGCCTATCCAGTACTGGATCAAGTCCATCAACGACGGCCGCGTCGAGGAGGCGCCGCTGCCGCCCGACTACTGGTCCTCGTACAACGCCGAGCAGTCCCCCGAGACGAGCACCCTCACCCTGACCTGGAACAGCACCGTCGAGCTCAACGGCGTCGCGCTGGCGCTTTTTGCGGACCAGGAGGCTGGAGCCAACGTCGGTGTTGCGCCGCCCAAGTCGTGGACGGTTGAGTACCAGGACGGCACTTCGTGGAAGGCAGTCTCTGCCACGTCGTTCCCTACGGATGTTTCGGATGCGCCCAAGGAGGTTAGCTTTACGACTGTGTCGACTAAGGCTTTGAGGGCTGTTTTGACTGCCTCTGGAAGCGGCGGACAATTTGCTGGTGTTGCTGTTAAGGAGTTCTTTGCGTATGCGCCTACTGCTGCGTAAGGTCTCCTGAGTGATGGCGTTTTCCGGACCGTTGGCAGGAGATTTGTCTCCTGTTGATATCAACCTTTTTGTTGTTCATACTTTTATAGATGTGTATACAGTCTTGTGTAAGATATGTAAATAAGCCAAAACCCTACTGTCATCTTGGATACAGTTTCACCAAAAGTAAACACTCATTGCTGCAAAGTGGCAGGACACACTCTTCATTGAAAGCTATTCATTTACAGTGCTATCACTGGCCTGATAGATCGAGCCAAAACTGGATCTTCCCAGGTTCCATGCTCGCCCTTAGTATTGCAAGCTCTTGTCAGAAATTTGGGTTCCTATCCGTATACCCTTCGACTAGTCAGCTGTGCTGAGGATGAAATGGCGAACCGAAATTTCATAAAAGATTGCAGCTCGTTTCGAAATGTTTGAAGTGTCTTGAATCGCCCCGCATTGTCTCCTCTACTCACAGATTCTCATGCACGAGTATATGACTGACTTGAGGAGGAGAAGAATACAATGGGAATGAGTAAAATGATGTTGATCTGGGCATCGAATTCAACTTCGGGTTTACTACTCAACATGTCCAGACTTTGCACTGCGCTCAATGTATCAATGTCTAAAAACCCACAGCTGCCATCTTGCAAGTTGTCACCCAGATAGAAGTCAGAGGGAGTCAAAGATCAAACTGATTGAAAAGCCGATGAGAGAGCAGAAGGGAGTAGGGTCAGGTACGTGAACAACTAGGCGGATGATATGATCTTTCCCTCAGGCTTCCAGAGTATGGAAGCTCCGAAGAATGAGAATAATCACCTCAACCGCGGTATGTACAAACTCAACTCAAAAGATAACATATGCACGGAGTATGTGATTCGCAATGACAAAGCAACTTGTCAACAACCCAAATCTTGATCGGGGTCCTTGAAGGGTGCGTGGATGTGGGACTACCACTTATAAAGTTGCGGGGATGCACATCGCCGGCTGCAATGAGACCCTATTGCTCCACCCATGCGAGGGGCCTGATGTATCATGGCTTAGTGTTCGACAAAGTCTATTTGTCGTCAGATGATCCGTCGTAAAAGAGTTGGTCTTTTCATCTAAGTAATGTCCAATTGCCTTGTGAGACCTAATGTCGGGCTATTAGCTTGGGCATCCGGAGACCTACTGAGCTGCGACAACTCGATCTCATGTGGGGGTACTAGAATTGATTGTATCTTTAGTGATTAGCTTTCAGAAGAAATGGGAACGGGGTTTGGCAGGTCTTTTCGTTCAAGTGCGCACTTGTGTACCATGGTGTGTAATCAGACTGCTTCGAATAGCGATTTTACAACAATATTGAATCATGGCTCTAATGTTCTGAAGATGAAACCCGTCAATGGCTCCATGTAATTATGAGGGAATCAATCAGTTGGTAAATTCTGATCGCTGAATGCAGCTTGTTTACTCCCGGCATGGGAGCTCCGTACTACGCATCTATTCTCAACCGCAGCTTGTAACTCATGCTGGAAGTCTTTGCTCGTGGTTGAAAGGCTTAGGGTTTGGGCCCTCCGGCCTCTCCTCTCAACTCCTGCCCCCGATCAAGCTGTATACTTACCTCTGCGTAACATTATACACTCTCCTCCGCAAAGAACAAAGTAAGTGGAAAGCGGATTGCTGGGTGGTGCAGAGGTCTGCTCGAGAGACTGGACGATCGATGTATGTGTAGATGCGGGGGAACCCACCAACGTTTTGTAAGGGAAACTGCCGGCACCCGTAGCATAAGCTAGACTACTATTTGATTAGTCAACCCAAGGCATAAGAGAGTTTATAGTTTGACTTTGCACGTATGTGTAGGAATGCCAAGTCTCATCGCACCCCGACTGTCCGAAATATGCTCATACGGGTACACCCGCAGATCTGCGGCTGGATATCATGGTTTTGAAGCCGCATGTAAGAGGCAAGTTCGACCCGCGAAAGGGCCGTAAAATCTATTGTCACATTGCCATAAGTCATGAGGACTAGAAAAAGTTCCTGTTCAGGACCACGCTTCATATACTAATCTATTTCCAGTAACATCATAAGTACATACATCAAGACTACCTATTTAACATCAGACGGAAAGCTTTTCTAGTTGAAGACTACATACGGACGGTACTACAAGTCATTTCTGTAGCAACCTCAACCTTTGCGGGGCTTCCCCGAGAATCAGTCAACATACGACCCGGCCCGCAATTACCTGCCGGGGGGCGGCCCGGCCACTGGTGACGGGCAATTCTCCGTGTCCAGGGTACAAGGGATCCCCGCCGCGGCGGACGTATCAGCAGCTGTCATACACGGCCATCGAGCTGCAATGGAACGGATACAATGTCACCATCGCTGGATGCCTGGGTCTCCTGCTCTTCCTTCACCGAATGGCCGAACAATTTTCAGGGTCTTGGTGTGTCTAGAGCGACTCTAGAATCGAAAGACCCATGACAATGCGTACAACGTAAGCAGAGAATGGAGTTCAGAGTATCCACTCGTTTGAGATTCACTGGTCCGTTGGTGTAACTCGGGTGCCGTTCGATCCATTTTCGGAACAAGGCCGGCGGCCGCCGCAGTGAAATCCTGCTTGTCAAAGTCCCAAACCGCGAGTTCTGGTGGAGAAGAGGAGCCTTATCGGACTTCGTGTTTTCTGCCATTGGGACATTGTTAACACCCACTTCGAGGATCGCTGACAAGGTGGGTTTTGTTCGCATTTTCTCTCAGAATTCGGCTACAGAAGGATCCAAGCAGGCCCGACGTTGTCAGCGCTAACTGACTTGCGAACTGTCAACGATGCTTGTGTTGAGTTCCGAGTAGGAAGTTCCTTGCGCAGATAATTGCTTCAATTCCAACAATTCGATCGAAAGGTAGCATCGAAACAAACTGTGAGTAAATCACTTTCTCGCTGCTAAAGAGGTTTCCATTCCACCGTTCTATCCCCACGTGGGGCCGATCTGTATGGGTTTTGTCCGATGGCATTTAGGCTTCGTCTCGGTTCCGAGCTGCCTGCCGTGGATCGTCGAGGCCGTAATCAAGAATTCGCTCGACCTCTCAACTCCACTATCGTCGTCAAAGTCATTGAACAATACGTCAAAAGTCGTTATTGCCATTCCGGGTCGAACGCACTCTGATGACGTCCGCCATGGACCTGTTCAAATTTTCAGTGTATATAACGAGCCAGCGTGAGCCGGCTAGTATGATTACTTTTGAAAAGCCGTTACACTTTGTTCAACACGAATTTCAAACAAAATAACTTACAGGTCGACTTTGAACCGTATCACTGACACTACATCTTAGTCGCCATGCCTTCCAAGGACTTCACGGTTCTGATCGCCGGCGGCGGAATAGCTGGCTTGACACTGGCGAACCTGCTCGAGCGTGTGGGAATCAACTATCTCATCCTCGAGGGGTATCGCGAGATGGCTCCCCAAGTGGGCGCTAGTATCGGCATTCTGCCAAACGGCTCTCGAATTCTTGACCAGATTGGGCTCTACGATGAGATTAAAAAACTCATCGACGAACCTCTCTTCAAGTTGTCCCTTCGCGACTCCAAGGGCAACCCAACGAGTGAATACCGTGGGGTCGGCCAGCAGATCAAGCAACGGTGAGTAGGAGCTCGGTTGAGAAACCTCAATAAACCCTTCTGACATCAGAATGCAGGCACGGATACGAAGTTGTCTTTGTGGATCGCCAAATGATTTTGGATGTATTGTGGAAGAACTTGAAGAATAAGGACAGAGTTCTTGTCAGCAAGAAGGTTACACAGGTCTCGATCGAGCCGTCCAAGGTCAAGGTCGAAACCAGTGATGGCCAGTCTTATTCTGGTGACATTTTGGTCGGTGCCGATGGCATTCACAGCAAAGTCAGAAGCGAGATGTGGCGGCTGGCGAACAGCCTGGAGCCCGGCTACATACCTGCTTCCGAAAAGAAGGGTAAGGGAGGCAAGTGCGTTCTGTTTACCATCATAGACTGACAGTGGGGTAGAATGCCTGCCGACGGTCTATAAATGCATCTTTGGCATCTCCATCATCAAGGACTGGGAGGATGGCACGGTGCAGACTAACTTAAACAAGCACTTCTCCTATCTCGTTATCGCCGGCCCTTCTGATAGGGTTTACTGGTTCCTCTTCGTAAACATGGGCTACACACACTACGGCCCCGAGCTCCCCAACTATACCAAGGAAGACGAGGCGAAGTTGGTCAAGGAGCACCAAGAAGACAAGATCATTGAGAACTTCACCTTCAAGGACCTGTACGCCGCCAAGATCTCTTCAGTTTTGACCCCGCTGCCAGAGTATGTCTTCAAGAAATGGCACTTCAACCGCATCATGACCATTGGCGATGCTGCGCACAAGGTAAGGCCGCCCCCATTCTCACAGTGGCCATACGAGCCGAAACTTGAATGAGGTTTAAGATCTGACGTGCTTCAGTTGGAACCCATTGCCGGACAAGGAGGCAACAGCGCAATCGAAACTGCCGCAGTCCTGGTAAATAACCTCACGGAAGCTCTCAAGCAGAACCCATCAGGCGTCACGACGGAGCAAATCCACAATGTCTTCCTGGAAACCCAGAAGAAGCGAGAACCGCGCGTCTGGCCCCTCGTCCACAACTCGCACAAGGAACAGCGTTTTGCCGCCATGGAAAGCCCTCTCTTGGAATTCGCCGGTCGCTACCTTGTTCCGAACCTGTCAATTGACGAAAAGGAAGGGCCCTGGAGTACAAACATCGAGCCCGGGCACAAGCTCGACTTCTTGGATGTACCCAAGAGGCCACGTGCCCTGCCGTTTCTTGACGAGCTTCCTAGCCAGAAGTTGGATTTCTCCCTTCTTCCCAAGCTTGTGGTGGGATCCGTTCTTGCAGGCCTCCTGTACCTAGCGCAGCAGGTTTTGATCATCGCTCCCGAGGCGGCAAGCGGTGCCAGCTTCGTGGGTCAGTCTCTGAAGACTGAGTACACAGGTAATGCCCAGATCGATTCAGTTCTCGCTCTCCTCTCCTGGGCCTTCTCCGAGGCAACTTCTGGTTCTGACCCGAGCATGAGACTTCAATGCCTCTACTTCTTGATCAACCTCGTGCCCATCATTTACATCTGGACGGTTGAAGGTTACCGCAATGGCAACCAGCTCTCTCTCGTATCCTGGCCGTCCCTCTTCGCGGTCTACCAGCTGGTTGGCATCGGCAACATTGCCCCGCTCTACTTCCTCATCAGTCTGCACACGACCAGCAGCGAAGTCTATACCCGTCCCACAGGCCGGCCGATCCCGTCAACCGTCGCGAAGGCGCTGGTTCCGGCCCTGTGCCTCGGATACATCCTGCCCACCGCCCTCATGTTCATCCAGTACGGTGACTCCGTCGCTCAGCAGAATGCCATCGCCTTCTGGCAGCCTTCCCCGGTCTACGTCTCGATTCTCACCTGGCTCTTCTCTGGCATCCTTTCGCTCGCCTCGCCCATCAAGTCACTGGACTGGGAGATCTTTGAAAAGAAGGACCAGGGCGCGCTGCAAACCGGCTACACGCTTGCCTTTGCCGTCGCCGCCATCACACACGTCTGCGCGCTCGCGTATGCTGGCTTCAGCCCCTCTGTATCTCTCTTCGAGACCTTTTTCGACTTACCAAGCGTTGCGTCCATGGGCTTGGGCCTTGACATTGGCGGATTTTGGAAGTATGACATGCTTCTTTGTTTCGGCGCTGTTGCGGTCTGGTGTCTGTACACCGTCTATGAGCTCCGTCGACTGGGATACGTAACAACAAAGTCCGCGATCGGGGCTGCAGTGGCCACTTTGATGGGACAGGTACTGGTCGGCCCTGCAGCGACCTATGCCGGACTTTGGGCATGGAGGGAGAACGTCATTGCAGGATTGATGATTGAGTAAGAACTCCCTTCGAACGGAACCTGAATATCATCAGCTGCGATCGCTGTCATAAGCTGTCAAGATTGAGTCGTTCAACGGACAACTGAGTTCTTTGAGCCAGCGTCACCACAGTTGTTGCGTACTCTGCGTCAAGATCCGAGACCGACGTGCTCAACCTGAACACGGTATCAACTCGTAATGTCGCTTCTATCAAGGATCAGTTATGCTTATTGTGGAAGGTGGTCTTCTAGTTGAGCGGATCAACAACTCATTTGCCGAAAGTGTGGCAGATGATGGGGTAGGCGGCCGTTGAGGACAGGGATCCTGGCATTGGCAACTGTAAATAGATGCATGAACCGAGTCAATTAGCCAATTGCATTCAGAGCTAAGTGGACATGCAAGCAATACGAGGAAAGTGGATACAGGTTGATTTCCTAGATTGCCGTGCCCAGCCAAGAAAATCAACAAGTGGAATTTTGAAGTTAAAAGCTGGAAGCGCCGTATCGTGTTGAGTTCTTGAGACATAAAAGGGTTCTCACCGTCGTGAACAACAACGTCGACAAGGCATAGTGCCAGTTTCACCATGATGAAAGGACTCATCCTCGGACTTGCCTCGCTGGGCCTCGCCAGCACCGTTCCTCGCGCCGAGCCGGCGGTCGTACCGTTCCGCCGGGGTTGTCAAGTCTCGGACGATGGCGCCGTCCAAGCCCGGGATGCTGCCGCCGCCCACTTCACTGGCAGGACAATGACAGCCCGTCGTCAGACCTACCCCGGCAACTTCACCGTCGACGTGAACTTCCACATTGCCAGCACCGAAGCCGAGGCAGACCTCATTACCGACGCCATCGTCGATGCCCAGTGGAAAATCTTGCATGACAGCTTCGCAAAGTACAGCATCAACCTCGTTCTCAACTCCACTGAGCGCGTCGTCGATAACCTCACAGGCTCCGCGTTCCTCATCAATGAAGGCGGTTCTGCCGGTTGGGTCTACCACGAGGCCGAGTACAATGCCTACCTCAAGGCCTCCCGCAAGGGCGGCTACGATGCCCTCAACTTGTACTTCTTTAGCAGTTACTCCCCCGGTGCCACTGGCTACTGCCAGTTCCCTACCGTTCTTCCCGCAGAGGGCAAGGACAGCTTGACCTTTGCCAAGGACTCGTGCCAGCTCAGCGCCATGACAATGCCAGGGTTCACTGTCGAGCAGGGCGGCTTTGAGAGCTGGAACCTCGGCCACCTTGCCGTTCACGAGGCTGGCCACTGGTTTGGTCTAAACCATACCTTTGCTGGTGGATGTTCTGACACGGCGGGCGACTTTGTTGCGGATACGCCGGCACAGAGAACTGAGGTGTACGGGTGCCCTGCTGATTCGGATACGTGCCCGGATCTGCCGGGTCTGGATCCTGTTCACAACTTCATGGGTTACGCTGATGATTCTTGGTAAGTTGGCTGTTCGGGAATAGCTTTTCGAGTTATCTTACTGACTGAACCTTTAGTACCAACGAATTCACTCCTGGGCAAAAGGAACGCATGTTTTCAACCTTCTTTGGATGGCGAAGGAAATAGACGAATTCTGTAGACACCTCTTGATCCATAACCATGACGAAATTTACTTAGCAAGTTCTTGGAAACAAGCAAATTCAATGACTTGAGTTACATACACCCCGTATGAAATGCCCTTTGATTTGTATCATTACATCCCCATCCTAAACTGTTCCCAGATGTTGCAAAGTATGAGATTGTGTAGTCTGGGCTAAGGATGATAATTAACAACCTCAGACGTCCAATCGACCCAGTTGTTTAGTATGTGGTAATTTTGAACATCCTCCTCTCAAAAGTTTCCAATTCTTCCAAGACGTGATTGATTGGGCTTGTACCGCCTCTTGGGTTATTTCTTGCGGTGTCCGAGCGAGACGAAGCACATCTTGACAGTAAACTGAAGTGTGCGGGGTTCAATACTTGTTTTGAGCTTTGGGAGGCAGCTGAATATGATTTCTTGGGAGAATCGGTTGGGTTGCAGGGAGTCCTTTCTTTGTCATCAAGCGCTCCGATTATTGGGCAACGTGACTCGATGGTGCTTCTATATGCGCAAGACTGTAGCATGCGGTGAGTCACAGACCCGCGGCATAGGTAACTCGATTTTGGAGCTTAGATAGCTGGACGTGAATCACATTGGTGGTGGTGGTGCTATTTTCATTGACGCTGATGCAGTACTTGGAATAATACGAGTGGTGAATGGGACTATTGTAACGGAGAGTGGTGTAACGCATCAACATCCTCGTCTTCCACTACCTAACAAATGTATTCTTTTATCAGGGCCGTTAAATGTACTCTTGTGCTACAGGGAAATGGTCACGTAGATCCTTTTGCATCAGTCTTGAAGCTTATATAGTACCTTTGATATCAGTAAACATCATTACGTCTTGATCCGGTTCAGTTAGCACTAAATTCTACCGATTGCGCAGTGGGCTACGCCTCCTGGCACTTGCAGCCAGAAAGCTTTGAGCGGGACTTCACAGCACCACCTTGGATATCTTGAAACCTCCAGGAATCCTCGTTTGGAAAACACCAGTTGGATCGTACTTGGCAGCCACTTCCTCCAGGAATCTGACATTCTCCTCGCCATAGGTGCTGATAGGGTCTTGGGCAGGGTTCACGTAGTTGAGGTACCGCCAGGCCGTCGCCTTCCCATTGGCTTCGGCGTAAGCCTCGAGCTTCGCGGTCATGGCGGCTAGCTTGGCATGGGCCAATGCCTCTTGCTCTCCTGTGCGATTCTGGGCTTGAACCAGCCAGACAATTGAGTTGTGTGTCAAGGATGTGTCAAGACCCAAGACGTTGTTGCCGCTGCCCTTTGTCGCAAAGTGCTTGGGTAGGGGCTGGCTGACGACGGAAAGACCGAGATCCGGCGAGGGGATCAGAGCTTGGAGCTGTACAAGAAACTCATCGTAGAGCTCCGGCATCTTTGTCATGATGTCGATATCATTATGGAAGCAAAGAGAGAACCACACGTTCCTGCGTGACGTTAGCAGTGAAACAAGCTTTGAACGCGAAGTATAGTCATGTACCTCTTGCCTCCTGCCGTGGCATAGTCTGTGATGAGAGTTCCGTAAGGTTTTCTCTTCCTGTCGTCGATGATTGCAGGAAGGCCTGCAAGAGGAGCGAATGAGGTTGAGTTGGCGATGCCAGCCGTGTTGATGGCGTTGATTGCAATCATGGGCGGCCCCTCCCCAGAATAGGTAAAAGTGACAACCTCAGTATCTTCCGGATGGTCCTCGTTGATTTCAACGAGCCGAACAAATTGTTCCATGACAGCTTGCTTCTGGTCGTAACTCATGAACAACAGGCCCCCGTAGAGACCTCCTGGCGCCGCCGGTAAGGTTTGCATGTCGAAAGGAGTCACGATCCCGAAGTTGCTGCTGCCGCCCTTCAGAGCCTTGAATAGATTGGGGTTCTCGCCCGCGATAGCGTCAACGATTCATCCGCTGGCCAGAACCACCTCGTAGTTCTTGACATCGTCGCAGGCAAATCCTCTGGTCCCAGTGTGGAACGACGCGCCGCCGCCGAGAGTCAGACCACCGACACCAACGTTACCCTCGCGTCCTCCGATGACATATTGGCCATATTTCTCAAACTCCTTGCAGACTGATCCCCACCTCGCGCCTGGTTGGATCGATGCCGTTACCTTTTCGTTCTAGAAAGAAATGATCACAAAGTCAAGTTAGGGGGGTACATACACTGCAATTCTTGTAGGTGGTTGCATTCATCCGGCTGAGGTCGATTGTCACACCTTGAGCAACGTTGTTGGATGCATAGTGCGAGTTTTATGCTGCCCAATTCTCAACCTCCTCATCTGGCCTAGCACACATAGTCCATCCAGGCTCATGCCGCTCATGACTTTCCGAAGCTTCATATCTTTAGAGTGATTCATACAGCGTTGGATGTCTATCGTGGCTCCCGGTGTCGCCTAGTCGCCCTGCTAGAATTACCGCGCGAGCCACTGCCGCCATAGAATCCGAAACACATCCTGATTGATGATTCTTGTTATATAGTCTTTGAAACGTTATTCGAGCAGCCGGATGTATTGGGGTTGGGGACGTAGTCGGAGAGAAGGAGTTGATTTCAGTCGAGCTGGCGTTATGATCACTTCAGTCAAGAACTTGGCATCAGGGTGATTGAGCGATGTGGCTTGGCCTGTAATTTATTAACAGAAGTTTCTTGTGGTTCATTTCAGTGAAACATCTCCGAAGACATGCAGAATTCACCGTTCAAGATGACTGTGAGGAACTCGGCCACTAACCAGATCAATCATTCACTTCCTGCATTGTGAGATGTCCAAATTTTGTTGTTGATTCACGACTTGCGCTTGTATCAATTTGTATTATGCCCTTAGGCCCCTCCTACCGTTCCGTTCACCCAAAGTAACTTGAAGCGCCATGGCCCATGGACAGGAGTGTGCTTCATGGACTGGCTTGTGATGGTATATATGCTTTCTTGCCACGCACTCTTGGATCTCAGAACTTCTTCATCCACTGAGAACACCCAGATACTCAATCAATCAACCTCAATTTCAAAGACTCCGTTCTTCACGCCGCTCAAATCAACTTCTCCAAGCTCAATCATACATGGCGCTTAAACCTCACGCTCAACAATCTCATTACATCTAATACACCAAATAACGAGACTTCTTAGTTCTTACCATCTACCGTCATCATGTGTCTTGGTTCAGGTGATGAACCTCGACGAGAGCGTCACCGCCTTGAGCGACGATCTGCCCGGTGGGCTAGAAAAGACCAAGCGCTGCTTTACAGGTTCAACACTCTCTGGTAATCTTAGAGGGTGGATGAAGGACTAGGACAGATGAGAGATTCCGCGCGACTTATTGATGGTTCAATAGAGGGCGAAGGAGAGTAGGGGGAAAGGAGACAAGTTTTAGGCTTCAACGTTTTGGTAAGCAAGGCCCTAGACTCCTTGCAGGGTTTCTCAGTCAGTCTTTTCAATACAATGTGATTAATCTTCATAGTTCAAGAAAGAAAAAGAGAAAGGAGAGATGAAACCCCCCTCCTCCCCCCGGGGGGGAGGCCTCCTACATGATAACAGGTAACACTCTGCTGGTACCTTATTGTAATCTTCTAGTCAAAGACTTTGGAGGACCACTACATAGCTTAGATCTCGGTACTAGATTATTTACTCGGATCTCATGAGACAAATAACCGGTTTGAAGTGGTTTAGAATACCGGCATAACTCATTGACCTTGCGATAGATAGGTCCTAACGATCTGTCATAAAGATCTTGTTGGCAGGTAGGAGAAAAAATGGCCGCAAGCTGGAAATCATAAAAATTGACTTGCAATGAGAAACCTTACGAAGCTTCAGCCTGCAATGTCTTCAACTCGTCGATTGTTATCACTACTGAACGACAATTTTTTGTCGTTGCTCCAACTTGTTGGCTCATCCAATCTTGGCCTAGTCAATCAATGTGTTGGACCAAGACCCAATTGGTTGGGTTTTAGTTGCAAGCTGTCCTGCTAGCAGACAGCTTAGCTAGTTCTGTAGCAAGTCCGAACCATGTTCTCGAAAATTCTAGAACATTAGGCCTGTACAAAGCTAGAATGTCAAAAGCCATCTCATTCTTTGTATGCGAGTTCGCCCAGACTTTAGAAATACCTGTCATAAAGCTCGCACGACTCGACAAGGTGCTGTGGGAGACGCAAGTTGGCGAGCAAGGACAAAACAGGGCATGCCACGTTTAGACAACAAACACATGTAGCAGCCTCCACAGGTCTCCGCTGACAGACCGACAAACAAACATTCGGTCAATGTTTCGCACAATCATTTTTTTTTTCTTATTCCCTATCACAGGACCTTTCAGCAGACCATATAGAAGATGGCCCTGTTGTGCTCTTATTGAATCATGACGGGAATACCTTATGCTACAAACATCTGAACATGAGATGTTCAGGGCAACGCAAGAGAGGACCCTTGCGCGGGGTGCTTTGCAGGGGTGAGCTTCTTAGGCCCCAAACAATCGCCGCCCGGCAATCTGAATGGCGTATATAGAGGGAAACACCCCGGAATGCTCCAACGACAATCCTGGTTTGACCCCACCTGAGACGCTTAAGTAAGGACGTTTTTCCCCAAGTGGTCACAAAAACTTCATTAACTTCACCTCACCCCTCCAATCTCACCCCCAACTCATAAAAGTCGCCGCATTGCTCTTCCATAAACACAACAGTCAATAGCACATAATCCCCAAAGCGTGACGGATCGAGGGGAACTTGTCGCGATAGCTTTAGCGGAAAATGGACGAAACGGAGGATTTATCGCCATACATGCAGCAACTGGATCTATTCCGCCGCAATGACTTCACTCGTGATCAGATGATCCAGGTAAGATTGAGCTTCCCGACGATGCCATCGCTCGCGACTGCCTGATGACAAAGGCAGCGGCTATTGATATTGTCTCTCGATTTCTATTGTCGGATGGACTGACTTGGATTGTCTAGGATCTACTTAATCGCCACAGCCAGCTTCAGCAAGCCTACCGCGAAAAGTGCGATGATTACAACAATGAGCGCGAATCGCGCCGGATGTGGCAGACCAAAGCCAATATTCTGGGAAAGGACGTAGTTGCTCTTAACAAGTCGAATGTGAGTCTACTGGTTCTCCAATTCATGGCTCATGGAACCCATCGACAAGACCTCGGTGCAGAGATGGAGACCTGATTTCAAGGCCAGCATGGGAAGGGACTGACTTGTGAGACAGGATTCTAATCCATTTGTCTTTGTTATAATCGACGGCGACGGTGCCGTCTTTCAAGAATCCTTACTGAAAAGGGGTGCTGAAGGAGGTGCCGAAGCCGGCTATCTCCTGTCGACAGAGATAAAGAACTATGTTACCGAGGCCTACCCTGAGGCTGCCAGCGAAGACTGGAATATAATCGTACAAGTAGTCCTCAACATGGACGGCCTCGCAAAGAAGCTCCATGCCTCTGGTATCATCCCCTTCACCACTTCAGAGCGAACCCTTATAGAGTTTGGACGCGGCTTTGGTCGCGCACAGCCTCTATTCAGCTTCGTCGACGTCGGCTCAGGCAAGGAGTCAGCTGACCACAAGATCCGCGAGATGCTTCGCATCATGGTCCGCATCGGCCAGTGCAAGCACATCTTCTTTGGCCCTTGCCACGATAACGGATATCTCCCGGTCCTCGAGCCGTATAAGCTAGACGATAAGGTGGCTTCAAAGTTCACCCTCATCGAGACGACACCCGCCGAGGAGGGCTTTAAACAGCTCAAGTTCCACAGAATTATCTTTAACTCTGTCTTTATGTCGGAAAAGCTTCCTGAAAGAGTCCAACGACCGGGACCGGGCATGAGCATGCTTCCCCCTCCCCTCCCCTCTGCGCCAGCCGTCACTGTCCCCGGAGCCACTATGCCGCCTGCCAACCCGACTCACACCAAATCCGCCAAGAACGGCGCTCCCTCAGGGCCGACTGAGCCATCTCGCGTCACCAGCCCGCTCTCCAGCGGCTCGCAGACGCCCGCGTCTTCTTGGACTACTACACTGACGAGAGTCTCAACGGCGCCCAAACCCATCGACATCTTTACCACAAAGAAGACGCCACAACCGAAATACTACCTGATGAACGCCGACAGCCAGCGCATCGACGAGCCACTGCCAAAGGTCGATGTCGTGATGGAGAAGAGGTTCAACGCCCGCATGGTAGAGACGGGCAAAAAGTTTTGCAACAATTACTACCTCCAGGGCGAGTGCAAGAATCCAATTTGTCCTTACGTCCACAGCGAAAAGCTCAGCGCCAGCGAGATGGTATTATTGAAGCAAAAGGTAAAGTTTCTCAGCCTTTTTCTCTTCCGACATCCGGCTAATCTGTGATGTAGGCTCGCGGCATCCCCTGCAATCTTGGCTCCGAATGCGACGACATAAATTGTACACTCGGCCACCACTGCAGATGGCTTAAGGACTGCAACCATAGCTACTGCCGCTTCCAGGGCTACCACGACATCAACCCTAAGCCTAGAGTCAAGTGCTTCGAGGATGGCAGTATGAAGATTATTGATAAGCTCTAAGACAATTACCGCTCATCCAACATTCACCTAAAGAAGGAAAAAGACAAAAAGAAAAAAGAAAAAAGAGGTATTAACCACCAAGGTTTATTGCTTCGGCACCGCGGGAATCGGATCTGAACTCACTGGGGGATAGGAGGTCTTCTACTTGAAGCAGGGAAGATCGCGACTTGAAGTGGGACGATCGAGGATAAGAAGGCAGCGGGTATGTGAGGGGGAACTCGCTCTTTACTCACGTCAAACAGCATTGACGTAGCAAACCATTCAAGCCTAGAGAACCAGCAATTGAAGATGCGGGACATCTATCACTCTCATAACCTTGCGTCTTTTCACAGCAGATTCCCGAAAAGTAATTTCTACCTTATCATGTGCAACTTGATTCAAACAGGAAAGGGGATATTAGGGGATGGATGATAACTGCCCGACCTCAGAACTCATGCACCTGCCCGAGATCGAACAGCGCGCCCCTCAGCCATGAGCCAACCTTTACACTAGCTCCATGGGAGTAATTGTTCATTTAACCACTTGAGCATCTCGAACCCAGCTTGACATGACCCGCCAACCTAAATGGACGATGCTGTACTGGTGACGGGAAAAGATGCCAGATGGGCATATGTACATGTACCCATGGCCCTACTTCGTAGAGTCGAGAAATGGAGGTGGGAAGGGACAAGACAGGTCCTGGTATGCAGCGCTGACTGTGCAAACATTGAGCAGTCCATGAAGGACAGATGTTTAATGCTAGACTAAACGATGAACAAGTAGCGCCGGTGCTCAACGTTCCAAGCCAAGAAGCCCCCAAATGCCCAACCCTGAAAGGAACCACAAAAGACTCGTCCAAATTGTTGCCTAAAATGCACCTGAGCGACCGTATTTCAATCGAATGCCCAGGCTCGATGTACGGCCGCGTACCACAGAAACCCCTCTTTCCCAAGTCTCATGCTGATTCGTCGAGAGCGAGCTCTCGAAGGAGAAACATACATGTACCTAGTAGCTAGGTTTCTGCAGATTACACCTTAGCCCTGTACTTCTACCTGACGCGCACGTCAGCAAACATCCTGCATGAATATGTACCCTAGATTGGTACTTGAGTGGATGTGACCGTTTTCCATTGTTTCTAGATTGAAGACACCTACCCGATCTAAGAACCTGGAAGAATAGTGGAAGAATAGGAACGCAGTTGATTTTTGTATTGGTTGAGATTGAGAACAGGTTTGCTTTTATCTATTCTCCCTACGCTGATCCGGCGGTAATGGCTCACGTTGGAGTAGACACCAGGTGCTCGTGTGCATTCTCCCTTCAATAGTAAGTTGCGGCTTTGAAGGTAGGAATAGGTATAACTCGCCAAATTGGTCTTTTTCCCCCGGAACCAGACGCCTTAGAGAAAGCCACAAGTTTTACACAGAACAAGACTTTTTTCTCAAGTAGAAAAACAGCAATTATTCATGTCATTCTAAGTAGACGAATTGCCTCTCTCGATTGCGTGCAATTTTATTATCGGGTTTCGAAGCCTTTTCCATGCGTTCTCTAGTTGATGGAGGAGTCGCAGGTGTCTAGCCTAATCTTCTACACTTGCTGACCCGGCCTTTTCGGGCGACACAGGGACGTTGACGCAAAAACAGGCGTTCCGCCCAACGAACTCATCATTTTACGGAATCTATGTGACTGTTGTAACATTTGCTTGTAATGTGCTGCGAAGTCTCGTGGTAGACTTGCATTAGCTTCAACTTGTGTGCTTCACCTTCAAGGATATTGACAGAGGCAAACCCGGATCAACTACCTGTTCGCCCTAGCGAAACAAATAGCCTTCTAAAACGACAGCACAGCAAAACGTTTCATGTGAGGTTATTCCGACAATTGAAAGATGTCCGCCTCATGTTCAAACATCGCAACCTCATGACGAGTGATGTTAAGTTTAACGCAATATGCAAGAGCTGTGCGCAGAAGCTCGAGAGAAGCTCACCATCTCCGTATAAACATGACTAGAAGATAGGAAACCCAAACTATGCGCTACCATATCTTAGTGCCGTCACTGCTGTGCCCGATGTAAGGAACTAGCTTACCCTCCAATGTTCACAAAGCCTTCCGAGCCGGTGAGGACCCGCACCGGAGCCCGCTATGACGCCAGACGTCGGAAGCGCACCATCTCCCCGGTGGGTCCATCGCGGAGATAACGCGCACTTCCAATTGGATGTCGGAACACCAGGGCACCTGGGGGACCTAGCGGGAGATCTCTTGGCGGACAGCTGCCGCAAAAACTGGAGATATCTCCATCAGACCATGTTCTTCGACGAGTCGAGAACTCCATTCTTTTGTCAGTCTTGGAAGGGAGGGTCCAGATTCATTGGAAACATGAGATCAGACGCCTCTCAGACGTCATGTCGTTCGGAGCTCTCGGGATGGACGGGGTTTGCCTCATGGTGAGTTGTCAACATCGCCGAGAGGATGAGAGATCCGATTTCGTATAAGAATCAGTCGACGATGCTCCTAGCCAAGAGTTTCTTTCTTTGACTCAGCACAACGCGAGCATCACATCAAGATATCTCTTACAAGAACTTAATTACTCTCTCACTCCAAATCTCACCACACTTCACCCAATACCACCAACCACCAACCATCAAAATGCTCGGCAAGATCGCCCTCGAAGAAGCCTACGAAATGACAGGCATGGAAGCCAAGTCAGAGTACGAAGCCTCCCTCTACATCAACCCCTCCGACCGCGCCCGCTACATGCGCCAAATCAGCGACCTCAACTCGGAGCGCGTCAAGCTCGCCGACGCCCACGGCATCGGCTACACCATCGTCTCCCTCACCGTCCCAGGGATCCAAGGCATCGCCGACCAACCCGCCGCCGAACGCCGCGCCACAGAGGTCAACAACTGGGCCCATTCCCAAATCAAACACAACCCCTCCAAGCTCGGCGCCTTCGCCTGCCTCTCGATGCACGACCCCATCCAAGCAGGCCGCGAACTCACCCGCTGCGTCAAAGACCTCGGCTTCCACGGCGCCCTGCTCTGCGACTTCCAGCACGCGGGCGCCAACGGCGAGATCTACAAGTTCTACGACCAGCCCGAGTACGACGCCTTCTGGGAGGTTGTCTGTGCGCTCGACGTGCCCGTGTACATCCACCCAGCCGCCCCCGCGGACGTCATCCTCGAGAAACTCTACGCGCAGCGCAAATACCTCATCGGCCCGCCCCTATCCTTTGCAAACGGCGTGAACCTCCATCTCATGGGCCTCATCTCCAACGGCGTCTTCGACCGCTTCCCGAAGCTGCAGGTCATTGTCGGCCACCTGGGCGAGCACCTCCCCATCGACCTGTGGCGCATCAACCACTGGTTCGAGGACGTCAAGAAGCCGATTGCGGAGGCGGAGGGCAACGCGGACCGCATGTGTAGGAAGACTGTGTACGACTATTTCCGGGAGAATATCTACGTCACGACGTCGGGCAATTTCTCTACGCGCGCGTTGAAGTATGTGGTGGACGAGATTGGGGCCGACCGCGTTCTGTTTTCGGTGGATTACCCGTACGAGACGATTGAGATGTGCTCGGCTTGGTGGGACGGCCAGGCTGAGGAGGTGAAGGAGGCGGTGGGCGGGGTTGAGAATTACCGCAAGATTGGGCGGGACAATGCCAAGAAGCTGCTCAAGCTGGGCGAGTTCCATGACTCTGAGGCTCCTGTGTCTTGAGATAGGTTTGTGTCAGTATCATGATAGTAGCCTGAATGGGCAGACAGCCCGCACTAAATATTGCCTTATCCAACTCTCACGCTCAGTTTCCCCATGTGCCCCTGGATTTTCTGGGAAGACTCTCGTGCCTCATTGGGACCCATGACCTGGGTGGAATGACAACTCAATCACCTTGGGACTATGTTCAGTCAGCTAACAGAGGGAAGTAATATCGTGTAGTAGTCCTGCACACTCTGGAATAAAGGAGTTGGATGACGAAGAGGTGCTAATTGGAATCGATTGGTGCCCCTATGAGTCTTGCGTTTATTGAAAGATTCCCCAATTTGTCAAATCTATCCCTTGGATATTGAACCAACTTTCATTAAGCAAATCGGAGCCTGCAAAATCGCCAAAGTCCTGCGCCAGGGACGTCTGGCCCATGCCAGGCACAGAGCCAAACGGGAGCAATGCTTCCTGCTCGCTTCCTTGCTCAAAGGGCGGATCGTATGTTCCTGCTAATCCAGATCACCAAAATGGGTTAGCTTTCTGTATTTTTCAGTCTACTGATCCCCAAAAGTAATTGGCAAAAGCCGACTCTCTTTCTTGCTCTTTGTGTGTGTATCTATTTTTCGTACCGTTGGTGTTAGGGGCCCCGCTGGCCGCGTTCCGCTGCGAAACGGCGGCCACGACAGATGCGCGAAACTTTTCCAAGACTTCGATACCCCGGCTAGCAGAGGCGACGTGCTGCTTGTGAAAATCAAAGATGCGCAAAGCTCGATCCCACGACGATTTCGTCGGCTCTGTTTCGAAGTTGACTTGGAGATCGGGGCACAGGGTGGCGACGACCAGAGTGGATGCTGCGGCGAAGGTGACTGTGACACAACAGTAAACAAAGAGTTAGCTTGAGCCGCCAAACATGAACTCAAGTGGGGGGTGGAAGAAGAAAGTAGCGACGAGGCAGGATGGGGTAAAGATCAAAACATTGCGTACAGAGTAGAACATGCCAAGCAGAGTTCTGTCTGACGCTGCCCAGCTTCTCGTAAAGCTCCTGTAGCACGCTGTGAGCAGTCAAAACGCAGAGAGAATTGGCCGAATGTCCTAGGCTGTCACGGAGTGTCTGCGTGGTGTCCGTTGCGAATGGTTTCTCTAGTCGGCTGCCGTGCTTGGCTTCGGCTAAGAGTAGTGGACGGAGGAGGAGAAGACGGATCCATAAGACTCTAATTGACACAGCCATAAGTCAGACTTTCTCCGCGAGAAGAGAAAAAGTGGGAGAATCGGGAGAAAAATCCCCTTACCTGGACTTGAGGATGTTTGCCTGCATCTGCAGACAACCTCGTAGCTCTTCGTCTAGTTGCGTCAAGTCCGCGCCCTCTCTGAGGTAGATCGGAAAGGAATGACCCAATTCGTCGAGCTTTGACGAAAGCTGCAAGACATGGCTGAGTGAATCGGGTGTCTTGTCCAAGGCGTATTCGCCGTCGGTGTAGAATTTGGCTAGGATCTCGTTTAGTACATCAAACAGCGCAACAGAGTGTACAAAGAAGGCCAGATACGATGGGCGTTCCGGCGGTTGCAGGCCCTCTGAATTCTCAGACAAGTGCTCATCGTCGATGGGTTCCGGTGGAGGGACGTAATACTGCCGAGACACAAGGACAGGCCTCCCAAAGGTGGTTGCCGTGAGTCTTGGAAGCCTTGACGTTAGCTGGGTGGAAATCATCTGGATCCGCGCAAACGAGGGAAGTGACACGGGTGCGGCGGGTGCCGAGCGAACGGTTTTTGCTTACCTGTCCAAAGTCAGGCAACAGTGCCAGACACGCCGTCTCATCTCCCTCTTGAGTTGACTTCCTGATGACGCTGGCCCATCACCGCGGGAGTGCAGTCCGAGCCCCTGCGCAACTCGCAGTGCGACACCTACTGTGTTCCAACAGCGGTCCGCGTACTGCGTGTAATGTAGATAGACGCCCCTCAGCAGAAACAGCTGAACGAGTTGCAGAGAGGAGTGGTCGAGCGTGTCGACTGAAACTAGCTTGACGGATTGCTTATAGAATCTGTTTGCTAAGCGGACTTGCTCTGATACAGAGACCTGATCAGTCCGCTGACACCCGAGAGCCAGCACGGTGCTCAAGGTGGCGTGGAAGACGATGTCCTTGTAGTCTCGATTGGGAGGTCCGTTTTGAGATGGCTGCCACACCGCTTCGTACGATACCGTAAACGATGGCCGGTGGAGTATGGGAAACACTAGGTGGACGAAGTCCCAAAAGGAACGGAGGAGGCTATCGGCGAGCCACCTCTCGGGCAGCATTACAGGGTCCGGCAGAGTATCAGGACTCTTGGGCTGCGTTGTTATCGCGAATCCGAGTACTGTAGGGGTGACATCCTCTGGCTCCAGGCCAGCCGGCTCCTCTGGACTTTTGGTGGTTGAGCTTCTGGGGCCCGCAGCTTGTGTTACAAGTCGTAGGAAGGAGCTGTTGGATGACGGACCGTATATGGCGTCGCCATCGCCCTCACTACGACAAGACTGTGACGCTGATTGAACGACGTTTGTCGTTGAGAGTTGAGCGGACAGCCGGGTATTGCTTGTGCCAATATGAGTGGCTAATCCGGCGGTATTCAGGGGTAAGACATTACGAGCTCCTCCCGAAGTGTCTGTTTCTGGGCCGGGATCGGGTTGCGGCGGACGTGACGGTCCGCCGCGCGCTTGAGATGCAGGCAACTCTTCCAAACGCTCCAACCTCTTTGATAGTTGGGATATTGACCTGCCAAGATACGTCAGCAGCCTTCCACTGCCGGTGACTTATTCGTCATTTCGGACCGGAGACGAAGGATCAGAAAGTCGACAGTACGTACGGTGTTGATGACGCATGCAAGACGGACTCTTGATAGGTGCACCGTTGCTGCCAACCCTTGGAAATACAAGATGCACAAACCGGGCGCATTCCATCGCATCCAGACTTGCGGGCGCGGCATGGGTTGCAGGCAAGCTGCGTTTTGCGCCGTTTGCGCGGCGGCAACTGTACTGAGGTCATGGGCATGGTCTGTGGTTGAATCGATGCCACGATACCTCACTTAATGCGCGTCAATGGAAGGTGCTTGAGGTGGCGGGGGTTCAGGAGGACCTGTCTGTCAGGTACCGCCGGTACGTCCGGTACCTTGTTACCACCTTACCCAACCTAGTCAAGAAAGACTTCATGCCTAAGGTAACCTAGAAGGTACCTAGGTATCTCTACCTTGGGGTGCTGGTGGGGATGAAAGGCGGGAGAAAGGTGGGGCTTCTACAGATCTCACCTCACCTTCCAGTACCGAACACCCATCCTAGGTACCGAAAGTGCCCAGGGTACCCGGGTATCTACGTATCTACGGTAGGCAAATAGGCGACGAGACACTCGACTTGTTACAAAGTCCTTTCACTCTACCACTGTCATTGTCACTCCACTTTTAGTACTGTTTCTCTTGGTACTGTTTCTTCTGGTGTTATTTCTCTTGGTGTTACTTCTCTCGCTGTTGCTTCTTTTGGTGTTGCTTCCCTTGTTTTTGTGACATATTCTCTGTGTATTCTTTGATGAATATATACCGAGACGCCTGATTCATCTAATAAAGATCTTTCAAGGTCAAGTAAGATCTCTGGGTGAGTACCTTGGACAATTATCCGTTAAAGGTACTGCTTAGGGTGCCTTCCTTGCCTAGTATGAGATCTTCGGGTGAGAGCATAATACCTTCTAGGCTTCTAGATAGTCCCCTTCTTTTATTTAGAGTTGTAATGTGCGATTTGTAGGTTAGCAAACGTCTTTAAGGTTAAGTGTGGTGTTCCTACGAAATTTATTTAACTTTTGAGAAGAGAAAAGAGGGGTATTCATTCTTAATAAAGGGAAGAAGAGGGAGAGAGAAAGCAACGCAGTCCTGGAAGAAACCTCCAGAAAGCTCGATACGCATTCGAGCGTAGGAGAGTGCCTTCCATTCCCAAACTTGAGGTGAAGGGGCAGGTCGCGGCAAGCAGCTAAGGTATCGATAGCTAACGTTTAAAAGGGATTTAATCTGATTCTTCTTCCAACCTTTAACGAGTCCCCATCATCATCCCGTCGATACCTCTCAAGTCATCCGAGACTTCTGTCATCTTCACTTCTGAGTCGTCACCCGAACGGCCGACCTTGTGTAGCGCTTCGATCCCGTCTACGACGTTGGATCTTGCGGGTGAGCCTATCTCCGGCCACGTGATCTTTCTCCGAAACTGACAATCCGGACCACAAAAGGCCCATTTCCAAGCTGGACCTCGAGGCTGAATTCAAGCGGCCCCTTCCCTCTTTAGAGTACGTGTCTTCGACGAAACCGACCCAGCACTCAAGCCCACCTCCCGAGGTTGCCGTAGATGGGAAAAACATCCTTCACTTCGAGAATCAGACGAAACATGGCTTCGCGCAGCAACAACGGATGGCTCGGCGACGATTGGGAGGGGGATCTCACCGAGCGATTTGACCTTGTGCATCAGATCCGACACGCAATGTTGAATCATGAGGACATCAAAGACGAGATTGACAAGATCGAGATTTTCCAGAGGAAGGAGGTTTGGGCACACTTGCTCGTCCTGAGCTTGCCGCGTCTCCGAAGCTTCTTGGCGGAGGTGCAGGGCCCCGGCGGCGACGACCTGATCTACAATCTCAGTCGTGATTTCAAAGATATGGACACCCTCATTCTGCTTTGTGAGTTTCACCATCTTCTCATTTCTATCCTTTCAATCGTCTCCTGCTTTTCCCTTCACATGTTTTTTTTAGTCCTATAGATGTTCGTATAATCATCTAACATCATTACCAACAACCATTTTCTTTGTCGTATTTCGCAGGCACAGGCTGACGTCTTCATCATCAGTTCGAGGCCCGAAGGAAGAATGGATCAAGAGCGGTAACATCTTAAGGAGCAATGCTGAGAAACTCGCGGTAAGACAATCCTGCTTCGTCTGTGATGAATTCACTCCTGACTAATTCAACTGCGCTAGTTGGCCGAGAGAGATCTCGGAATTTGCGTTTTTACGCTCCAACGACTAGGACAGAAATGCCATATCCTCCCATTCTGGACACTCAACCGACCGCGCTGTTCCCAGGCACTTGATGCTGCAGCCAAAGTATTCGGGAAAGAACGAATCAAAATGCTTCGCAAGAAGCTCGTCAATCCCGTGACGAACATCGTTGATACATCTAGAAACATGATCACGTTGCACCCTATGCTGCACAAGTTTTGGGACGAAGGAATTTTTGGTTTAGAGCCCGTCGCTCTCTTGTACGAAGAGGATAGGAAGGGAGAACCCGTCATTGCGGGTCCTTCGACTCTCTCTAAGGCCGCGGTCGAGACATACAACGAGGAAAGCGGCGAGCCGGGGTCTTCGATGTCTACGAGATCTGGTACCAAGAGAGTGGGAGACAGTCCCCAGATCACCACTTTCAAGAAGTCCAGAAGGAACAACGAGGACAAGGGCAAGGGCAAGAAGAAGGAGGTAGAGCAGTCGCAGGATATAGAAGCTACGGAGGAGGTTGATGAGGCTGAGAGGGAGCCAGTCGGTCTTCGTGTTCGATACCACTGGTTACCCGAAACGAAGGGCTTACAACCAGACACTCTTCCAAAAAACATGGCCGAGGTAAGGCAGTTTTGGAACTCGTGGAATGATGATAGCGTTGTACACGCCAAGGATGCCCTACCCATCGATGACGGCCAGGAGGTCGACATCTTCGATACACCAAACGCCAAAGCCCCCGATTTCGACATTATGCAGTTGCAGTTCGACATTTTCCGGATGCAGGCGTTGGCCGGCAGGGCAGACCCGATCACCTATGTTCCCGATTGGTACTACGACCAGGATGGGAAGATTGTCTACGCCCCCATTCCGGGAAAAGAAGAGGCTGTCCGGGCACTTGCGGCGAGGGAGGCGAGGGAGATTCAAGAGGCTCAGGAAGCAATGCAGGCTTAGAAAGTCACTATTTCTTCCTCTGATCCTCAAGGCTTCGATTCTTCTGCCTCCATACTTTCACCTGATCCTCAAGGCTCCGAGTCACCAACAGCTGCATCTGACCAACAAAGAACCTGACACACAGACCGAGCTTGAATTTGCGTAGCAAGAGAGAAGGGGATCGACAGTGCCAGGCCCCCGAACAACCCTCCGACGACCGAACTCTCGCCGAAGTCCCTTACAACGAGCCGGCAACAGCAACCGCAAGGCCTTCCATTGACAAGGAGAATGACCCTGCGGTCTATAATGAGCTTACGCGACGTCAACCCCACCGGAGAGAATCTGAACCTCTCTCCAAAGTACAGGAGCGTGTACCAAGTACTTCAGCCCAGACGTCACAGGGTCATGGACGTTCCAAGAGTGGAGGTTTAGGTCAGACGAGGGATAAGACCCAGAACCGCCTTTCTGCGGGTCATTTCGAGAAGCATGTTTCTGCCGATCAGGTCGAGAAGCGTCGGTCCGTGGGAAATCTCGGGGAGCGTCTGTCTGAGTATCCTGAGAACGCACCAAGTGGCCCAGGACTACAAGGCCCGTTGTCCCTGCGTCCTCGATTTGTCTGAGAAGGTGATCTTGGGAGTGACCAATGGAACTAAGCGGGCTGCGATGATGGAGGGGTAGATTATTGTCTTCTTATGCTGCTTGATGAACGGAGGGTACTTTGAGTTATTTGTCTTCACTCCCTTAATGTCCCTTTCCTTTGACCTGCATGACCCTCTGACTATTGTAGACAATTGACCTGAAACTCTTGTTACGGGAGTCTCGCTTCGCGGTCTTGCCAGCCACGGAAGGTCGTTGATTGTAAATGTGTAGGCCGACGAACGTCCATTCGACCATCAAGTAGGCCCTGTTGAAATAATGCTTCCACTTACCCAGTCAAGAGACCTCATCAATGAACCACAGGTTCATTGTTTCCTCAGTGACGCCTCAACTTCCACCACCGCGCTCCCTTGCCACAAGCATCTTCCAGAACCTCTCCCGCAAAACTCACCATGCCCTCTTCCTTGCCAAACCCAGACACAATAGTCTCTTCCTCGCAAGGCGCAACCCCCAACTTGGCCGCCTCGCTCGCCGTGAACGTACCATGTACATCCACCTCGTCAAACTCCCCAAGACCCTCAATAGGAAACAGGACATTCGCCCCCCAAAAAAGAACAAACGAAATCAAAAACCCAATGAAGAACGCAACATAATACAACTCATACACCGCGTCAGGTGCACCGCTAATGCCCCCGGCACTCACAATCAACCCGCCCACGGTCGGCGCCCAGCCCGCAACCCAGCACGGAATCACCCTCCAGTTAACACCATGCTGATACCAATAGTCGGAACCCTCGGGAAGGAACAGGTGCGACAGCCGGATACGCCGACGGCGCAGGATAAAGTAGTCGCAGACCATCACGCCCATGATGGGCGCGAGGAACACGGCAAACGAGTTGAGAACGGCGACGAAGGTGGCAGCCTGGTTAATGAGCTGCCAGGGCTGGATGATCCAGGCGGCGGCAAAGGTGAGGAGGGCGCCGCGGCGGATGTCGAGGTAGCGCGGGAAGAGGCCGGCGAGGTCGATGCCGCCTGCTACGGCGTTGGAGCAGACGTTTTCGAACATGGAGGTGAAGGCGAAGGCGAGGGCAAGGAAGAAGACTGCGGCGCGGGAGCCGGAGGAGCCTTGTCCGTCTTTAGGGATGGGTGATGTTAACTCACAACCGTTAAGGAAGTCTGGGACTTTGGGAGAAGGATCAAGGAGAATGGGGAGCACGGAATATCTGACAAGATAAAGAGAGACTCACGATCCATCATGACCATCAACAAATCAGGCGGATTCCAATAAATCTGCCCATAAATCTTCTGGCACGCCGCAGTAGTCACTAACCCGCCCAGGCATACAAGCACGCCAGTGACCCAGTACACCGACACCGTGCCGACGATATAATCCCTCTTATTCTTCGCATACCGCGAAAAGTCGCTACTATTCGTCATACCCGCCGCTTTCCCGCCAATGGCCTGGTTGATCCCCGCCATCATCAGCCACGAGGCGCTCCAGCGCGACGAGGCGGGCACTTTTTGGCCCTGGTAGAAGACGGGTCCCACGCCGTGAGCGATGGCGACGGACCAGACGACCATGGCGACCATGGCTGCGCCGCAGGCGCAGGAGGAGACGAAGAAGGGCTTCTTGAAGCGTTCGGGGCGGATGAAGAGGAAGGGGAGGGAGACGGTCCAGAAGATTGTGAAGCCTAGGAGTTCGTAGGTTGTTGTTGGGGTATTTCCGCTGAGGGTGTTGGGGATCTTTGCGAAGGAGGGCCAGATTGCGGTTATGCAGACGCTATGAGAGATGTATGGGTCAGTCTTTGAGACTTCGGCCAGGGGGTTGTCAAGCGTACGTTACTAGTTTACCTCCATTCCAACCTGCTCAGAACTGAATCAGTCATCTTATCGCTTGCAAGCAGGATAGAGGCGTCTTGTGAAGACTAAAGACAAACTTACACTGGAGAGCGGTCCAGATGAAGTTGAGGAGAATGCGCTGCAGCAGCGGGATGTAACTCGCTCGAAAGCCCCATGTGTATCTGTTCTGGACGGTAAAGCCGATATGCCAGGTCAGACCGCACCAAGCCACGAGGATGGCGAAGAAACAGCAGAGGGCGCGGGAGACGACGATGACGGCCATGGCCTGGCCGACAGAGAGTCCCTGGGTGAGAAACGTGTTGGGGGTCTGCCATGTTGCGACGTTGAGGGACGATCTGTGTGGAGAGAGGGGAGTGGTTCAGCATTGGACATTCTCGCAGCATTCCGTGACATCTTTGTCATGGTGATGGTACGAAGAGAACGAGACTTACAAAGACCAGGAGCCGAAGAAGTTGAACCAGCCCCAGGTCCGGCGGGAGGGCGGCAGGGGAATGAGGTCGCGGTTCGACCAGGCGCTGACTTCTTCGTGGCGAGACTCGTCCGACTTGAGAGTCAGGGCCTCTCTGATCCTGCGCGCCGCTTTTTTTGCCATGATCGCCGTGATTAATGAGGGGTTGCAAACGTTTACGTTTGTATGTCCGTTTGCATTGTTCGGGGAACATTCGTCTAGAGCTCGTGATATTCCAACCGATATATAGGACCATCTTATCTTGGGATCCTTGCAGTGACCATGTTCACTCCCATAAATTTTGGTTCTGAAAGTGTTTCCGTTGGCGGGAGATACGTGCTGCTAATTGCTACCTTATCTGACTTGCATGTCGGACGAGGTTGGGTAGCAGTTTTCCGGGGAAGCCTGCGTTTGCGCCCATTTTCTTGACTTCTTTACTTTGAAAGAAGCCATACGTCGGCGACTTTCCGAATATCGGATGACACCTCCCGCGAGCTTGTCCATTCTCCAAAGCGGCCTTGAATGTAACCCACTCTTCCCGGTCAACTTGGTTCTCGATACCGATGATAAGGATGCGGAGCAGTGGGGCGTTCCCCGCCGGTGACATGCCGGGTGATAAGAAAATCGTGAGTGATCACCTCGGACTCGTTCGTCTTGCCAGTGTAACAAACGACTGTCAGTCCTGGGATAAAGGGTTGAGATTTCCAATCGAGTAACTTCATTATGCATGTTCAAACCTGGTAGGATTGGCGTCGCGAGGTGAGGTTGAGGTGGGGACCACTATCTCTCCGGAATCCGGGGGTTGAATGTCGGCGTCTGCCCCGATGCCGGCACCGCGTCGGAGAAGGTCCGATACTTTGGTCGTGTGTCATGCAACTCATCTGTTCACATTGCTGCGCACAACTTCACTACAGGACCTCATACCGTCATTCGTCTCGACAGTGGTCTCCATGATGCAAGCATCTCGGAACCTCGAAATCAAGTAAAACAAGTCAGACAATTATCGTCCTTATCATCAGCTCATCAATAAAATGACAGTTCCCACCTTGAGAATAGGCGTCGACGTTGGCGGGTAAGTACCATCCCTCGGACATCATCTCCCTCATCTCCCTCATCTCTACATCTACAAACTTCACATCAACAGAGCCAAACTGTCACTTCCCAACTCTCAAACATCCAACTCACAAAACACAAACAGCACAAACACAGATGGCGTCATCCTCGACCCAACACCCTCCTCCTTCTCCCCTCCTCTCGGCATCCTTGCCATCCAAAAGACCCCAACAACACCCAACCCAAGCACCGGCATCAACACGGCAATCTCCCACATGTTCTCCGCCGCAAACATCTCCCCCTCCCGCATCGCAAGCGTCACAATCGGCACAACGCACTTCATCAACGCCGTCATAGAACAAGATGCCACCCGCCTCGCCCCCGTCGCTGTCCTCCGCCTCAGCGGGCCCTTCTCCGCCACCATCCCCGCCGGCGTCGACTGGCCCCCGGCCTTGCGTAGTATCATCTGCGCCCACCGCTCTCTCATCGACGGCGGGCTGGAGATTAACGGGGATCTGATTGCAGAACTCGATGAAGACGCCGTCCGGCGCGAGGTGGAGGTCGTGCGCGCAAAGGGGATACGAAGTGTTGTCGTTGTGGGGATCTTTAGTCCCATTGACGTCGTGTATAGGCAGGAAGAGAGAGCGGCGGAGATTATTCGCGAGATCTACCCTGCCGCAGACGTGGTGATGTCCAAAGACGTGGCGAATATCGGGTACCTTGAGCGTGAGAACGCGGCTATTCTCAATGCTTCCATCCTTCCGTTTGCTAGGCGCACGATTCGCTCCTTTCAGGATGCCGTTACAAATCTTGGACTGAAATGTCCCGTCTTCGTGACGCAAAATGACGGGACGATTCTGCCCGCTGCGGCGGCGGCGCGGTTGCCCATCAGGACATTCTCCAGTGGCCCGACGAATAGCATGCGCGGCGCGGCGTTCCTCACTAGGGTCATGAAGGGGGAGAAGGAGGAGACGGGTCCGATGATGGTTGTCGATATCGGCGGGACGACGACGGATGTGGGATTGTTACTAGCCAACGGGTTTCCCAGGCAGGCGGCGGCGTATAGCGAGATCGCGGGGGTGCGGACGAACTTTTCGTACCCGGACGTCAAGAGTATCGGGCTCGGGGGCGGTTCTATCGTTAAGAGCAACAAGAGCACCGGTGAGTTGGTGATTGGGCCGCAGAGCGTGGGATATCAGATCCAGACAAAGGCTCTCGTTTTCGGCGGCGATGTCGCAACGGCTACGGATTATACTGTTCTGTCGGACCCGAATGCCGTTCAGATTGGAGACCGGTGTCTCGTTGAAGGTGTAAGCGGCCTCGCGGAGGATGTCCCAGCGTTCAAGGCACAAGTGAAGGCGATGCTGGAGCGGATTGTGGACACGATGAAGACCTCGCCCGAGGAAATCCCCGTTGTTCTCGTCGGCGGGGGCGCGGTTATTGCGCCGGATCAATTGAAGGGGGCGAGCAGGGTTGTGAAGCCGGCGTGGTCTGGGGTTGCGAATGCGATTGGGGCTGCGACGGCGAGGGTCAGTGGTGTTGTGGACTCGATTAAGAGTACTGAGACAAAGACTTTGTCCGAGGTTGTGGAAGCGTTGTCGCGGAGGGCTGTTGATCGGGCTGTTGAGAATGGTGCTTTGAGGGAGAGCGTGACTATTGCTGAGGTCGAAAGCTTCCCATTGCAGGTAAGGTTTTACGGCATAATGAGTACGAGAGCGAGCGCTAATCGTAGGTTTGTTTGGCAGTACATTGCAAACAAGTCACGAATCATCATCAAAGCTGTAGGAGACTTTGATTTCTCCAGATCGACATCCATGGATTCAACAACAATTCCAACCGATGTTGAGCACTGCGAAGAAGAACCACCCAGGCCACCAGTACTATTTCAAAGCCAGAAGGATTCATCACCGCAATCGTTGGTTTACAACAAGGAGTACATTGATGAATACAAGCCCAAGGTCCTTAACCGGCAATGGCATCTCTCCGAGACGGACCTCGACTGGATCACGACAGGCTGCTACATCCTAGGCACAGGAGGCGGTGGCTCGCCCTACCAACACATGCTACGCCTCCGCGAAATGATGCGCGCCGGCGCTACAGTCAAGATCATTTCTCCACATGACCTCAAAGACGACGATATTGTAGCTTGTGGCGGTGGGAAGGGGTCGCCGCAGGTATCCATCGAGAAGCCGTACGGCGATGAGTAAGCCCCCCTTCACCCTACCGTCTTCAAAAGACAGAATATGTGGGTTTTAACACCTGTATTTTGCAGAATCATGGAATCGCAGAGGGAGCTCTACGCATACCTCAAGACGAAGCCGACGGCCGTGATATCCCTCGAGATAGGAGGCGGCAACGGGCTGCAGGGCCTCATCCTCGGCGCCAGCACGAATCTCGATATTCCTACAATCGACGGCGACTGGATGGGCCGCGCGTATCCCATCTCTCACCAGACCACGCCCGTGGTCTTCGAAAAGAAGGCGACGATGATTCCATCGTGCATATCAGACGGGAACGGCAGGATCATGGTACAGTCTCTTTCTCTCGCCATCCACCCCTGCTCAACACCCTTTTTACCTGCCACAAAACACGCATGATGAAGATGGAAGCCATTACTGACCTCGAATAAACACCAACAGCTCATGACAAAAGCCCGCACAGAACTCGACGCAGAACGCGCCTTCCGCGCCGCCCTCTCACAAATGGGCTCCCACGTAGGCTGCGCAAAGGGCCCCATCAGCGGCCGCGACACCAAATCCTGGGTGGTCGAGAATACTGTCTCGCTCTCCTGGCGCATTGGTCGTGCAGTCGCGCTGGCGCGGTGTACCAATGCCGTGGACACTGTCGCCGAGACCGTCGTTGATGTAGTCGGCGGGAAGGAGTCGGCGAGGGTGCTGTTTAGGGGCAAGATTGTGGGCGTGGAAAGAGTTACGAGGATGGGGCACGCTTATGGGGAGGTGATTATTGAGGGATATACTGACGGCAGCGGTGGCGGTGATGGGGTGGTTGAGAGGTTCGTAATCCCGTTCAAGAATGAGAATATTCTTGCGAAAAGGGTTGATGGTGATGAAAGGGAAGATGTAAGTTCCCGCTACGCCCCATCCCCATCCCCATCCCCATTTCCATCATGAGAAGGAAGTAGAAGGTGTGAAGCTAACATTTCTCATGCTCGAACAGATCCTTGCAATCGTTCCAGACCTAGTCTGCGTCCTCGACGCACAAAATGGCGAGGCTCTCGGCACGCAAGAGTACCGCTACGGGCTGCTCGTCGTGGTGCTCGGCATTACTGCCTCCGATAAGTGGACGTCCACGGCGCGGGGCATTGAGATTGGCGGGCCCAAGGGGTTCGGAATGGGTGAGCTGGAGTATGTGCCTCTTGGTACTTTCAAGAAGCCGCGGAGCGTCATTGATGAGTTTGGGGGGTAGTCCCGATGGGTCAAGGACCAAGGGCTTGTTGAGGTTCCGAGTAATGGAGTATCGTGCTTGTGTGGTGCGGCTTGTGAAGATGGGTTCATTCTGGGTCAAGACGTGTACTCTCCATCTCCGGTTTCGGGCTGAGGTGAAGTTGTTTCTTGGATAAATACCAATAAAGTGCTTGTGGGACGTACTCAGCTATGGGACACGATGTTGATATTGGTGTTACTTGGCATCTAGATAAATATAGCCGCTTAACAGCAGGATGAATAGACTTGTCCAGTACATTCAATTATCTCCATCGCCTACCTCACGTACCTTTCATCACAGCGAATCCAGCTCATGGCCGCACATACAAGTTGCAAATCTCTCAGGGCCTGCGCGAGCCCGCACGTGTGTCATCATGAAAGAACCGACAGGGGTGTGACTGTCGAACCATTGTATTTCCTGCCGGGGTGTGGTAACGCAACTCGAACTAGGGGCCAGAGCTGTAGACTGCACCCAAGAATCGGAAGAGGGTGTGTTGGGGTCGTCTCCAAGTCGTCGGAACTCTCAGTGCCGCACCGTCAAGGTTACCGAAACTCTACCAGGTTGACGGAGGAGGGAGAGGAAGAGGGAGGGGTCAGCCAGCCAGTGTACCACGCCGTTGTCGGTTCCTGCGGGAGCAGCCGGAAGCCGAGGGTGTAGAGTCTTCACTGTCTGGCTGTCTGTGAGACAAGTCGAGAGAAGGAGACAGACAATCACGCAATCGAGACAGAAAATGTCGGTTAAGTAGAAGAGCAAGGGTATGACGGCGGAGAAAGGGAAAAGTTTGTTCTGGAGAATAGTTGCACTGAACTCGATGGATACGTCTATCTGTCCCGGTTCCCAAGCAGCAGTGGAGAGGACGGCAGTCAGAGGCCCGGAGGTTTTGGGCAGAGGAAAATTGCTGGCGCCCCGGGGCTGCGGGGGACCCCCGATCGGCGGGCCCCACACCAGAAGTGTCTCGCGTCATCGGACGGCCATTGCGATATGGGGGGCTCCAAGCACGCAATTCCCAGCCGTTTGGTCACTTTAAACTGTTTTATCAGCATTGTTGCATTGTGTCTCTTCAACCGTCAGTGTAAGGTACCTTACTAAATGTAATGCCTTACTAAATGTAATGAGGGGTACGGAGTATAGATCAGATAAAACCTCTCTCCCCGTTGCAGAACCTTTTTCCCCCTTCTCCAAATCTGCGCGCGCTCTCTCTCTCTCTGTGATATAAGTCCGTCTCATCTGCCACTTCCCCTCATTTTGATACCTCATCCTGCTACCCTCACCTCATCACCTTTCATTTCTCTCAATTGATACCCCCCTCCGAGTCTTCATCAAAATGGCCCCAGGTGCCCTCATCGACGAACCAGTCCAGCCCTCTCAGGGTCCCTGGAAGGGCAAGAACGACGATGCCCCCAGGAACATCTTCCCCGACGGCATCCGCACTTCTGGACAGCACAACCCCCTCTATGACAACCTCAAGCCCTACGCCGAGTTCCCCAAGGAGATCTCAGGCCCGACGGTCTGGCACAAGGAGGAATTTGAGCAACAGCCTGACAAGTGGACGCATCGTTTCACCCCCGAGGAGGTTGAGGAGCTCGGCCGCACCTCTGATGCCTTTATCGCCAGCAACACCCCTCTGACGGGTATCTCCAAGGTACGTTTGATTCTCATTCTCCAAGAAGAAGACTTTCACTTGAACGACTTCAATCCGCCCCTATGTGACTGTGCACTAACACAACCAACACAGTCCAACTTCCCCCTCCCAACACTAGGCAAACGCCTCACCGACCTCCGCAAAGACCTCATCGACGGCAAAGGCTTCATCCTCTTCAAGGGCTTCCCCGCCAACGAATGGGGCCCGCACAAGACCGCCGTCGGCTACATGGGCCTCGGCACCTACCTCGGCTACTTTGTCTCTCAAAACGGCCGCGGCCACGTCCTGGGCCACGTAAAGGACGTCGGCGACGACCCGACCCAGATCGACAAGGTCCGCATCTACCGCACCACCGCCCGCCAATTCTTCCACGCCGACGACGGCGACCTCGTCGGCCTCCTCTGTGTCCAGCGCTCCGCCGAGGGCGGCGAGAGCGACCTCGTCAGCATTCACGCCGTCTGGAACGAGCTCCAGCGCGAGCACCCGGACGTCGCCGAGACGCTGACCAAGCCCATCTGGTACTTTGACCGCAAGGGCGAAGTCTCCGAGGGCCAGGAGGAGTGGACGAAGCAGCCCGTCTTCTACATTGAGAACGGAGGGCAGCGCCGCGTGTACTGCAAATGGGATCCCTACTACGTCCGCTCGCTGACGCGGTTCTCGGATAAGGGCGTCATCCCCCCGCTGAGCGAGGAGCAGCTGCACGCGCTCAAGACGCTCGAGGATACGTGCCAGAAGCTTGCGCTGCACATGATTCTCGAGGTCGGCGATATCCAGTTTTTGAGCAATGCGCACCTGTTGCACGCGAGGACGGCGTATACGGACCACCCCCACCCGGCGCCGCGCCGGCATTTGCTCCGGTTGTGGCTTTCGACGCCCGAGAGCGAGGGCGGGTGGGTGCTGCCGTTCCCTGATAGCAAGGAGTTGAAGAGGGGTGGTATTCAGGTGAATAACGTGCCTCCGCGCGCGCCACTAGACGCGGAATAGTGGTCTGGAGAGGTTGGTTGGCATTTTTGTGCGATTGTATTTGAAGCGTTTGTGAGGAGGATGAGATGAAATATCGGGTGCACCATCTGCGATGAGACAGATGGGTTTCGATTGCTTGATGAGAATTTGGCGGTAAGCCCGCATCAAGATTCTCAAGATGAATGAAAAAAGTAAAATTCAAAGACAAGACACGATCATTGTATCATCATTGAGTAAACCCTCTCACATTCCCGCGAGTGAAGTGTGACCGCGCATAGATTCTCACGACTTTGGCGAGATTATGCCGAATGAGAGAGAGGTGGTGATGAGCAGTTCACCGGAAACGCCGTACCTATGCCAGCGGGGAAGTGGTATGATTTGCTGTGATGAGAGATGAGATTGTACGTGAAGAGTTGAGAGACGAGCGACTGCGGTACGTCCGGCGAAGTTTGGCGAAGTTTTCCGCGGAACACAAGTTGCCCGAGTTGCCCGCAATTTTCCGCTCGCTGATGGCGGGGTTGTTTTCATATCCCGTCACACACTGCAACCTCGAAATGACCCCGCCGCGGGGCAGTTGTCTTCATCGCAGGGGGGAGAGAGGTCCCCTACATGCCGCTGTTGGAGGGGCAGCTTCCGTCTCATTGCTCACTCAACGATCACCTTACCGCGATGATGGGAACTCGTTATGAGAGTGAGTCCAGCTTCACTTGAGCCACCCATTCGGACACTTCATTTCATACAGTTGTTACAAAAAAAAACCGGTTGAATAGAAACCTGTGCTGACCATCTCAAATACGCTCAGTTCAAGCGCAATCATCGCCTCTTATCGCCAAATTGCCCCGCGATCCCGTTGCAGATAGCAGCCCGGTGGACCACTGCACCGTCCCCCTTATCCACCCGCCCGCGTTGAGCCCGCTCGAGTCAAGTCCGCTTCTTGGCCTCATCCCATCCGACGTCGCTCCTCGACGCAACGACGACGTTGTTATTAAAGACGAGCTCATCCTCACACTCTCTCGAGCAATGTCTCATTTATTTTGTTAATCCTCTCTCTCACTATTCTTTCTCTTCGCCACTTGATACCCCCTCCCCTTTTCCCGAGTAGACACCCACGTCTTCTTACCCAAAAACACCAAATTCGATACACCAAAGAAACCCAAGATGGCGGCACAACTCCCAGAGCCCTTTGCAAGCATCCCCCGCGAAAACTTCCTCTTTGGCCCTTCGCCCATCGAGCCCCTCCCCCGCATCTCCGCCGCCCTCGGCGGAAAGGTCAACGTCTACGCCAAGCGCGAGGACTGCAACTCCGGTCTGGCCTACGGCGGTAACAAGACCCGCAAGCTTGAGTAGGTCCCTCCTCCGCCTCCATACATCACTGCACCCTCATGGAGGCAACATACACCCTACCTCACAGAACCAAGCTAACAAACATCCCCAGATACCTCGCCTCAGACGCCCTCGCCCAAGGCTGCGACACCCTCGTCTCCATCGGCGGCGTCCAATCAAACCACACCCGCCAAGTCACCGCCGTCGCCGCCAAGCTCGGCCTCAAAGCCGCCCTCGTCCAGGAGAAGTGGGTCGACTGGACTGACCCCGTCTACGATAAGGTCGGCAACCTCCAGCTCTCGCGCCTCATGGGCGCCGACGTCCGCCTCGACCCCTCTACTTTCGGCATCGAGCACAAGAACACCCTCGCCAACTTGAAGGAGGAACTCCTCACCGCCGGACGCAAGCCGTATTACATCCCCGCCGGAGCATCGGACCACCCCCTCGGCGGCCTGGGCTTCGCGCGCTGGGCTTTCGAGGTCGAGGCGCAGGAGAAGGAGCTCGGCGTGTTCTTTGATACCATCATCGTGTGTGCGGTGACGGGATCGACTATGGCGGGTATGGTTGCGGGCTTCAAGCTCGCGGAGAAGCAGGGGGGGAAGAAGCGCAAGGTCATCGGTATCGATGCCTCTGCGACGGTGAAGCAGACGTTTGACCAGGTGCTACGCATCGCCAAGAACACGGGTGCCAAGATTGGTCTCGAGGAAGGGGATATTACTGAGGCGGATATCATTCTGGATGACCGGTTCCACGGCGGTATTTACGGTGTGCCGGACCAGGTCACCATTGACGCCATCAAGTTTGGCGCCAGCACGGAGGGGTTCATTACGGACCCCGTGTATGAGGGTAAGAGCTTGGCGGGTATGATGCAGCTCATCAAGAATGAGGAGATTGCTGCTGGGAGCAATGTGTTGTATGCGCACTTGGGTGGCCAGTTGGCGCTCAACGCGTACTCTGGCATGTAAATGGCCTTGATGTCTGATGATGGAGTTTTAGAGTTTTGCAGATAATAACAATACCCTTTTATGTTGGACCTTTCTTGACCGGGCACCTATCGTGACTTTGCTTTTCGTTGTTTGTTCGGGAGATCGCAGTGAGGTTCATTGAGACCACGGTTCGTGTGAACAATAGCCATGCCTTGATGGCTCGACCTCGACCTATCTCCGGAAAGCAGGACAGGCTGTCATAAGATCCCACTCCATCTTAGACTTTGAGAACATCTTTCTTTGGAAGAACCACAACCATTCTTCATCATCTCCAGCTTATCCAGTCATTTCAAAAGAAACAACACCAACGCAACACCCACCCATCCCCAACTACCCTTTGGGCCACAAACGCTCAACTGCTTTCATGCCCGTGATTTGGCACATTGCCTCTTCTTCTTCAGTCTCCTTATTGCAATAAGGTCCTGCTCTACTCACTCATTAAAATCACCGCAACACCTACACAGAAGCGCGTACGTCATGTCGATGAGAACTAGCCCCGTCGCCCTTGGTAACACCCCTACTCGTGCGAATACCACAAACAGGGAAACCCGACAGCCTTCGCCCCTCTTCCTCCGCCTACTAAATATCTACAACATGGTTTCCAATCTCTGGGGCACCATCAAGGCTTTCGTCTCAGACAGGAGCACAAACAAGCCCACGGAAAAGACACCGCCAAACTACGAAAGGCTTATACGTCGCGCATCTCAGCGACATGATCACCTGCAGTGCCATAGGAAGTGGCCGATTACCAAGGAGAACCACCCCAACCAATTCTATCAGCAACGGGTGTTCACTCCCGAGGACGATAGGAAGATGTGGAAGACACTGTTGTTGCCCACCTGCGAGAGCAAAGAGGAAAAAGAGAAGAGAGAGCGGGAGGAGGAGTCCAAGTATCTCATTGACTTGATTACTGAGATGCCTCTTCAGAGTACACCCTGTAGTGAAGATGATCAAGTCAAGGATGACGAGCATGTTCAGCTCGACGAGCATGTTGAGATCGAGGAGCATGTTCAGAAAGAAGATGAAGATAAGAAAGACGAAGAAGAGAAGAAAGAGGATCTACACGTCTGGTCAGTCGAAGTCGAAGCTGAACTTGCACTGATCGACTGGGACGCACTTGGGTTGCTTGATGGTCAAGACAAGGCTGTTGAGAAGGGACAAGATGGTCAAAATCATCCACACGCCTCAACGGTCGAGGTTGTGCTTGCAATTATCGATTGTGAGGTGCCGGGCTTGCACTGAGAGGCAATGTACGGTTTGGTGGACTCACATGCGGGATCAATCCCGGGTCAGAAGCATAAGACGGGCCTCCTATGGAAGCATCAGACAGTCTTCCTTAGTGCGCAATGCAAATCACCTCGTTCTTAATTTACCACCACAGAAACAGGGTCAAATACGCCCAAAGACTCGTGTGTATGCCCAAAACTTCTATGAATATGCCTCCAAGCCATTGTAGTGAGAAGATGCTTTCATTAGCAAGATGATATCTAGAGCATCAACTTTGAGTCTCGAAAGGATTTGGCCAGCACTCACGAGTCCTCCAGATGCATTCCATACGCATCTCAGATAATTACATCCATTCAAGTAGGTAGTCGTAAGAAAAACCTCCATTCACGCCAAGTCCCAAACCCATCCCAAGTCCCTATTGCGCCCACCTTCAACTTACACAAAGTAGGACGGGGGCAGTTCCTGTAGACCAAGCAACTTTTCACAGAGGGAGGCGGGAGATTTCCCAACTTCACCTTTTCAACATCATTCACCACCCGGCAATTCACCAGTCGGCCTTACCCTTTTGGCCAGCCTTCCCTACCTTAACATTCTCTGTCCCTCTCCCAACTTGCCGTCACAATTTCTCCTGTGACACCTCACAGCCCACTTTTCACTCAAACACACCACCCTTTGCGCGAGATTTCTAACCTTGATCGCCAAACACAGCACTTATCAAATACATCATTCTTTTGCCTCCAGAATCGTACGCCCGTCAGGCCATCCAGTCTTTTCTCTTTTCTTTTTTCGAACCTCGTTAAAATTCCTTCTCTCTACTGATCAGCCGGTAGAAGAGGAAGAACAGCGGGGAGACAAGCATGGCTTCCGATCCCACGGAGCTCACGATACAACCCATCGTGGGTCCCACCATGCAGCTAGTCGAGTTCAAAATGGGCAGCAGTGGTGATAGCAACCTATCGCCATCATCTTCCGCACCCAAGCCGAAGCGGTCTTGCCTCAAGAACAAATCGACCGACCCCGACCGGAAATACATTGGCAGTGATTCCCCTGGCTACTTTTGTTTGTTCATTCCTCTTTTCTCGATGTACCTTACTTTACCTTTACCTGCTCTACTTCCTGTTCACGCTCTCTCATTATCTATACCATCGCTTTGTTTGCTGCCATGGAGGGAACCTCCGGCTGATTCTCTTTTTCTCTCACAGTCCAGGGCTCCTTGGAGGAGGAACTTGGCTACTTGAAAAAGTACTTTCGCAAACGTCGCCACATAGCACAGATGGTGGCATACATCGATCAAGTACGTGCAGAGGACGCCGGTGCCGAACTTGCCAGGACGGGTCAAAGCAACGATAACGACACGGACGTCCCCATAGGCAACCACATCATCACAAAGCCCACTGTTCATTTCTCGGAGCCATTAGAGATGACATACTACTGCTTTGAGCCCGAGGAGGCCATGACCGAGTATCCTGGCCACGCGACGTCCAACCGGCGCGCGTGGGCCGAGGTCTCGTTTGAGCCAGGCAATGAGATCAAGCTGGATCGATTCCGGACGTGGTATCGTTGTCGTCGGCGGAGGAATGGCATGTTGTATTACGGCTAGGACTAGGTTGGGCTATTTGCCGTATTTTTCATGATGAGCTTTGGAGTTGAAGGCGTTTGGACAACAAGGGGAGACATTTTTGGGCCAGCGGGTAGACGTGGTGTGTGTTCTATCAACGAAAGAACCACCCTTGAGCTTTGGAGGCATATCTACGTGCGTAGTGATACCCTTTGCAGAAATGAAGCGGTCGACTGATATGAAACAATCAAGTCACGCTTGCCTTGTACAAAGTCTCCCATCTTCCCCAGCGGTCAGATCCTGCCGTCAAACGGACTTCCCTCGTCGTGAGGCAAGTCGTCAGCTTCTCCTCATGGCAGGTACGGCTTCAGCATGGAAGCACACGTCACTCCCCAGGAAGAAGGAAGGATCATGCGGTACCCGCCATCTGCACCTTTCGCACCTTTTGCACCCGCCTCGAGAGCAAGCCGTCATATACCCCTCCAAGTCATTTCCTGTCACCAACGGCAGCAGGCGCCACACAGGCTTGTGCGGTCAGGTCAAACTGCCGTTTGGCGGGATGGTTACGGGCGAGCCTTTTCGACAGGCTCAGCCTACGCTAGAGTCCAGATTCGAGTCCCAGCATGAGCACCAGAGATGTAGCCCCCAATCGCCACCGGGGGGTTGAACTCTTTTGCTTTTTTGGTGTTCTGGATCTTTCATTGCTTATGTACGGTGACCGACTGTGATGGATGACTCCAGATGACATTTGACCCTCTCTTCAGCCATAGAACGGTCAGTGGCGTCAAGAATATCGTTGCTAAGGCTGTGTGGCGTCTCCTCCCAGGCTGTGCCGGTTCAGCCCGATCGTGATCATGTACGGTGTGGTGAGACAAGGTTCGTCATGTCTTCTGTGCATCCGGGTGGCGCACCCATTACGTCCCTGGGGTAAAAGAATTCAGTAAGACAGGTTGCCGCATTCGGAGATACAGCTGCATCCCACGAACCACGATGATTTCCTCACAGTGGTGGTTCACGATGGTGGTCACGAGGCAAGACCTCAGCCTTTCTTGTGTTCCATCGTCCCTAACTATCTCCATTTCTCGGCGTCACTCTGGAAGGCTCAGTGGCTCGAAAATTATCCCACGTGATAATACGTTACACATCATGATGTCAATTTTTATTGGACCGTGCTGTTGTTGTCTCGTTTGTAGCTCTCGCCCCGTTGTGCGTGAATAGAGGCTCACGATGCGGGGTATGGTCATCTCCGATAGCTTAGGTAGAACATGTGTAGTGAGAGCTGACAGCCTGCTCGCGATCTCTAGACTGAGCAGCAACAAAATCTTCTTCAATATACTCACCACAACTCCTCCATGCCGATTCTTGCTGAAAGACCTCGACACACGAAGCAGACGTATCTCCAAAATGGGAGCTCGAGGCTTGATATCAAACATGGACGAAAAGAAGTTGGAAGTAATCAAGAGCCATACGCTCATATCACCATCACGCTCATACCCGACGCTGCAACGCCTCAATCACGCCGCTTATCCAAGACAAAAGAGGTGCGTTGCCCTCAAGGCTGATAATTCCTCTCAAGTCTACCTGCAACAAGCAATCTGTCCAAATCATCAACCAGCCTCAAAACACAAGATGGAAAAGCGCATCACACGAGATGTAGAAGGATCTCATTCCGGGCTAGCGATTATCGACTTACCACCTGAGTTACATCTTATCATCCTCGATTTTCTCGACATCGTTGACGGCACCTGTTTTGGTTTGGCAAGCCGCTACTTTTATGCCCTCCACCGGCGGCGCCACGGCCGAGTCCATCTCGACGCGGGACGTCCGGGACCCAACGGCCAAGAATGGGCATGGCGATTAGCATTCCCATTGTCAAGATTCAAGCCCATCAACATAGCGATGACGACCATCGCTGAATCACAGGACGAGACTACATGTACGCTTACATACGAGCATCCGATCTCCCAACCGCAACCGAACCCACAGCCGCACTTTTCGTGCGAAAAGTGTGGACGAGAACTCTGCGAGTTACAGAGACACCTCCGAAAATGGTTCCCTCAAGACCATGAATACTGCCGCATCTCTGGCAAATATGTGAGAGCAGATAGTTGTCGTGAGAAACAAGTTTTCTTCTGTCACAGGCGCTCACCCAAAAACCACGCCTTGTGTGGGAAACATCACCCACGATGATACATTGCTGGAGAAACCGGCCGAGAAGCCATAGGGATTGATGTTACGGTGGTCAATAAATGCCCAGTCATTGAGAAGGAAGAGGTGACCTTTGCTCAAGAGGCATAGGAGATGAACACCTGGGGTTGCACACCATCTTGTCGTAGAAGGAGTAATAGAGTTCAAATTCGAAAAGCTTATCTCAACTCACTTGTGATTGAGACGGGGACTATCCGAGCTCTAGACAATCTCGCACTCACCCCTCAAATGACTTGGAAGAAGATCAAATGACTCGCTGAAGTCGCGTCTCCCTGCCGAGTAGCCGTGAATTGCAAGGTACGGTAAATTCGCTTCATGATGAAGTATTGATCTTTGCAGTTCCCAAATACTCACTGTACTCTACCCAAAAGAATGAAACTCATTCATTTCGAGCAGTCACGGAAAGAAGACATGGCTGACGATGTAGCGGTCCCTTTGAATCTTCAACGTTAGAGGCGCGGTTATCATCTGCGCGCCACTGTGTCACTGGGTGTTTGTCCAACAAGGCCCGAAAGGCAATCCAGTGCTGAGCCCTCACGCATTCGCGAACAGATCACCAGAGACGGGAGTGCAGTTTTGGACTCGCCAAAGAAGCGTAACTGTGCCGTGCTCGCAGCTCAAGGCGGGTACGCGAGTCAACTTGCCTCCCGTCTCGAGCGTGTAACTCGAAAACACGCTGAACTGGGCACAGCGAAGGGAGCAGCTCAAGATTTTTCTCTTCCGTCGCATGCCAAGACCAGGGAAAGGTCAGCAACGCCGCAGACCGGCAGAAGAACTCAAGTCTCCTTGCCAGGTATCCGGAACCCGCGCCCCTCCCGGAGTTGGAGAAGTGACAACTCCGGTCCACCGGATTTATTCCTCCCATTTGTTACCCAGGACCCTGGGTACTCTGCCGAGTCATTGTGTCTTTACATCAATTCCCCGATTCGATCCGACATGGTAAAGAAAGCCGGTCCGAACCAATCACGGCGAGTCGGATGGCTGAATGTGGGAGTGATTGACTATGCCTGGCAAGGATACTACGATGTCGCTTCAGGACGAGAGGGGGCAGCGGGAGGGAGAGGGGGGAATGAGAAAGTTTATTTGGACGACTAGATTCATGAACACCCCTTGGAAACATAGTCATATGCGACTGTTCTTGAGAGAGTGTGAACACATATCACGTTGGCTTGGGAGTACAGAATTCCCAGTTTTCGCGGGTCGAGTCGCAATGCCGCGACTTGAAGGTGACAACAGGCCCCGTTTCCCATTTGTTCCTCCCCACTGTCCAAATGATCTTCGTTCTGGAGTGGATTTGTGTAGTGTAAAGACCGTGGCAACGTAGATCAGCTCGAGTCATGGAACCTGTACCGGCAACCTTGGTGTTGACTGACATCCCACCATTTGTGACACTGTGAAGAAATGCAAGGGTTCTTCTGCCTCTGGAGGCCTTGCAACGGGCCGACAAAGGAGCTGCTCCTAGCCAAAACAAAGGATGGCGGGATGGTGATTTTAGACGTGAACGTTGTGTGGAATGTGTGGTTTTGTTGAGTAAAGTAGACTAAGGTAAATATCTGTTGATACCAACAGCAAGCAACGGCGCCAATCTAACACTTTGGCCAAGAGCGGTCGTTCCCAAGCATGATACTATCCCGGCAATCAGATATGACATAATGTCCATAGTCTTGGGCTAAGTATGGTCTAAAATTTTAATCCTCGTCGCTATGATCGAAGCAGTCCACGCTCATGGTAATAATATGCAAAAAAAAAAAAAAAAAAAGAAGAGAAAACAAAGGGGGGGAAGGGAAAAGTTTCTCGCGCTTGCCTTCGGGCCAGCGGAAAACGAACATGAACTCTTTTCAGACTCATGACTCGTCCACTTCACTGCTCCCTCCCCGAAAATTCATAGCCCTCCATCCAACCGGCGAGCTGATCCAACTCACAGCTGCCGCAGCGGAGCAGCAGATGTTGGGTGTACGGGACCTGTACCGCGGCGGCGGACGACGATTTATCCTTTTTATCGTTCGTCTGGACCAAATCAGCAAACCGGGCATCGGTGAGGTAGTCCTTGACGCGCATCTCCTCGGCCGGCAACGAAAACAGGCTGGCGTTCTGCCGCGTCACTTCCTCGATGCTGACGTTGTGTTCCCGCTCAATCATCCGCTTGCCGATGTAGTGCAGATTATGTCCCTCCCCCAGCGTCACGGGCTCCCGCCGCCCCATTGCGAGTTCCCAGGCGATGAGCCACGCCTGGTACCGGATATCGAGCCAGCGGCACTTGACAATCACGAACTCGATAAGGGGGAGGAAACTCGGTTTGAAGTCGAATGTAAAATCGTCCGGCGTCTCGGGCGAAGCGTCGGGACAGCTGTCGAGAATCAACCTTGCGAGCACGACGATGCGCGCAAAGTTCTCCTTGAAGCAGTCGTACACAGACTCGTCGTGGGACCGGCAGACGCTGATGCAGATCTTGGCCGCCTGGTATTTCATCTCCGTCTCGGCGCAGATGAGCCCCTGGTGTTTCGGCAGCGGCTGGTCGCCGTCGGCGTCTCTGCGGGGGAACTCGACAAAGGCGAGGAAGGCGGCGTGCCACCTGTCGAGCGAGGCGCAGATGTGTTTTTGTTCTTCGGACATGACGGGGCCCTTTGAGGCTAGGCGGGAGTCGGTCTGCGATCCGGGGTCCGCGGAGCGGATGTAGCGTATGGCGTCGAGGAGGATCGGGTCGACGGCGCGTTTGGGGAGGTAGATGCTGTTGCTCTTGTCAAAGGGGCCCAGGTTGTACCTGGATCCCAATCCCCCGAGACTTGCTCCTCCTCCGCCGCCGGTGCCGCCGCCGTGTTGGAGGTTGAGCGAGGGGAAGCCCGGTTTGTCGTAGTAGCATAGCTGGATGATGCTGAGCCGGTGGAATTTGGGCACGATTTCGTCGAGCGTGTCTTGCTCCAGCTCGTCATAGTCTACGTTGTTGAGGATGTTGATGCCGCTAGCGAGGTGCTGCATGGCGGCGTCGAAGCTCTTGCGAAGGAATTCTGTGGCGATGAAGAGGATGCAGCAAGAGAGGACGACGTCCACATCGTTTGGTTGCGTCATGTCATCGTCGGGATCGTCGCCGCCGGCTTGGCTTTGGGGTGATGTGAAGGGGTTCGTCGGCGTGAGGATGTCTTGCCGGTCTGGTTCTGCGAGCTCTGGTATGCTCGAGATACCTGGCGTGAGAGCTGCTGGGGATTGGATGGCTGATGACGGTCCGACGGAGGACAGGCTCGGGGATGAACGGTTGCTGGGTGATCCAAAGGACCTGCTGTCGTTTCGTATCGTCGTCGTCGTCGTCGTCGAAGTCGCTCTAGCGGCGATAGCTGTTCCCAATGTCGTCTGAACATCCTCGAACCCTCTCTCTGGCGCGACCTTGTTGGCCATCAACCGCAACGCCTTGCCATAATGCTCGTCGGCCTGCGGATTCCCGCCCCCTCTATCGGTACTCGTTATCGCTGTTGTCGCCGTCGCCGTCGCTCCTTGGATCGAGTTACTCGGTGGTCCTCGCTGCGGGAAAAGATTGCCAATGGCAGCCATGGCATGCATCACGGCGGGCTCCGACTTACTCAGGCGCGGCACAAGGTCGGACCAGAACTTATTCTCAAAGTTCTGCGGCAGATTGGGCGCCACGTCCCGAGCAAAGTACTCCACGGTGGCCTGGTCCGATTCGAATTCCCAGCCCGCCCTGGCCTGCGCGAGCGCATCTCTCAGCCTCGTGGTTCGTGAGCGGGCGCGGGCAATGGCCCTATTGCTGGGGACGACGACGGCGTAGCCTTCGCATTTGCGGCCGGTGCTGGTGCAGCGCGCGCATGCCGGTTTTGCTTCATCGCACTTTACCTTGCGTGACCTAGTTGAATGGTGAAAAGAGAGAAGTAAGAATAGCGAAAACAAATGGTTGAGGGAGGGTGTTTCCTTTTTCTTCTTCAGGACGGGATTGTGAATGTGGGAACGGAATCGGAGACGGAGGGTGAGGCCCGGTGGCCGCTCGGTCACACACGCCCACACTCACATACACATAGACGGCACGCGCACACGGTACGGCACACCTAACACACAACATATACATGTACACACACCGTATATACGCAGCCGGAGACGGGGCCGTTTGTCCGGTCTCGCCTCCGTAGCCGGCCCCGGTTCAAACTTGCAACCCCGGAGACAATCCGGAGACCATCCGGAAGTCATCCGACGTTTGAGGGATATAACATGTTCCCCCAAGGCTGGGATTTGGGCTGAAGCCAAGGCAGCGCCGCTCAGCCGGTCCGGGGCCGACAATCAAGAAAGAAAAAAAAAGGCAAAAGTAAAAATAGGGAGTACAGTATGAGAAGAAAGACTCACTTGCAGGTCAAACAGCCAGTCCGAACCTTTGGCTGGCCCTTCCGTGTCATTATGCACTGCTTTTGCTTCGCTCTGCTGTCTACGGTCCCGCGCGTGCTCCAGATGGTAGGCGGAAGGGTGTAAAGGAAAAAAAACCCGGACCCAGGTCCGAGTACCCGCACAAAGCACGTTCGACAGCGCGGCAAATGCGTGCGGGATTTGGGTGTGTGGTGCAGGGAGTTTCCGAAGTCCCGGAGGTAGCGGCAGCGGCTGGGGGCCTGGCGGGAAAAAAAAACAGAGGAGGAGAACGGGAGTGAGGCAAGGCTCTTCCTGATGATCTAGAAGGGAAAAGGGATAAGGGAAAAAACAAAAGAGCAGCAAGTTGTTGCGTTTCAAGTTTTGGAGGGGCAGAAAATCAGCCGCGCCGATGAGGCCAGGCAGACAGACTGGACGCAGGACCCGAGGCTGAAATGTGGTGAGAAGATGAGATTGGTTTGTGTCTGTCTCTCTCTGTCTCTCTGTCTATAGGCTGCTTGCTTTTCTCCCTCTACCTCTTCTTGTTCTTCTCGTTCTTGTTCTTCTTTTTTTGTCTGCCCGCCCCCTTCCCCTCCGCCCTCCGGCCCCTCTCTCTCCCCCTCGACCAAAAGGTGAGTGAGCAGCAAATTCGTGCCTGCGGCACTGCCTGGTCTGGCATGGTCTGGTTTTACCTAGTTCTGCTTCTGACTTCTCTGCTTCACCGTTCTGCTTCCTACGCGCAGGCACAGGCAAAGGCGCAGGCGCGGCGCGAGTGGGCGGCGCGGGTTGCGGTGTCACTTATTCCCTGTCTCTCCCTGCGTCCAGTCGACTGCTCTTTTTGGCTTTTTTCTGACTGTGACTTGTCCCCTCTTCTGTCCTCAATTTGGGTCAATTTGGGTGCAAATTTGGGGGCGGCTGCGGCCACCACCGCCGCACCACCAACAAGATGCGTTTCTTTACCAAATGAGTCTTCTCGGGCTCTTCCCCCTCCCCTGCACAGCTGCAGTTGTCACCTGAGGAGGACCTGGCACGCCTGTGCTTCCTATGGCCGATCCAACACGACGCTAAATATTTGGTCACTTGGACTTGGCGTTGAGAAGACCAGGGGAGGGGGGGGGGGGAGGGAGGGGGGTGTAGCGTACCGTCGGGTGTTGATGAAATTGATGACCCAAGAAGGGAATGCGAGCGCGGCTGTGCGATGTTCAAGTTATGTCTGCTGGATGGGGGGCATGTTTATGCAAAGAGAACTTTTGTCATATCGCCTGTGCCTCTTACTGTGCAGTAGCCTACCTCTTCTTTATTCTCACCTCACCCTTTCTGCTCATATATCTTATAGATTCAAGTACGGATACTCGAGTCTCGACATTAACACTTTGGGGGGGACAAATACCTCCGCCGTTTGCCGCCTGCCTAACAAATCAGACGATTTGATTGTCACGAGCTAAATTGTTAGGGCTCGGATAATGACATGAGCAACTAGCGTCTCTGGATTCGTCTGGATTCTAGGCCCTGTCAATGGCTCATGCTTCATGGTGTCGGGCTCAGCTACGTCTGACAGCTGACCAATGAGACGCTTCTGAACCGAGACAATAGAAAAAGGAGATGAATGCAGAAACAATGCTCGCATTCTGCGCAACCCTCCCCCCCGTCCACCCGTCCACCGGTGCGTCGCGGCGTTGCGGCGTTGCCTGTGCCGGCGAGCTATTTCGCGAAGAAACCACGTTTTCGAACACCGAACATGCCTAACTCATGGATGATGGGAGAAACTCAGGGAGGGGGGAAGACTAGGAGGGGGAGGGGGGGCCGCCAAGTGCGACGGATCATCGGCAGATGACTTTCGAAGCGCCTCCCTTTTGAAACATTTGTCGAAATATCGTTTCTTCTCTGACAGAGAAACTGCCGTGGGATTTGATCATGTCTTGTCTAGTCTCGGGTGACACCGTAACTAGTCAAAATCATCCGCCATAGAAAAAACGGCCTTTGGAACTTGACAGAATGGGATCAGCATTGGGGAATGTTTCACTTCAATCAAATGAATTGACCCAATAAGCTCAATCACAGGCTTTCGCACCAGCTGTAAAACAGACAAGGGTTAGTTTATGTCCCTTGTAGCCCGTAGATATAGCGTATCTCGCAAGCTGCGCTTCTCCCCCCAAAATGGGAGTAAAAAATCTTAGCTGAATCCGCCGATCTGAGCTTCAATCGCCGACTCATACCCCCAAAATAGTCCAATACTCGCGAACCCATCTCTCGAAATACTTGACACACTTTGACACACCGGGGACCACTGGTCTGTGTGTTTCGGTTGACCCGAGTGCGTCGGTGTCGGAAATTGGTAAATGAAATGGCTGGTGAGCCGAGGCAACTTCGCACTTTGATGAATAAGATCCCAGTAGCCGGTTTAGTCTGCCCAGGCAGGCGAATGAAGAGAGAGGGAAACTCGAGCAAAGGCCACTTTGCATCCCGATTAATTTCAAAAAACCAAAACAAAGGAGAAGACCATTTCCATCCTGAATCCTGATCCTTTTGCGAAGATCCATCGGGCTCGTAAGCACACAGATCGATCTAAGATGTGAGGTGCTGCAATTGTCCAAGTCAGCATCAAAGAGGATTCGAAAGGAATGCAATTTGTCAACCTGCCGAAGCCACAAGCGTCATTATGTTTGAGACATGTACAGATACCAATTACCGACCGGTCTAACACCAAAGATGGCTTGGCACGGGTATTGGGTTGCACCAGCCTTGATATAGACACAACCCCTTCCTCTTTCTGAGCAGCCGGCGGGATATCGAGGTTTTGGTTATCAGACGTCGAAACCTGAAGGTCTCGAGTCGTTGCCGCCGTACTCGCCGCCTAAGAGGGCTAATACCCTTCATTAGCCCCAATTTCCAGGCCATATTCAACAAATCAAATCCAAGACCCGCCTTGCTAGCTCAATCGGTAGAGCGTGAGACTCTTAATCTCAAGGTTGCGGGTTCGACCCCCGCGTGAGGCTCAAATCCTCACCGCGATTGACCAAGTCACTCCTCGGGCACTCTTGGTTTTTTTTTTTTTTGATATTTTCGATCAATCTCATTGAATTTGACAGAGTTTCGGGTACTTTTTCTAGTTGTTTATGGCTTTGCTGCGTTGATGACTTTGATTCATACACGCGCCACTCGTCTGAATTAAGGTTGAGAAACTGTAAGTTGGCCTTGAACTTAGAATCAAACGGGTGCTGATTTATTGATTAGTCTCCTCGCGAGATGTTGCCCATTTTGTCCGTCCCGTCTAGAATACCCGAATATGTCTGCCACCCTATGCTCATGCCCGTATCTGCAAGAATGAATTAGTCAAACTTCTCACTGAAAGTTTCTCTTCATTATCCGAAAGGATGTCTCTTATCAGAGCAGCCTTCTCATTCATCACAATCTCTGCAAAACCAGGCAGGGGCCGGCCTCGCCTATGCTGCTTTCTTTTTGCCACACAATCTCCTCCTGCCAGTATGTTGGCACAGGACAAAGATTCACAACGATATCGTCTTTCGCATTTCCCGCCTTGGTTATCAAGAGTGATGACGATCGAGACAAAGGAGCCTAGGGATCTATATCCCCTTATCATGGACGATGAGGAGAAGATGATGAAGCTCAAGGCTTCCCAGTTCGTCGAAAGACCAAATGCAAACTTCACCGACGTTATGATCTAGCTCTCTTGCCCACATCTTAAACACCTCACTCGACTACGTATCCATCAGACCCTCCATTACTTCGCTCGAAACCAACGACGCTCATCAACCTCGAACCACGGAAGCCATGTCGGAAAACAGGCTTCTCAGCCTACCGCCAGAAGTGCTCTTATAGATATGTCGACACCTAGCAGCACCGATGCAAAACGCGTTATCGAGCCATTGGTGCCGTTTCCGCGTCAACGACAGCGGCGGCACCAAGACAAGAGACATCGACGTCCTCGCATGTAGCGTAGCCCTTGCGCGGCTTATGCGAACGTGCAAACCAATACACTCGGTGGCGGGCTGCATTACTACAACATCCGCCACCCCTCCGAAGCCTTCACCTTTTTTCCGAATTTCCCGTCCCGGATAACTTCTCGGCCCCGGAGAACGTTTGACAACGGAGCCCTCGATCGGGTCAGAGATGGAAATCCCAAGCAGGCCTCATTATCAACAGTGCTTCCTACCTCACCACGATCCACGTCCACGATACGTGCTCCCTTCGAATCCCAAAGGGTATCCGCCTCGAGCACCTCCGTTCGCTTACCTTTGCATCCTGCTCCATGGACCGCAGCAGCCTGAAGCACACCCTGCAAGCCACGCCCAAGCTCGTCAGCTTCGAGTACCACACCAGACCGTCGACGGCGTAAAACACGCACAAGAGACCGCTTCTCACGCCGCCGATGCTATGCCAGCTCCTCAGTAACGACTTCGACCGTACGGAGCCGCCCTTGCGCAATGGCCGAGGCGAGGCGGTTTCTGCCGTGCCACCAGAGTCCCATCGTCAGCTCAGGATGCTCGTCATTGACTTCCCTGTTGGCGAGGACGAAAGTACTTGGTGGAAGCGCGAGGAGACGATTACCAACATGCGGAACCTTAGGCTATTGAAGCACCTGAGCATCGACGCGGACAGCATCATCAGCCGATTCCAGGGCGGGGAAATCACCGTTAATGACCTGGACGAGCTGATACTTGAAAAGCTGGAGGGCTTGACGATTACGCGCGTGGGAGACTCCTTCGACTATCTGATGCAGACGAGTCTGCCAGAGTTGGCTCGCGAGCTTAGGAACGGGCGGTCCTGCTCCTTGCACAGGGTTGGAATCTTGCATTGTGCCATCGACGAGTTTACGCGGTACAATGCTTTGGACAGCCTCTGAAGGCTGTTCGTGTGGAGAATCAGCATAGGTTTGTGTAATTCGTGGTTTGAAGGGGAGGTCTCCAAGGACCAAGGTTACTGATACTCGGATTGTTCAACCCCCCCAAGACACGCAACACCGTCCGTACTTGAAGACTTGATCAAAGAGTTTCAAGATGTGATGAAGAAGCCATCGTAATGAAGAAGTAATAGATTTTGGCCACGAGCTTTGCCAGGCCCAAGGAGATGATATCATGCTCTGCTCCTTTTTTCTCATGAATGACTCGAATGCGTATGCTCACGAATCTCCACCGACTTATTCCCCGAGCCTGTCCCCCTCGACTCAAACATCGTCAACCCATGCTCCTCAATATCACCATCCTCCCTCTGCTCCGTCCCAAACGACCGATTCTTCCTCCTCTTCATCCCTGAGCTCCCAATCGTCTGAATCGAACTATGCACCTTTGGCGTCTTGTCCTTGCCACCACCCGTAAACAACCTCCTCAGCGTCGGCGCACACCCGCACACGATCGCCAAATTCGCCTCGAGCGCGGTCCACACCCAGATATTGAACCCGTCCCACGTCAGGTCGTACGACGGGTCTTCGACGTAGAGGATCTCGACATGAATCACCCAGTACGTCCGCATGATGCCCGCGATGACTACGATGGTGCCGAGGCCGAAGAGCACGATGAGGCTGATGCGTTGGGAGAGTGGCATTTGTAGGCGGAAGAGGGTCGGCATCGGGAGGAGGTAGACGGCGACGTCGGTGAGGACATTTGTGATGCCTTGGCCTGCGAGAGGCGGCCATTCGGGGATGCAGTTGCCCCAGTCGGCGAAGAGGGTCCAGTAGTGCCATATCGGCCTGTGGTTAGACAGATGTCAGTCAGGCTTCTATTGCTTCCAAAGGTCCAGAGTGAGAGCGTGGCTTACATGCACTGCGTCCAGAGCACAATGAGAAAGACCCAGGTGAGGGTGAAGACGAGACCACCCGTCACCCAAGTAAGCCGTTGAAACCAAGTCCCCGGTGCCGCGAGCCTCAGGTAGCTAGCAAGAATCGAGAGCTTTGACAGGCCGGAAGCGAAGAGGAAGAGCGTCTGCGCAGCCATGGAGATCTACCATGCATCAGCCATTAGAGTTGCGCCTCTAAAGTCAAGATCACGCCAAGTAGAACGTACCTGTCGGCTTTGCTTGATCAATGACAGTGGTACATCCCACACGTGCAGGTTCCAACCGTATAACTCAGTGGCTAATCGCAAAGTGTTAGCCCAATGGTTCCTTGTTGCCTGTTGCACACTGTTGAGCCTTGAAGAGTAATCCGTACCGAGAATGACGCAAATCGTGACGCCAATGCAGAATATCATGCCGGCGACCATGAGCCAGTCATCCCACCACGTCTGCCGAATCTTGAAGATCCTGATATACATCCGCAGGCAGAGACATATCATGGCGATGCCCAGAAACACCATCTCAATGATGAGAAGCCCCGGCCCCCGGTTCTCCGGGTTGATGTAGTTTGGCCGCGGCCACTTGATGAGCACATCGATGGGCGGGATCCTCATCGTAATAGGCTTCCCGATTCTCGTCTCCGGCGTTTTTCCTGGGCGATTCGGATACTGTCGTCGAGAGACACAGGAGGTTTCCAGAAACCTTACCCTCGGCCGTAACTTTGGAGCGCCGTTGAGGATCAGTTGGCGATTAGTATTCCTGAGTCCAAGGTTCTACGCGGGAGGTGGCCATGACCGATACTATTAACCCCCCTCGCCAAGCAAAGACGTAGCGCCATTCTTCATCGTCACATCGCTTGGAGAAATGTTGTTGCTTTTTTCTTTTTAGGGGCACACCTTTCAGTTCCCTAGCGCAGTAACGCCATGGAGCGGCTCCGCGAACATGGTCTCAAAGGAAAGGTGTCTCAGACAGCCGAATGCATCTTCCCAAAGACGCGACGGAATCAGCACTAGGCAGCTCGAACCATGTGTTTGGGGAGCGCCACACATGGCGTCGCGCATCCTCCAGAAACGAAGATCATGCAATCATAGGGACTAGCTCTCGATGTGACTGCCCAGTTGCCATTCTTTCTCAATCTAGGCATGTGCTTAGACCACATCTAGAATCCGCGGCAACATTCAACTACCAAAAGAATGACTACAAGGCGGCCGCTGACGTGCGACCCGGACAAATGGCACGCTTCGTCTTCCTTTCCTAACCAGCGGGCTAGCCTCGAGGCTTTTCTTGTCTCGGTTCCAAAACACTGGAATAAAGCAGCCATCCTTTGATTGTTGTACGTAATGGACTGCCTCAATCAAAACTGTTGATGTCCAGGTGCTCCCGTACTCTCCAGAATCGGATCACCTCCTCGCCCGCGTGGCAGCCCTGCCAGGAACAGTCTAATGACAGACACTCTCTGTCCCGGCTCCCGACTCCCGTGTGCCCCAACCTCGATGAGGTCCCCGCGCGCGTGAGGAGAAAAAAAGAGAGAGGAGGCACAGACAAAGATCATCGTGTGATGACTTGCAGCTCGGACGTCTAGGTCCAGACTATTGAAAGCTAGCGCGCTCGCCTTATTGGCAGCCCTAAAGCCTCGTGCCTGGTCGAAGATCATTCTCTAGCAGTCTTTTGTTCCATCCATGGAAATAGCAATCTACGATGTCCATTCCCGTTCATGACTAGGGAAGCGGGGGAAAGTCTCGATGATCTGGAGTTCGAATTTGTGTACAGCTTGGTCAGGAGGCTTCGAAAGGGACCATGTCGTGGCCGATGAGTTCGTTGCTGTCTGTCACGCTTCTGCAGCGTGAGATGTGGTCTGAACAGAGTCTTCACCCACGAAACCTCCAAGGCTTGAGCGGAAGCAGAAATTCTAGACTTTGGAGAAATTCTGCTCCTTTTCTTGGGAACTCGACTGCGTATCCGGTTCCCCGGCCTACTCTCGGGATCTGAATTTGGAACGGCTTTGATTCCGGCATGTCGGGTCCACCGTCTAGCAAAGTAGCTCGCTCCTGGATCGAAAATTTAAAATGAGCTAATCGTCCCAGTTGGATCTTTGCGGCGACGCCACATTCCCAGTGGGCCGGCAGGCAGAGAATCAGCAAGTTCGACGTAGGTACGGAGTAGTGTACCGATACCAATTACCCCAGCCTAACCCAGAAGGCCCAAGAGCGCTCTCCCCTTTAACTGGCCCAAGTCCGCTTGACCGATAGTGGGAAAGCAGAAGATGCAGGTAGCATCTATGACTCCTGTCTGGAATCGTCGAGCCTCAGGGGACACATTCAATCCATGGGGATGTAGACACCTTGTATCCGTACGTGTCTATCAGAAGCTTGACGTGAAGTACCGGCGGATCATGACCGGGCTTGGGCTCGGCGCCGGCTCCCAAAAGCCGGTCCCACGCTTCGGAGCCTCCTCCGAATGCCAGGGAGGAGTTTTTCCGCTTCCCAGGTGAGCACCGCAAACATATTGCTTACTTACTACCTTTCTTAACGATTATATACTTTGTGTCCCGGAGAAGAATTCTAGAAGCTGCAGATAGTATTTGTTAGGCTAACACTACTTTAAGTAATCTAGACTAGATTTAACTCATTGAAAATACGTTATGCTATGATCCCCAACATTTGACATGATCTTCAGCTTAGCTCCACTAGCCAGTCTTTTTGGTGATTGCCTCGTTGTACTGCTTGGCTGCATTCTTGATACCGCCGAAGAAGTCCTTGTAGCTCTTCTTGATTGTGCCATTCAATTCATCCACCAACTTCTTTGTCTGCTCCACCACTTCAATAATGTCGAGGATTTGCAGAACGGCGTCGGCCACGGATGCAATCACTGCAATTCCAGCAAAGAATTTGCCCCAGCAATCCATCATCTTAAACACGCTTGTTTCCTTGTCTGCACCCACAAATTCTGCTATATCATTGTACTGAGCAAGCCTCTTCGTAGCGACTTTCATTCTGTTGGCCATGATGCCGATGGAGCTGATGCGGACGATGGTCAGTGCCGTGCTGCCGCCGAATGTGAAGCCCTTTGATGGAATCGAGGTATTTCTTCAGATCATCGTCCGACTTTGAGCTCATGTTCAAATTGTCTAGAGCATCGTAGACGTCGGTAATTTCTTTGCTATCGAAAAGCTTACGTGCCGAGTTCGCATACTGTTTGAAAGTAGCGACATCGAGCTTGCCGCCAGACATTTCGATCTGTGCCATGAACTGCAAGAGGATCGAGCGACATGTCTGTCCGGTCATGCCTGTTGCCTGTTGGGCTGCCACGATTTTGTTGTTCGCCTTGTAAGCGGTGATGTACCGAGAGACTGTGGGACCGACAAGGGTCGCAATATCGTCGTCGACAGTCGTCATCTTCTTGTTAAGGTTCGTCGACTTTCTAGAAATGTCGACTTTCATGATTACGGCCGCAGCCTCAAAGGCAGCAAATGCAACCATACCAAGGCCGAAAGACCAGATAGAAGCCACGGCGGCAGCATCCGCACTGATCTGGACCGCATCTGCGGCTATGGTCTGGTCACGCACTTCGGTCGCCAAGCCTACCAGCATGTTGAACTCTTTGTCGATAGCTGTGTCGGGGTCGAAATCGCCTAGCGACACGAAGAAGTCGTGCTCATTGATCAATGATTGGATGTCCGCGTTCGATCCTCCAGTCCATCCGGACATGTAGTTCAAGAAAGCAAACAAATCAGTACTCATGTCGACGGCTTGGGATCAGAGTAATAATCTTAGGTAAGATGGATTGATGCAGTAAAAAGGATGTGGAGAATTGCTGGAGCGAGTCGCTGTTCTCGTGGCTTACCTGGCCACCTTGTATATCCTGCGTCTTGAACCAGGCAGTAGAGGCACCAGATGCGTTTAGGTGACTGCTTCGCGACACGAAGTGCCTGGAGATCTGGCTGCTCCGCATATCAGCTTTCGCATTGGCTTGAGATAGCTCACGCTGCAAATGATTATTGTACGGGTTGCGGGAACGGCTTCAATTCAGATCGACCTTTGGCGGCGACACCACGTTCCCAGTGGGCCGCTCACTCTCCCTTTGGAACTTGACACCATAAAGTTAAGAATGGTACCTGCATTCTTGGCTTTCCCGCGGTCGGTTAAAGCTCAAGGGGAACTCGGCAAGTCCGAGCGCGGGCAGTCAGGATCAATGGACATTCTGTACCCGACGTCCATGTCAAAAGCTTGACTCGGAAGGCGACAGATCAAGATCGGGCTGAGCATCGGCTCCGGCCCCGAAAAATCGGCCCCACGCTTCGGAGCACCTTCCGAACGTCGTCGGAGGAGGCTTGTTTCTCTACCTTGCCTAGGCGAGCACGAACTTTGCGCTGCACAGCATCCGGCGGCATTATGTGGGATACTGGATACTTACTCTTCAAACTTGGTGGTCACCCAACCGATACAGTGCGACTGTTTATCATTGTTCCACCAAGCCCTATGTTCAATTACCCCTCAATGTTGGAGTGAAGTATCCGTACAATGAATCAAAAACATGTGTGGCAGTTGCGATGAGCACATGTTTAACATCTCTGTGTACCGGGATGAGCAAACAGAGAGAGTGAGACACAAACAAGCCAATCATGTTGGACAGATATGGAATTTCATCCCCACAAACCTTGAGCGACTTAATCGGGCACTTCTCGGCATCCCACCTGCAACCTGCCTCCTCACCTATGTTCAACGCCTGCCTAGAGTGACGATATCCTCACAACGGCTGATATCTTTGATATTCTTTTCTCTCCCAGTCTCACATCCCGTCTACTGGTACTGAGTACCTCAAACATGCCGGCAAGTTCTTCCTACGGCGCTCATCTTCTAGAATTGGGCCCCCGCAATGCTAACACAAACTCGCTCACGCAGCTCTACAGTCAAGTCGTCCTCTTTGGAGACTCGCTCTTCCAATTATCCTCTACGCCTCAAGATGGCTTCTCTTTCCAAGCCGCCCTTCAAGACCGTAAGATGGTCCTTTCATAGTTCATAGTTCCTCTTTCAAGGTGACAAGTAGTTCAAGGCTGAGCAAATAACGGGCAGACTGTATGAGACGTCTCGACGTCATCAACAGAGGATTCTCAGGCTACAACACGACCGACGCCCTAGGAGTTCTTCCAGACCTCTTCCCGCCTCCTTCAGCAACGACGCCCAAGATTGACTACATCGTGCGTACAACTGGCTACTGAAACTCCCACCGATATCTACCAGCGATGTTGACTTCATATACAGTTAGTCCTGCTCGGCGCCAACGACGCCTGCCTCCCTATCCCCACAAACAGCCAGCAAGTGCCCCTGGAACAATACAAGCAGAACCTCAGAGATATCCTCACCCACCCCACCATACGCGCCCACAACCCCAAGATCCTGCTCGTGAGCCCCCCTCCCCTCGACGAGATCCGCATGCTCGAGCGCGATCTCGAAAAGGGCCACGGACAGGCGTCCCGCAGCGCGGCCGTCAGCAAGACGTACTCGGACGCGGCGCTCAGCATCGCGGCCGAGGTTCCAGGTGTCGTGCCGATTGACCTCCACGAGGCCGTCATGCGGCGGGCCGAGTCCATGACGATTGGGTCTAGTCGAAGTAGTCTTCCGCTGGGGCATCCCGGGGGTGAGAGGGGCGGATTGGAAGTGTTGATCCCGGATGGGCTGCATTTGGGGGGTGAAGGGTACAGAGTGCTGTTTGAGTTGGTGAAGCCTCACATTGGGCCGTTTGATCAGTCGAGAGAGGATTACCGGTATCCGGATTGGAAGATTCTTAACCCTGGTAGTCTTGGTTGAAGTGATACAGGGACGCAAAAGGTGCTTCAGAAGGCTCTCCGTGTGGAATTCTTTCTGAGGGTTTAAATATCAAGACTTTATGATTAGACAAAGAAAAGTTCGGCTTGGAATACTCTTGTACCGCACCTAGCGAACCCCTCATGTGACACTTCAACATGAGATCCCCTCGGCCATTTAGACCTGGTCGGTCATTCTTGCTCAAAGAACATATCGGAACATGGGCTACACACAGTTAGCATATCACTCAATAACCGACTCCGAATACCAGGCACACTCACGTTAGCTTTATCCGTCACATCCTCGAACCCAAGCACCTCGCCCTCCCGTTGCATCTCCTTCACTTCCTCCTCAGACTTACCCTCCAGCATCCGATCGCGCTTCTTATTCTCCAAGACATAGATGAACCGCAGAATCTGGTTCAAGACCAGGTTGAGAATAAACCCGCACAGCATGGCCACGATACCGCTGTGATATGCCGGCGCCTCGGTGCTCTTGAAGAACTGCGGGCCGGCAATCTGCCCGACGCAGTAGCACACGAAAACCCAGCCCGAGGCGACGGAGCGCTTCGTGCTGCCGGCGATGTTGGTCGAGAGCAGACCAAGGATGACCATGAAGCCGACGGGGTAGGAGCCCAGCAGCCAGACGCCGACGAGGCGGCCCCATTTGTTGTCTGCGTGGAGTTGGTTGATGAGGCAGGTTCCGATGATCTAGCTCTCACGTTAGCGAAGTCGTCCATCCTGCGAGACTGATGACAACATACCGGCGGGATCATGGCAACGGTACCGACGTGCAACCTAGAACTCTTAATCTTGCTGCTCAAGAGACCGGCCCCCAGCTGCGTGACAACCTGCACAGTAGAAAGCGGCAAGTTCATAAGCGTCGTGTTAAGCGGACTGAACCCAAGCCCCTGAATAATCAACGACCCGAACGCCAATCCACCCGATGCAATCGCATTAACAAACGAAATCAAACCCAAGATGATGACGGCCGGGTCCCTCGCCGCCTCAAGCACCTGCGCTTTAACAAACGTCCTGCTCCGGCCCGTACCAGTCTGATTCTCCGCCACGCGCTGCACAGCCACGACCCTCTCCCTCTCCGTCAACCACGTCACCTTGGCCGGCCCATCCGGCACGAAAATCGTAAAGATAACGCCCCAGATGACGGTGATGGCGCCCAGAATCAGAAAGATGTACTTCCACGGCGACAGCGAGCCCGTAATATGCCCGATGCCGTATGCGAGCAACGTCCCGACAAAGCTCCCGACGCCAAGGAACGACACCCACAGCGCCGAGCGACCAGCCTGTTCCTGTCGCGTCCACCACATCCCCGTGACGGCCACGAACCCAGGCGAAATCGTCGCCTCCGTCACGCCCAGCAGGAACCTCACGGATGCCAGCCCCGCAAAGGAACTACACGCCGCGGTGGTCATGAGAATCATACCCCACAGCACGATATTCACGCCCAGAAACTTGGCCACGGGGAACCGCTGCAGGACGGCGACGCCGGGGTACTCTGCTACGAGGTAGCCAAAGTAGAAGATGGAGCTGGCCCAGCTGTACTGCTGCCCGACGAGCTTGTTGTCCTTGATGATGCCGTAGACGGAGCTGTACCCCAACGAAGTCTTGTCGATGAATTGGAGGGCGTAGGTGATGCAGAGGAAGGGGAGGATGCGGCGGTCGAGTTTGGTGAGGATAGAGCGGGATTCGGAGGCGTCGAGCGGCGCGGAGGTGAGGGCTGAGGCGGCGAGGGCGCCGGTTTCGTCGGTGATGTGGTGTTTTTGGGAGACGGGGTCGTCTTCGAGGGGGGAGGGGCCGGTGGTGGAGGGGAGAATGTCCGTGTGGACCCGCTTCTCCGGGTCGGAGCCCGGGTTTTCGGTGGGTGTCATTTCGGAGTAAGGTGAGAGGGTTGTTGGAAAACTGGAGTGAACTTGTGGGTTTACCGAGTCCCAGGTTCTTGGGTTCGTCTTAATTTCCTAGCACGAGGATCCGGAAAAGAAAGTTTTCTCACCCTCTTGAGGCTGTTGGGAGCCATCGACTTCTTTTATCAATGGAACGTTGAAGTGAAGGCCCGCGGGCTGGAGTCATTGGAGCGTGTGGGTCTCGTTCATCGGAGTAGATCCGACCATCGGCAATTCCACGTTTTTTCCTCAATGGTCTTATCTCGCTCGGGTGATTTCTTCCACTCACCAGCCCCTCTTCCACTTAGTAACATGCCGGCGGCAAAATAGGTGCAGAATGGTTCGTGTATCTGGTAACATGGATATGGCCTCGTCGGACTTTGATCGCCCCTTCGTAAGGTAACCTGAGAGTCAGTATGACTGACCTCTTTGAAGTGGGACGTTGGTTCGCCAGCACGCTGGGTCACACTCACTTGACTTATAAGGTGCCTTGTAAAATGGCATTTGCCTAATGAGATACAAGATGCTCGCCTTTGCCAACCCCGTCTTCATCTGTGTCTGAAACTGTTCGATGTGTTCATGATATTTCCCCCCCTCGGAAAACCTGAACTATCCGCATCCAAGCGCAACCGGCGCGCACAACGAATACGGGGACCAAGACGGCCGATAACACCGGGTCGATAAGAACAAGGGTCCGGATGACGGGTAGCTATCTCCTGCGGGGAACAGCCGGTCTCACCCCTCCACTTCCAAACTCCAATCCGTCGCCGCCTTTGGAGGACGCATACCACCGGCCTGCACAACGATGCATAATCCCTCCCAAAAAAGGAAGCTCGCAAGAGAACAACACTGGTGAGCACTGAGCCATGAGCATTAGACGGCCAAGCGCCTTGGCAATCTCGTTGGTCTTGTCAGCCTCATCTCAAGAGGACTGCGTGTCTTTATCGTCGTCTTCATCCAACATCACTCACATCTGCCGACTATTCAGCGCATCATCTCACACACAAAGGTGACTTCAAGCCATCTCTCCAGCAGGTTCATCATCGTGTGTATCTAACCACCTATATCAGACCCCCACCACAACAAAAATGGCCAAGCAAACATCAACACCAGTCGCCTCGCCCGCCGCAGGCGCGAAAGAAGACGAGACGCCGTCAGACCCGCAGCAGCAGCAGCAGGTAGCGGAAACATCACCAGCGGAGAGGATACTAGCGCTCCTCATGCCCCCTGCCTGGGCGCGCCGCCTCATCTTCGTCGTTCTCATCTTCTACATCACGCCGTTCCTGCTCACGCACTGGATCGAGACATCGACGAAGCTGATTAGGATGATACGGGCGTTGACCGGCCAGAGGTGATTGTTCATTACGTGGAATCAAGAGTGATGGATGTTTGGGGGGGGGGGGGGGGAGGGGGGCTGGTCTCGGGGCGGGTTGAAGAGCTCTGCGGTTAGCAAGATGCTACTCACTCCTTCCGCTTCAAAGGAGAGAGTGAAACTTTGGGATCTTGAGATGAAGTTATCGGAACAGGCGGTTAAAAAAAATTGTATACTCAATAGCAAAAGGACTGTCTAATAATGAACTTATCAGAAGAGCGCAACCCGCGTCCAAAGCTACAAGAGAGAACCGCACAATCATAGCGACCCTCGGCCGTCTCAGGCATACAGTCAAGCCGAGCTTACCAAACACATTGGAACCAGCGGAACATCCATTATTGAGCGGATTTGGTTTTCTATAGCGACAGCTTCAATACCCAAGACTTTGCGAAAACTTCAGCGCGATCATTCTAATCTCCCGTCCTAAGAAAAAAAGATGCGCTGATTTATGCACAATCCAAATTGAAGCCAAGCATAACGCAGCGAATGCGCTAGCCGGAACGGGCAACAAGCATCGCATGGCACCCGCGGCCTCGGTACAGTTCCCTCGCAGATAACATGAACCACAACCCGGCCGGTGGTCGGAGACACGCCACCGCTCGGAACCGTCTCTTCAGACGACCTTCATCCAATCTCATCGGGAACAGTGCAGGTTCACCCAACTACATCACCTCTCCCTTCAATCATCTCTTGAATTAACCTTAGACTCGTCATCAACTCAACTCACATCAATCTCTCTCACAATGGACACCCCAGAAGATGACTTCGTCCTCGTCTCCCACGCAGACACCCACCCCACATGCACATCAACCTCACCGTGCTCGCTAACCTCAACCACTCCATCATCCGCATCAGTCCCCTCACCACCACCACCCTTCCTCGACGAAATCTCCTCCATCGTAACAGACCTCGCTGACGCACTATGGCCCGTCAACAAAACCATCCACGATAACCCGGAACTCGGCTACCGCGAGTTCATCGCCCACGACACCCTCGTCGCCCTCATGCGCACCCAGCCAGGATGGAAAGTCACTCCCGCAGCCTACGGCATGAAAACGGCCTGGGTTGCCGTCTGGGAAAGCGGGAAGAAAGGACCGGTTGTGTCGTTTAATGCTGAGATGGGTGAGATCTCTCCTCCTCCCCTTCCTCCTCCTTCTCAACTAAAAATCACCACAGACTGCCTCCCAGGAATAGGCCACGCCTGCGGCCACAACCTAATAGCAACCGCCTCTCTAACAGCAGCCCTCGCAACCTCAAACCTCCTCGCCCGCCACGCCCTCCCCGGGAAACTCATCCTCTACGGAACTCCCGCAGAAGAAGGCGGCGGCGGCAAAATCGCCCTCCTCAAAGCCGGCGCCTACAGCCCCTCCACCTGCCCCGGCAGCACCCCCTCCCGCCCGCCAGACATCAATCTCATCTCCCATCCGGGCATCGTCCCCTCCACGGCCCTCATGCGCACCTCAGCCTACACCTCCCTCAAGCTCGAGTACTTTGGCCGCGAGGCCCACGCGGCAGCGAACCCCTGGCTCGGGATCAACGCGCTCGACGCGCTCGTGGTGGCGTATACCTCCCTCTCGGTGCTTCGACAGCAGACGAAACCCGGGGACGTGATCCAGTGTAATATCTCGGATGGCGGTGCGAGGCCGAATATCATCCACGCCTATACGGCTGCGAATTTCGTGGTGCGGGCTGATACGCAGCCGCGGTTATCGGAGCTGTTGAAGAAAGTAGAAAAATGCTTCGCTGCGGGTGCCGAGGCCACGGGGGCGACGTTCAAGGTTACATTTACGGGGGCGTATAAAGACCATGTTCCGAACCGCGTGCTGGGTCGTTCGTATACGCGGTACTTTAACGCGCTCCTGGCATCCGGGGGTGCCGGTGATGGAGACGACAGAGGGGAGAATGACGCACCGATACCGACGGACGAGGACGTGGATGAGATCCGCGGGCGGACGATGGCGAGTACGGACCAGGGGGATATCAGCTACGCCTTGCCCTCCCTCAGCGTCGGCTTTGCGATTCCTGCCGGGGAGGGGGGCCAAGGGCCGCATAACCCCGAGTTTGCAAAGGCGGCGGGGACGAGGGTTGCGTTTGAGAGGAGTTTGAGGGCTGGGAAGGGGTTGGCTGGTGTTGCTGTTGATGTTTTGACGAAGGAGGGGATGGTGGGGGAGGTGAAGGATGCTTGGAGGCGGGATATGGGGATGTGATGGGGATGCTGGTGGTGGATAGGGGAAGGTAAGGTTGTAGGTTGGTAAGGGGTATACCTGATTCTGTGATATATGAGTCTGAGAAAACTGGTGACTTGAAGATATGCATGTAGGTAAAGAACGAACCTCTGAGTATTCACCTTGCTCAATATCGGATCGAATTACCATCCAGTCCTTATGTGTAACTTCACGTCCTCATGGCTCAACAGTAAGTAGTGGGCCAGATGGTCGAGGGGTCGAGAGGCCGAGGGCTGTAGAGACCATAGTTAGACCGTAACGTCTCCGGTCTACTTGGGGATTCATTTTTTGGAATACTCGATCAGTCCGTTCTTTTGGCCCTTTGATTTTCCGAGATGATGTCGAATCCTTTCGTAGGGAGAGACGGATGGGATACGTGAATAAGCGTGTAGAAATCATCCTCGTATCATGATGTACATACAAGCATATAGTACATAAATTTGTGTATGTGTTCTCACATGGCCTCTCACCTGTCTTCACGCAATCACGAGTTTAAAGCCTCCACACAAAGCATCAGAACATGTGTGTCTGATAACAAGGTAAAGAAGTCATGATTGTACAAGGTCCTAGAACATCCCAACCCGTAGGTATAATAATACTGATTGATACACGCCCAAAACTCCCCATCATAGTCAGACACCCCAATATCAAAACATGTCTCATAGCCCATCTCACTTCCTCCTCCTCCTCCATCCCTCTTGCTCTTGGGACCTGGATACCAGAAAGTTCAAACATCCTCGCGAGATGTCGGAACCTCTACATTCTCTTAGCACCCATCTCCTCCGCCCCAAACTCATCCCACTCCTCCCTCCCAATCCTTCTCGAAATCCACACCCCCAACCCAGTAACACCACAACTCGCCAAAAACCAACCCTCAAACCACCAATCCACAAAGCGCGGCTCCAGCGCGCCCGCCAACGCATCCCCCACCGCGCTCCCCATCTCCCGCGGCAAGTTACTGCGTAACAACAGCGCCGCACTGATAACATACACGGCCGTAATCTGCCCAATCATCAGAGCCAAGTTCGCCTGCGCCTGGTACAGCAGGCCTGGCATCCACTTGGAAAACAGGTGAAACGTCTGCAAGACACTATTCGCGCTCGCCGCGAGCATGACACCGCTCAACAAGAAACTAATCTGCCGCGCCCACGCAATCTGGTCCAGGGACGGGTCCCAGTGCCGCGCCAGCAGGCCGAGGAAGCGGTTAATCGGGTCCGAGGAGCTGAAGCTCGAGGAAGGGTAATACGCCCTCCGCAACGTCGCCAGCGTCGTCGCCAGGATCCGGTAGAGGCAGTATAGCGAAAAGACGTAGTGCGGGACAGCCAGCACTTTACCCAACGTCGTCGCCGCGCGCGCGTCCGCCGCCCGCCGCGAGCGCATCACGCCCAGCGAGGAATGCAGATTCGCCTCCATCGTCTCGAGACCCGTAATCTCCAGCCGTAGAGCGCGCATCTCCGCCTCGTCGCCGCCGCCCATGCCCCTCACGGCGCCGAGCATCTTCCCCATGAACCCGCCGCCGCCGCCGCCGCCGCCGCCGCCTCCGGCCCCGGAACTAGACGACCCGCCCGATTGCGCCTCCGCCGCCTTCCGCTCCAGCGCCTGAAGCCGATGTCGTTTCGTCAACAACATCTCGTTGGTGGCATCCAGCCCAGCCTCCTTCCTCGAAACATCCGCCTCCGTAACGGGCCTCTTTCTCCGTTCCGACACCGCGCCGAGGGTATGCCACGGACTCGAAACCGCCGCGAACCCGCTCAGCATCGCCATCAACGAGATCCCAATAACGCCAATCCTCTCCAAACAAGCCCTCAACACCCCTCCACCCGCCGTAGCCGTCTTGTCAAGCCCGACCAAGCCCCCCAAGCTCCAAAACGCAAACACCCACCCGCCAAACACGAGCATCTGCACACCCCACGCGAACCTCGGTATCCTCCCCTGCCCGTTCCGCTGGAACTTCCACCCAGCGCCCGAAACGACGCTCTGAATCTCCAGAAACGGTATAACGCCCACCAACAGCACAAGCAACGTCGGCACCGTAACCCTTAACCCAACCTCCCTCGCGCGCCTGCTCACCAGATCCGAAATCTCGCTCAGTATCAACTCGCCCAACACCGTCGCCAGTGCAATCGTGACGCTAAACACGGCCGCCGCGACGCGCCTCCTCGCGCTCTTTTGTCCGTGTTCGGCGTGGGCCTGGCGCAGGCTGGGCGGGGCGTGCGAGGGGAGATAGTGGTCCTCGCCATCGTGGGCGTCGTGAACCTTGGCGAGTTTGGGGAAGATGGTTTGGTTTGCGAAAGCGGCGACGGCGGCAAAGGTGAGGAGGAAGGGGAGGAGCGAGAAGAGGAGGCCGACGGTCGATGGAGCGTTGGGGTTTACAGCGGCACAAGCGGACTCGTCGCAGCTGGACCAAAACCAAGACATCTTGGGCGGCTGCTGCTGCTGCTTGACCGTGTCGATGGTGGGGGTGCAGCGTCTTTGTTTACGCGCGAGCAATGGGACATGTGCGATGTGTATCCGTAGTCGAGTAGAGCAAGATTCATCCTACGATTTCACAATTGTTGAGCAGGATTGAAGGCAGTTGTTACAAAACCGAAACAAAAGAAAGGTCCGGTGTCCTTTAGCGAGGAATCAGCAAGGCTGTCTCCGACATTGTTTGGTATGCGTTGGTTGGCTTCGGACAACCGTTACAGTGCGACGGCTGTGACGAGAAAAGAAGGGCGACATTGGATTCGTAACCTATGTGTCGGATTTTGGGCCTCAGCCACACGACAACCTGGCCTCGCTGTGTACCTACCTATCTACCTACCACGGGTACTAAGGTAAGCTCCGGCGACTGTTTTTTTAAGCTTCAGCCACATGTCTTTACGCCACACCTTGCACCTACCTACTGTACTTATGTACTACGTACTTTGGAACCGCAAAAGTCTGGAACTCTGGGAACCTCGCCCACCTTCATCAAGAGCCCCGCAAGATGTGACGGAGGGGCCAATGGACAACAGGCAAAGACTCACTCAACAGACGCCAAAATTACCCACCATCTTGCCCACCATCATTGTTCGTCCATCACCAGAAGAAGCTGTAGTGCAGCAGAAATCCGGCCAATTTCATCATTGCAGTCTTTTATGGGTATCAATCCACGGGCTCCTTGTAGAGAAGGAGGTTTTAATAACTACGCCGCGCACCTGGACAAACGTCCCTTGACTTCCCTTCGTCTACCCCCACACCAATTCTACGGGATATGTCGTCCCAGTAAACTAAACATGCCCACGCTATCGAACAAACGCCTTCTAAACCCACACATATACTGCCTCATAACCCTGCCTGTCCATTCGAAACCCTGTGGCTGCTGTATCAGCTGTTGCTGCTGTGTCGCGAGGCCTTGGACTCCTCGTCTTCGTCGTCATCTACTCCACTGGCACTAGAGTCCAAACTCGACTTCCTTTGCTTAAGCGCGGCCGCCTCGTTGGCCTCCATCTTATGGAGCTTATCCATTTGCGACGAGTTGATGAGTTGGTCGCCAGAGAATGTCTCAAATTCGTCCTCATCATCGTCATCCTCCTCATCGCTGTCACCCGCAGCACTCGGCGGTGCAGATGATCTATCCGTACCCGCACCTGCGCTACTCGTTTGCGTGAGATTGGATGGAGCCGATTGGTGTCTCGGGTGTAAAAGGGCATTCAGGTCGACTGGCTTGATAGTCGGGTCGAATGCCGCAGGCAATCCCAGCGCTTTGGCGACCTGGTGAGCCTCTTCGTCCGCCGTGTTGTGCACCTCCACCTCGTACATGCTGCTCCTCTCGCTGTCGGCCTCGTGCTTTCCGCCCGTCGCTGACAACATCCTGACATATGTCTGTCGTTCCGTATCGTTCTTTCTCTTATTCTTCTTCTTCTCCCGCTTCTCCGTCGGGCGGACGACGACGACAGGAACAGGCGAATACTGCAGACAGTATTTCGAAAAGGAATTGCGCGTGTTAACCAGGCCCTGGAGGCCGCCGAGCGACCTACCCCTCGTGCCAACGATGAGCATTGCAGGCTGGTGAATTTGGATCTGCCAGATGATAATGGTTAGCGTCTACTCCACTGCCGTCTCGCCAAGATATGCCGCGTCACGCTTCTACTCACCAGGCGCTGGAATGTCGCATGAAGCTTCCCACTCGCGTATTCCAGTACAACACTGATGGCCCGGTTCAGCCCGTTGCGCTTCAGGATGCCATCCATGACCTTCTTCGCCTCTTCCTGGTATATCTTGTTGGTTTCGGCGGCTCTCAATTCCTTTTCGATGACGCGCACGCAAACAACCTCATCTCCGTCGTCGACCAACTCGTCGAGCAGCCACTGCAACGCATAGTCGGAGTAAGCATGCTCGTCGACGCCGACCATGAAGGTGCGCGATCGTCGTTGCGCCTGATACCCCCGATGACGAACATTCAACGTCAGCGAGAGCGTGTTGTTCTTCGTCGCCTCGCCCAGCGGAAGGTTGTCGAATGCGACATGCGACTGGAACCTGTCAGGCACAGAGGGTTGAGTTAGTGTCGCCATTAGGCAACGTCGTTTCGAGCAATTGGTAAACAAAAAGGCGCAAAGGGGCGGATTGGACGATATGCGGTTAAGAAAACTTTCAGATTTGCGGATGGAGAGTGGAAAATGTGACGAGACCACTGGTCAGAGCCAAGAGGGGTGGGAATGAAAAAGGGAGGAGAGTTTGCGATTTGGTAAGAGGCAGCCGGGATTCAGGAAAAGAGGACTGAGCGGAAATGCGACAATGACAGCTGCTTTTCCTCAGGTCCTCTGCGGGGGAAACGTCACGGTTAGGTTGGGTTGCTCCAGGAGGTCCAGACTAAGGGTGGGCTGTGGAGGATGAGTCGATGAGCGCCCACCTCCGCCATTCCTCCTTCTCTTTGTGAACCCCAAAGAGCACCACCTGCCTGGCGCATGCACCGTAAAGAAAGAGCCACAGGCGCTGAGGCAGGTGCATGTAGCGGGGTAGTGGGGTAGCGACGAGCGATCCTGGCGAATTACAGTAACCAGTGCGTCATCCGTAACCGGCAAGGTCGCTCTGTCAGTGAGGTGTGTCGTGTGATGTCTTGACGGAAGATTGCAACCCAATGAGTAAGGCCCTTGAAGGTATGGGCCGAGACGTGACACGGAGCCAGAGTAAACACAAATATCTGCTTGAGTTGCCATGGGACACTCGAAAAGTTCGTCTGACCAAAAGACTGAAGTACTCGGGGTATGCCTGTTGGTGAAAAGTAGGGCTCCTTTCCAGGGACGGCGGCGGGATTACTCGGAAACTGGAAAAAATGGGGTGCCGTGACAGAAACGAGGCCGCCGCTGGCCGACTGGTCCGACCCCGCCATCCCGATCGTGACGCTGGAATCGGCGCCCGGAGAAGGCTTCCTCGGTAGAGATAGCAATGCCTATGCATCCTAGGCGTGAACGGTCTCTGAGACGGAAGCTGAGAAGCCGAGTGGGTACCAAGACGGCTGCGGCCGACGAATCGTCAATCCACGGGAGAGCAAAGCGACCGGATCTGCGGCATGGGTGCGGAGAAGGTGGCCGTGGGATTGACCTCTTGATCCGAGGCTTCCGGGCTAGTGGAGGACTGCAGAATCGACGCATGTAAGGCAAAACCAACGGCAGCATATAAGTAAGGTGAACCCGAAGCCACACTGCATCTGATCCAGTTATATCTGCCACTGACGTACTTACGCCGGTTTGACCCAGATGCTACAGCTCCCACGATGTCACATACACACACCGAATCACAAGGCCACATGACCAGAACTGCTACTTGCAGACGCTTCATGGTAAAAGAGCCATAAAGACGGGGCAAATAAATCGCCAAAACATGAGAACGGGACATGGTGCGCTTACCTTTCGGGTGGTGGCGATGAAGCCCTGATACGCTCCTTATTCGTCTTCTTCTGGTTGCCCTGAGGCAGCGACGGGTTCCGCGGCGGTGCAAAGCTCAGCGAGGCTATCGATGATCCTCTCGGCCTTCCTCCATACGACTCGGTCCGTGATGACTCAGCAGAGAAGCTCCCTGTTGCGCTTTCGAGGGGAGAAGGACTTGCGAAGCTTGAAAGTGTGGTCGCACGGCTCAATGGCTCTGCATCGTTGGTCTTGGTCTCCTCGTCTTTCCTCTGCGACTGCGACTGCGATTGCGCCTGCGAAGAAGACTCGATGGAGAAGTAGTCCGTTTTTGTCTGGTCAGAGGACTGCATCGGAGACTTAGGCGAGACGTCGGAATCGGGACTCTGGACGTTGAGCATCGAACGTGGGCTTGGGCCAGACATGGTGTGCCGACGTTCTGCCGCCGCCGCCGCCGTCGCCGTCGTCGTCGTCTTGGGCTCCCACTGAAGATCTGGGAAGGAAATTTTCGGTGACGATGGTGAGGAGCTAACCTTGCTGTTCTTCTTTTTCTTCTTGGTGCTCTGCGGAAGCAAGAATACGCTACGCCAATTTTCTGATGATTTCATTGAAGGCTGTACAGCTGCTGTGGAATCAATGTCAGCATGAGCGCAGCGGCAAAGCAGTCGTCCCGGCGGGGTGAAGAATCAGGCAGATGCACTGGGTTGGACGGAGTCGCTCAAAGACCCGGATGGGTTGTGCGACGAGCTTGTCTTGGAAGGGACGAAAAAGCAACGTGTAGAAGATCAAGTGGTGATTTATGCCGAGGTGAGTGGCTGATGGTGGACTGACCACACCGTCTGAAAAGGGAAAGGGGCGTCTGTTGACTGATAGTTGGAACGTGGAGGTCGAACGGCGACTGTCAGGTCAGAGCGTCTCGTCGTCGGATATACGTAGAAAGGTGTGTACGCGTAGAAGGTGGGATGCGAAGGTGAGGGCGAAACCTTGTGGAAGGAAATCGGAGGAGCTCCTGTGCACGATAGGATGCGGTTCTCGGTGCGTTTGATGCTTAGTCGAGTATGAAGGTAATATGTCTCTTCGTCGGTCGTTTCTGAAAGCAGAAGGGGGATTGGCGGAAAGGCTCTTTCGACAAGAGAACAGGTATGTCTAGCAATGCCAAGGGGGGGATGTTTGCAGGCGCAAGTCGTGGTCTTTGAAGAGACAGAGCTCTCTCTTATGGCGAGGGGCACAGCGTAGGAGGCGGTTCCGCCAAGACTTGCGGGGCCTCACAAGGCACAGGAAAGCGCGAGGATGGTGTTGTTGTTGGATGGGAAGCCGAAGAACGGGGTGTGGCGTAGTGTAGACGGTAGCGCGGCGGTACGAGTCGAGGGTCGAGGGTCAAGAGTCTAAGTGATGACAGACCGGGTCGGTGAGCAGGTGATGTTGTTAGTCGACTGGGATGACAGCTGTTGCTGGTGCTGCTCAGGTGTGTGGGAACTGGGGCGGGAGAACGGCCGGGGCGACAGAGCTGAGAGCTTGGCTGGCGGGTGGTAGCAGAAGTCTAGCGAACACCGAGGAAGGACTTAATCTCGGTCTCTGGCTCTCTGGACACGACGACGGGCTTGATGTGAAGAGAGTGTACGGTACCTAACGGCAAGGTATCCGTGAGAAGTTGGAAGACCCGTTGCAGTCCAGGAGGCTGGATGCGGGGGTGGACAAAGTATATCTGTGAGACTGAGACTGGCGTGGAATGGGCAGAGAATGAGACAATGCAGTTGGAAAAGAAGCTCAGGAATGGGGTTGGAAAAGTCTGGGCATGCGTCGGTTGTGACGAACAAACAGACGGTATCGGTACTCTGGAGGTATTCGTAACAGAAACTCGGAGAGTAGAGTAGAGAAAGGCTCGAGGTTGCGGAGGATTGGACTGGTCTAAGTACGGTCTGGATGCAAGAGCCTCCGCTTGTTGTGTTTGCTCTGTTCTTCCGTGCTCCTCTCTTCCTCGGGCAGCCCAGCTCTCGAGCTTGTGCAAATTCTCGAGAGGGTGACGGGGTGACGCACAGCTCCAGCAAGACTTTGGAGGGAGAAGAGCAGCAATGGGCACCAAAAACAGGGGTTGGCGATGGTTGATACCCTGGTCGGCCAGGGTCGTTTCGGCTGGGGGGGTCTCTTTTGTGGTCGAGAGATGGTGGACGGTGGACCACGCAACGCGCACCACAGGCGAAGGATAGGTACTTCGAGTCGAATCTCAGTCTCGCACACCCACAGCTGGAGGGGCGGACTCAGGACGGAACGTGAGAAGCTGGTGCAATGCGGTGCAAGTGCAAGCAGACGGCAGGGATGGGATGACTGGAGACTTGGAGTTTGTTTGATGCCGTTGGCGGATGGCTATTCCCTGGCCGGGAGTGTCCAGGCCCAGAACTCAGGTGAGACTTGTGTGTGCACCGAGATTTGTCGGTGGGTTATGTACCCCTTCCACTCTGGCGGCCACGGTCAACTTATTACTTCCTTCCTTTAGGCTTTTATTATTTCTACCTGCCTAAGCGCTTCGATACGTATCTTACTACATCAACCTGCGGCGGGAGACATGGGCTCTGATCTGATCATGGAAAAGCGAAAGAGCCGATGGGCGTACGGAGTACTTGATACCTATGTAAGGCAGGAAGGTAGGTACTTGAGATGAATGGGAAAGAAGGTGCCCACCTCACTCAGCTGAACCTTCCTCGGAAAAGGAGAGGGTAGGAGCTAGGGTCATCCACAGGCACCAGCTGCACCAGCTGCACCAGCTGCACCTGCTGCACCTGCTGCACTTGCCGCACCTGATGTCGACTCTATGGGTTGCAGCTTCCATCCATCTTGGAAAGAGCCCCCGCTACATCTTGTTCCTTCCAATTGCCAGGTTCCCCAGGCTGAGATTAGGAAAGTGCCAAAGTGCCAAAGTGCATGCACTTTCCTTCATTCGCATGCCTTGCCTTTCCTTAGTAATGAAATATCGGAGTCTCTCTACCTTACTCTTCTTCAACACCTACCGCTTCGTAATCATACAGCGACGGGAGCGAGATTCACATCCCCATGACAGGCTACGGATGCCTGAGACGGAATACGACAACTTCAAGACCGCGGCCTCCGAGACTTCCTATCACTCCTTCTTCCAGCAACTGCACCAGCATCAGCACCACGAGCACTACGAGGACCCAAAATAACCCTGGGAACACCACCCCAAACTCGCCAAGACCACCCCAAGTACCGAGCCCAATCACGCTCTCCGCTCTACGGCGCCTCTAATGCCTGAGCTGGCTCTAATTACACATCAAGACATCCAGTTTCGCTTTCAAGCTTCTCGGGTCCCCGTTTCCAAGCACCCGCCGTACATAACGCCCATCCCTGCTGGCCGTCTTGACTCTTAGGTTCCCAAGCACCCAAGGCATGTCACTACGGCTTACCCTGTACAGTAGTCCCTATCCACCAGAGGCTCCCGTCCAACACCGTCCGGATGACTCGTCTCTATCCCATCTTGAACAGACGAACTGGCCGCCGCTACTTGCGCTCTCTAGTCACATCATTGCTCGCTCGCTCACCGTCTGCCTGTCCGTCGCTGTCGTGACCTGTAGTAACATGGCATGGTGGCAGCATCTCCGTATGGCCTTTCTAAGCACCACGATAATCCTACCCAGACATTCTGACGTGTTGTAGTCGGACAGAATGTCAGACGTCTTACTCGGCCAGCACTACACACGCCTCGATCCCCTGCGGTACCTGACCTGGGCTTCATAAAGCAATAATTCGGAAACGAAGTCTACTGTCTACGGCTGTACTCCGTCCACATAGTCCATCATCGCCTCCGCCAGGTATCATACCACAGTCCCCGTTTTTCCCATCTCATCAGTCGCAATCCTCCAAAAGTCCAGAAATCCCATCAACATGGATGGCGCCGGGCGATGGCCAGAGGTAATGCGCCAAGCTGTTTAACGCATCTGGCGGGGTTTCCCAAGGATGCCTCATCAATCCTCTATCAGCGCCAGCAATACCATTCGACCCGTTCGGATTGCAGACACCCAGGCGAATGTGGGTTGGTTCGCACCAAGCAACGGGACCAAGCATCATGCGCTTCCTTCGTCGCTGTCGATGCACTCTCACGTCTGCCCAGCCGGCCCTCCGTGTGCTAAGGAGGTAGTCGTCGCCGCCTTCACTCGGCTCTTTGCAACTTCACCCCTCTCTCCCGCGCCTCTCGGCCACTCGTCCACCTCCAACAAGTTCTTGGCAAACCACTAAAGCCCGATCCCCAGGAAGACGGAAAGAAGAGAATGAGGACGAGCATTCGAGTCGGTGTGCGCGCGCCGCCCTAGGCTGCTAACTCGCCTCCGAACCTTGCTTCTTCTCATTTCTTCTCGTTATGAGATGACATGCTTCGTCTCTGGGCCCCGGTCCGCGACTTTACAACAATTCGACCCATTCAATCCACACTTCGTGCCCAACCCATACGCCAAGCGAGAGCCAAGCCAACCGTATCTCTTTGCCTTTCTTCCACAACCCTTTCGTCTTCTTGCATTTCCTAGATCCCCAAATCATCAGTCCGACGCCTGGCTCGGTCCCGTATCGACGATGGGGGCAGCGGCTCATTCCCGCAACCTCTCTTTCGGCGCTCAAATCTCTTGGCCAGGACCCATCAATGTCGCAGGAAGCCGTCTTGGTCGCAGGAAGCCGTCTTGGTCGCAGGGGTACAATTTGAGGGGTCGGCTAGACCACGCTGCACGCTGCAGACGAGACAACGACGCAGCCCTTGGAAGGGAAATAGAGAACAAAAAGGGGATACGCTTCCAAGACACCAAGCCGGCAGGCACAAGCGGTCGGGAAAAGAGGGAGCCCATGCCAAGGCGAAACGAAGACAACGTCCACTCTTTTACCTTTCCACGCCATTCGGCACCCATCGCAGGCTGCAATGATGCCATTCGCAGCCCATTATCCCGCCCAGAATTCCGTTCCGATCTCCCGATGTTGCTTTTGCGGCTTGCCTTGGATACCCTCTCCGCCCTTGTTCACGTACCACTCCTCAGTCCTCACCGACACGGTCCCCGCTAAAACAGGAAGCGCCATATGCATCCTGCAGTCTCACCGAAGCAGAGGAGCAAGGTTCCCTATCTGTGAGCGAGCTGATGGACCAGCCAAATCACTACTTCGAGCCACGAGGTAGGCAGGGGAAGGCATATGCTCGCTATCTATCAAATATCAACATGCCGATGTTGCACGGTACGAAGACCATGGACTACCTGGTAAAGGGGCGTTTGGTGAAGTCGAAATCTTGGCATGCTACCGCTGCCGTCGCCGTTGATCAACGGAGGAAGCAACTGGAAAGACCGAGAGAAGACGGGGTTCCAAGAGCTCGCCAGAGGCAACTCGATGTCCTGAATTGTCGATGCGTCCCGATATCCTGCATTATCGCATGTCGATAATGGCCTACATTGGTTGCATTGTGAGGTCTGACAGGATCGTTTGCCTACGGCAAATGCCAATGTCTTGCGGCGGCACGCATGCCGCAATCAACCATGTTGTCCCGCGCGACTTCCTGCTTGCTTTGTGCAGCATCCCTATCTGACGTTCAACCGACACCAACCAGGAAGAGCGCCTCATGCCGGCCAAGCCCATCGAGTGTACACTTGGGCAACCTCATCGCAGAAACCCACGCAGAATTCTACGATTGCTTGCGTCAGTTCAAACGTAATGCTGCGTCCTGGCCGACATGCATGCCGATCGGCCTGCAATAACCGAGCTCCAAACGTTCATCTTTCTCATCTTCTCGTGCCCGTTTGTCCCAGTATCCCAGTCACTGGTTCGGAGGCTGCTGCAAGACGGTCCAAAAAAGACGACGTCAAGCGCGACTCGTGATCCTATCTACTCGCTCCTCTGACCTCCCACCCGTACGACCCCAACAATTCTTGGCAACCCTAGGACGGCCAGCATCACGCACACACACCCGCACAAGCACGCACACAGGGCGAAATCTGACTCGCAGAGGACACAGCCAAGACACAAGAGCACTTCTTTAGGGCAGCTAGGGAGAAATAACGTGAGACACCGTCCAACATTAAACGTCTAGCCTCTAATAGGTGGCACATGCTTGACTACCAGCCACTAGGAGAATGGGAATCAAGCTCCATTTTCCTTGCGGACCATCCCGTCCCCGTCCCGACCGATAATTTCCCCGGTCTGCCGACGCGGCGTCGGTGCGGAGGCACTACCCAGATTGGATTATCCTCCCCGGCGGGGTCCGCTCAGAGTGATAAGATCACATTGGAGCATCATCGTTGCGGCATCTTTCTTTCGCGAGGGGCATCGATCGCTCCCGCTATTTGTGAGTTCCAACCGATTCGCGCCGTGAATCATGATTGATTGCTCTTCATAGCTTCATGTTTGCCGCCGACGAAGTCTGATTCCTGACGCTTGCTTTCAATAGCTCGCAGAGGAGTGCCAGATTATCTCTAAGCAGGAGAGTCCCTGCTGCTACAATCGTGTTTCGGAAATCCCACTCCACCTCGGCAAAGAGATTTGTCTCGATAGTGATCTCTGCCGACCAGTCGTATGCAGGCAACGCTGTAACCTTCCCCGGACAACCTGCCCTTGGCATGCTCCTTGTCCAGCTTCCTTTCAGGTTATAATCCCACAAGTCTGGCGGGGAAGCGGGAAGATCAGTACGGAGTACAGGCGTATTGCGGGAGAGACAGAAAATCGACGATCATCAATTTGCGTCTGCGAAGTATCTTGATGCTTGTCGAGAAACATCGCACTTACTGAATAATTCGGGTTGGCATTCAACTTTGCTAGGAAACTCTAGCGTCAACTACGAGGCGATGAGTGAGTGGCTCGAATCTCATCACTCTCTGGCTACCTGAGTCTGGCCCCTTTTTGCGCGACGGGTACTTGACCATACTTGTTGATCAACTACTACCGACATTAGACTCATCCTGAGAGGTCCGTCAGCACGCACACTGCTGTCGCAGGTACTCTGGCCTCGAAGAGGTTCGGATGGACGTTGTACTTTGAATTCTAATTATTCCCCTTGGTTCACTTCATCCCGCCCAGCCAACCAGGTCCAGTGTTCCAGGAAGCAAAGACGCCTGAACGCCGTAACAATGCGAGTATCCCTCTACCGGGCCCTCCCATTTCTTCCCAAGTGGCTTACTTGGCCACTCCTCATCTCTCTGCCTTTTTTTGTCTCTCTCAACCCTTCGTCACACCCTCCCGGCCTCGAATCCACAGGTAACGTCAAGTGGATGAGGGGGGGAGTTTCCAACCACCTCTCGCTGGCAGGTTTTTCCTGGTAACTACACGACATACGCATATTGCCTTTTTCTTTTGCCAACATACACATAAAACCACCCCATTGGTATTTTGCTACCAACCTTTCCCAGCCTTTTTGTTTTTCCTCGGCCAGCTGTTTCGTCCACCTTGCCTTTGCTGGTTTTTAAAGGGCCCGGAGTGTATCCTTTACGATCGCTCAAGCGTACGTGCGGGACAGGTTGCGGAGGTACCAGTCGACCAGCTTGCGGCCGACCTTGGCTTCCGAGATGTGGATCAGGTCCTAGAAGGTGATGATTAGCATACTATTACGAACATGCGCAGCGGAAAATAAAAGGCTGCAGTTTCTTGGGAAATACTTACACCCTGCATAGCGTAGTCCAGGTCGCTGACGTTGATAAGGTCACCGTCCAACAGGCTGGGGTGGTCGGTCCAGCGCAGCTGCTTGGTGCGCTGCTTGTTGACGAGGAGCCAGGAGCGGAGCTCGTCGGGCTTGACCTCAAGGAAGCCGGCCAGCTTGTTGAGGTCCATGGTGGTGTAGAGACGGAGGTAGGACTTGACGGTGGGGCTCATCATGTTGATCTTGACCTCCTCCATGAAGACGGCGAGGTGGTGCTCGACGGGGTCGATGTTGGACTCGGGGTTCTCAAAGTCTGGGGGCACGGGGGAGATGAACTTGGGGCAGGCGGAGCGGAAGAGCTCCTCAAAGATGGGGAGGGACTCGGGGCCGCCGCGCTGGAGCTTGAGGAGCTGGTCGCCGTACTTCTCGCGGAGGGCGGAGTGGATGGTGTCGTCGAGGCGGGTGGGGTGGAAGGCGACGCAGATGGCGATGAGGGCGTACATTTGGTCGTTCTTCTTGGTGATGGAGTCGTACTGGGCGTTCTTTTGGAAGTTCTTTGTGCGGGAGACGTAGACGAGGATGTGGGAGAACATCTTGATGGCGTCGGCGTAGCGGTGCATCATCATGTAGGAGAAGCCAACGTAGTAGTAGGTGGTGAAGTGGGCGGCCATGACGCGGGCGAACATGGCCTTCTTGTTGAGCTCAATGTCATCGAGGGTCTTGAGGGCGAGGCTGAAGTCGCCGAGGAGGCAGTGGACGCGGAGGAGACCGATGATGGAGAAGTAGCCCAGCATGCGGTAGAGGTTCTTGGAGCCGTACTCGCCCGCGACGGCCATGGGGTCCTCGTTGCGGCGCATGGCGGCCAGCTGCTCGGTGATTTGGGAGCGCTGGATGAGAGAGTAGAGGACGTTGAGGACCGAGTAGCAGCCCCAGGTGTTTGGGTTCTCCTTGAGGACCTGCATCTCCTCCTCATTGTTGCCCTGGCGGGCGATGCGCATGCGGTAGGACGAGAAGGAGTTGAATTGGTAGATGAACTCGTCGATGACGTCCCAGGCCCAGTAGTACTGTTTGAAGACATGTTAGCTTGGTCCTAGTCTACGCATGATGATACCTTTGCGACAGCCAAGGGACATTTGGAGAAGATCGTCACTGATCCAAGTGGAAGTAGAAGCACAAGAGACTGGTGAAGGAAGCTTACCGAAGGGGGCTCGAGGTCGACGGGACCCTCGCTGTTGAGGATGAAGTGGAACAGGCTGCAGTAGGAGTCGTAGCTCTGGAACTTGACCTCGAGGGGCGCGGAGAAGTCGAGGGGCTGGGCGGCGGCGGCGAGGCGCGACTGGATGTCGTCCGTCTGCTGGGCCATGGTCAGGGAGTTGACCTGCTCGAGGTCCTCGCCAATGTTGTCCTCATACTGGACCTGCTCCTTGTAGTCGTTGACGAGGGCCTCCTCCTCGACGTCGCTGTCGTCGTCGACGCGGACGGGCCGCTCTCCGTTTTGGTAGCCGCTCATGGTGGGTGGTGGATTCTTTTCGGTGAAAGACTATTCCCACACACAAGATGTGATAGGAATAGAAATTGGAAGGAAAAAAAATTGAGGGAGAAGGGGTCCGAAAGAGGAAGGGCGCGAAAAGTTGGCGATGTCTTCAACTTTCCCGTGGGTGGTTTGGGGGAGGACAGATGGGCGGTCGGGTTCGGAGGGGGTTCACTCGACAGAGTGGGGTTTTCGGGCGGACGAGTCGAAAATTTCCTCTGGTTTTCGCTGGCTAATCCCGCGGGGGCTTTTTGCTGAGGTTATCGCAGGCACCGTTTGGGTTTGGGAGAGAGAGGGGCCAGTGAATTTTTGGCGAGTTAGGGTTTGTTGCACCCTCGGTAGAGCGATGTGTGGGGATGGACAGCCTTGGGTTGTAGGTAGCGGGGTAGATGCGATTATACGGTAGTAGAGGGGTTATGGTGGCTTTTCTTTCGGTCTTTGCGTCGTTGGAGGGGTTGAAGGGTGTTTTTTTTTTTTTTTGGCGGGGTTAGTCCGCTGAGGTAATTCCAACGTTCCTTGTGCCAGTGCCTTCCTGGGAACGTCGATTGAATCATTGGATGCCCCCTCCTTCCCCAAGGGACGAGAGAAAGAAAGAGCTGCATAGACACATACGCTATACAACATTACTCATCACTGCACCAGTTGCTCAGTGCATCCACCTCCTCGTCTTTGGGATCATATCGACTTCCCAATACACACCACTCAGCCTCAATAAAAGCTGCAGACACAAGCAACCGACAAGAGAGTCAGAGTCACTCCCCTCGTCCGTGCAAAACTTCATAACAGCAGGGTGGCGAATCAGAGCCATCTTCTTGTTCTGCGCCCAGTCTGAATTCCCATTTCGGGTCGGCCTATTAGTCACAGACCAGGGCCAATTTGGTCGTCGAATCATCATCATCAACTCACTCAGGCACTCACTACTTCTGCCAGAGACCCCCCCTGGTCAACAACGACATCATCTGCCTTGGGAAAACTACAATACATATTTCCCAGCACTGGCCTTCATATTCCAGGCTAAGGAGGGAGACACCACAAAGACTTCCAGACCTAGTTTCTCATTCACTCTGTTTCTTTCATCCGGCATTGCTTTCTGTCCATATATCTTTTGATACCCCCTTGAACCCCTCTCCCACCACTCTTCCTCCACCACACATCCGCCCATCATGCCTGTTGTAACCCCCGACAAGCTGGCCAGCCTACAACGGCATGCCGTGGATGTGCGAAATGTAAGTTCCAGCCTCACCTCATAGGCCTCATATCACCTCAGTAGCTGACCCATACCAGATCTGCATCCTGGCTCACGTTGACCATGGCAAAACATCCCTGACAGATGCCCTCCTGGCAACAAACGGCATCATCTCACCCAAACTCGCCGGCAAGATCCGGTACCTCGACTCCAGGCCCGACGAGCAACTCCGAGGCATCACCATGGAATCCTCCGCCATCTCCCTCTACTTCTCCATGCTGAGAAGATCCGCACCTGACGCCGAGCCCGAAGCCAAGGAGTACCTCATCAACCTCATCGACTCGCCCGGCCACATTGACTTTAGCAGCGAGGTCTCCACGGCCTCACGCCTGTGCGACGGCGCCGTCGTGCTCGTTGACGCTGTCGAGGGTGTGTGCAGTCAGACCGTGACTGTCCTGCGCCAGACATGGACCGAGAAACTCAAACCCCTGCTTGTTATCAACAAGATTGACCGCCTCATTACCGAGCTCAAGATGACGCCTGCCGAGGCCTACACTCATCTCAGCAAGATTCTCGAGCAGGTCAACGCCGTGCTGGGAAGTTTCTTTCAGGGCGAGCGTATGGAAGAGGATCTCAACTGGCGCGAGCGAATGGAAGAGCGCGTCCAGGCGGCGGCTGCCAAGGAGGCTGGTCTGGATTCCATGACTGAGTCTGGAGAGCTTCAGTTTGAGGAGCGCGATGATGAAGATCTCTACTTTGCGCCGGAGAAGAACAATGTCATTTTCAGTAGCGCCATTGACGGTTGGGCGTTTACCGTGCGCCAGTTTGCCGGCTTATACCAGAAGAAGCTCGGCATCAAGAGAGATGTCATGGAAAAGGTGCTATGGGGTAGCTTCTACCTTGACCCCAAGACCAAGAAGATCCTGGGTCAGAAGCATCTCAAGGGAAGAAACCTCAAGCCCATGTTTGTGCAGCTGGTTCTGGAGCCAATCTGGACCGTCTACCAGGCCACCGTCGGCGGCGACAACAACAGGGGCGACCCCGCGCTGCTAGAGAAGATTACAAAGTCCCTCGGACTCACTATCCCTCCTCACATCATGCGCTCCCGAGACCCGCGTCTGCTCCTGACTACAGTCTTTGCGTCCTGGCTCCCGCTGTCGACAGCCATGCTCGTCTCCGTCATCGAGTCTCTGCCTTCTCCCCCAGTCGCGCAAGCCGAGAGACTGCCCGAGATGCTGGAAAACGTCCCCGGCTCAGACGCCATCAACGAAGAGATCAAGGACGCCATGATCTCCTTCAAGACAGGCCCTTCAGATCCCGTTGTGGCCTACGTTAGTAAAATGGTTTCCGTCCCCGAGAGCGAACTCCCTCACAACAAGCGCAAGCCGGGCCAGTTGACCGCCGATGAGGCGAGGGAACTCGCCCGCAAGAAGAGAGCGGAAGCGGCCCGCGCCCAAGCTGCCGCCCCCTCGAGCGGAAACGCAATCAATGAACTCACGACGGCGCTCGAGGAGGTCAACCTAGACGGCTACGCCCCGGAGCACGAAGAGAAAGAGATCGACCCCGAGCACCTCATCGGCTTCGCGCGCATGTACTCGGGCACCCTCTCCGTCGGCGACAGCCTTTGGGTCATCCCGCCCAAGTGGTCCCCCGCCAACCCCAACGCCCAGCCCTCACCGAAACAAGTCACCGTCACGGCGCTCTACATGCTCATGGGTCGCAACCTAGAGTCCCTCGACTCCGTCCCCGCGGGCGTCGTCTTCGGTATCGGCGGTCTCGAGGGCCATCTCCTCAAGAACGGCACTCTCTGCAGCCGCCTCGACGGCGCCGTCAACCTCGCCGGTGTGGCGGGCACGCTCGGCAAACCCATCGTCCGCGTCGCCCTCGAGCCCGTCAACCCGGCCGACCTTGATAAGATGATCCACGGCCTCCGCCTCCTTGTCCAGTCCGACCCCTGCGCAGAGTACGAGCAGTTCAGCAGCGGCGAGCACGTCCTCCTCACCGCCGGCGAACTGCACCTCGAGCGCTGCCTCACGGATCTCAAGGAGCGCTTCGCCCGCTGTGACATTCAGGCCGGCGCCCCCATTGTGCCCTACCGCGAGACCATCGTCCGTGCCGAGGAGATGAGGCCCCCCGCGAACAAGGAGCTCGGCCGTGGCGTCGTCGTCGGCACCACCTCCTCCAAGCAGGTCTCCATCCGCCTCCAGGTCCGGCCTCTGCCGTCCGACGCCACGGAATTCCTCCTCAAGAACGGGGACGTCATCAAACGCATGTACTCAGATCGCACAGCCGCCGCCAACTCCACAACGACCGAAGGCGAGACGACCGAAGGGACCCAGGGTACCGAAGGCACAGACTCCGCCGCTGTCCCTGGTGAAGCCGCAGACGACGTCGACACAGACCTAACAGCCGCAAAGACAATGTCTCTAGACGACTTCAAAACAGGCCTCCAATCCGCCCTCGAATCCTCCCGCACCGGCCGCGAACACTTCAAATCCACAATCGACCGCATCGCCGCCTTCGGCCCCCGCCGCACCGGCCCCAACATCCTCATCGACGCCACAAAAGAAGGCCTTCTTGCAAAGCTCTTCTCCCAAACGTCCACCGAACGCGACGGCGCAGCAGCAGCACCCCAAGCAGACGAAGCCCTCCACCCCTCCCACGTAGCCGACAAAATCCCTTACGCTTTCCAGCTCGCCACAGCCCAAGGACCCCTCTGCCACGAACCCGTCCGCGGCATCGCCGTCTTCCTCGAAGACGTCATCGCCAACCCCACCGACGACGACGCCTCCGCCCGCGACCGCCTCCCCCGCCTCACTGGCGAAATCATCAAGACCTTCACCGCCACCCTCCGCTCGGGCATGCTCGACTGGTCCCCGCGCCTCATGCTGGCAATGTACACGGTCGAAATCCAAGCGTCAACAGAAGTCCTAGGCCGCGTCTACGACGTGCTCACACGCCGCCGCGGGCGCGTCCTCTCCGAGGCCATGAAGGAAGGCACACCGTTCTTCAGCATCAACTCTGTGCTCCCCGTGGCCGAATCCTTTGGCTTCGCGGACGAGATGCGGAAACGGACGTCGGGCGCGGCACAGCCGCAGCTTATTTTTGCGGGGTACGAGGTTCTTGACCAGGATCCGTTCTGGGTGCCGTTTACCGAGGATGATTTGGAGGATTTGGGCGAGTTGGCGGATAAGGAGAATGTGGCGAAACGGTATATGGATGGTGTGAGGAGGAAGAAGGGGTTATTGGTTGAGGGGAGGAATGTTGCTAGGGATGCGGAGAAGCAGAAGACTCTTAAGAGGTAGTGTTTGTCGTGGGGCTTTGGGAATGTGATGGTTGAGCAAGAAAGGGTTTGATAGAAGTAGAAGCCTGTGGTTTCTTGAAGAATACTGAATTCACCCAACTGTACCTTTTGTGATATCTGATGAACCCACCCACCTGTTATTGTTCCTTCACGTATCTCGTCCAGGGCCTCAATTTACCCGCAAAGCAGTAACAATATCATGACCATCACACCACTGCCACAGTAGTAACTCGAGAAGGCAGCAAAGTTTTTTATACTTTTGTATTTCATTCCCTTGCTTATCATCTATTTTGCACCTCCACGCGCAGCGCCAGGCTCACTAACACCTTTCCCATCATCTGCCCCTTCAGCAATCAGCCTCCCACCACAGTCATAAGAAACACAATCCATTTTAAAACCTCCCCTCGGTAGTAAAAAGAGAAGAACAGATCTCAAATGAGATCAGCTCGCCATCATCATTCTGGTATCGAAGGAGCCGTGGTAGAAGGGTGAAATAGAGGGAAACTGGAGAAAAAGGACGAGGAAGAACAGGAACTTGTCATCTCAAAGAAGGGCTTACGAGCGTGAATAATCATCAAAATAAATGTAAACAGCCGGGAGAGAATTTCATAACTGAAGGGCAAATCATCTATCGTTGCACGCAGAAAAAAGGACGGAGAAAGAGGAGGGAAAAAGAGCCATGTAGAACTTTGGTTGAGACTTTTGTGTTTGGATTCCTTTTGAAGCTCCTTGTTTGCAACTAAGAGCTGAGTGTGAATCCTGGCGGATCGGTATGGTAGGTAAGGTAGGTCTGTTACTTCGCTGGGGCCCATGAGAACCCCTTGGGCAAAGAAGGGTCTCGAGGTACAGCAGAGGGGAGAGGAGACAAAGGAAAAAGTTGAGCGAGAATAAAAAAACAACATGGTCATGATCCCCTTTTCTTCCAACATCCATGAGCCCTTTTTTTTTTAGTAACCACTTCGCAAACTCCGATGAATGCGTGCGAAAGTGCGCGCCTTCTCCAGTCGTTGAGTCGAGGAGACCTATCTTGCCCAAAGGATGGCAAGCCACCTGAGCCAGAGACCGCAGAGGGTGCTGAGTAAAAAAGGAAAGTGTTTTTTTATTTCCTTCAGCAAATCCGTAGTGAGCCAGTTTTTGTCGTCTGTCGAAAAGCAAAGTATCGGAATAGAGAATTCATGCCCTTCAAGCCCCTAGTAAGCGGTTCGTGGCGTAAAGTCGTTCGTCAGAATCGTATTCGGAGTCGTCTGGGTATATGTGATGACGAGAAATGTCGTCTAGGCCCCGCAGGCAAACACGTGGGAGCATCTTCTCGGCGATAATTGCCGACTCGACTGCGGCCTTGACCGCACTGGGTCCAGCCGGACGCTGAAGGATGAATGGACTGTGCACGCCCACCTCCTAGGCAGTGCCACGGGGTCCAACATTGCGGCGGCCCTTGTTGGGGACCGTGGTCCAACCATCGTCCTCCACAGGGGCAGCATCGCCAGACTCACTGCCAGCAGCAGCCGGGGCCTGCTTCTCAGCAGGGCCGTTGGAGCGAGGGGGGCGGCCTCCTTCAAATCGGCCACCACCACGAGGTCCACCACGTCCACCGCGGGGTCCAGTCGGGGCACCACGGGAGGCACCAGATGATCTCCAGCTGTTAGCCTCAGCAGCACGAGACTTGGGGGCAGCCTCCTTGGGCTCTCTTGGCTCCTTGGCTCTGACGGGAATCTTCTCCTCAGATGTGCCGTTCTCCTTGTCAGCGGCATCCTCTTGGGCGACCTCCTCCTTGGGAGCCTCGGCAGCTTCCTTCTCGGCCTTCTCCTTGGCAGCAGCCTCTTGCTCAGCCTTCTCCTCGGCCTCCTTAAGAGCGGCCTCCTTAAGAGCGGCCTCCTTGGCAAGGCGACGCTCCTCCTTGGCCTTCTCGTCGGCCTCGCGCTTCTCCTTGGCCTGTTGTTCCTTCTTCTCTTCAATCAGACGCTCCTTTGCAGCAGTGTCGATAGGACGGGCAGCACCGAAGGGGCTGGCCTTGGAGTCAGTTCCGGAGGGAGACGTAACGTCGGGAGCCTCGGAAACGGTGCGCTTCGCCAAGTTCAACCTGGGGCGGCCGACGGGAGCGGCAGGGGCGGCTGAAGGGGAAGAAGGCGCCTCGCTGCCGTCGCGGGACTGGGCAGCATCGGGGCGCATCTTGGTTCTCCACTGGCTGTCGGTCTCGGCGGCAGTGGGGACTCTCTCGGGGCGGGGAGGACGGGAGTCCTGGCGGGGTCCCTGACCCTCGCCCCAGGCAGCAGGGGACTGGCGGCGGTCGCGGAATTCGCGGGGTCCATCGTTGGTACGGGGACGGCTGCCATCGCGGGAGCCAGAGCCCTCCTTGGGGGCAACGGGGGAAAGGGGGCCTCTGCGCTCCCAGTTGCCAAAGTCGCGGACCTTTCCGTCGTCCTCACGGGGCTCACGAGGCTCACGGGGGCCACGGCGCTCGCCAAAGTCGGAGGGGCGACGATCATTTCCACCACGTCCAGGCAAGTCGGGCAGGGGACCCTTGCGGGACCAGTCACTGAAGTCGCGGTTGGATTCGCCGTCACGGTTACCACCACGGGCTTTGAAAGTGTCAGCTTTCAACCTTGAGTCAACCTCGGGACATGTACTTACGAGGATCGGCAACCTTGATTCTGATAGCACGTCCCTGGAAAGTCTGGCCATCCAGAGTCAAAGCCTGCTTCAGTCCCTCAAGATCCTGGAACTCGGCGTAGGCGAAGCCCTTGGGGCGCTGCTGCTCGCGGTCCTCGATGATGCGGACGCTAATGATGTTGCAGCCCTCGAAGAACTCGTTGACAGTCTCCTCGGTGGCATCGTAGGACAGGTTGCCAAGGTGGGCGGTGTAGGGGGGTCTCTCGGGGAGCTGCTGGGGAAGGTTCTCGCGGATGGAAGAGTAGCCGCCATAGTCTCCTACACACTGATTAGATGTGCCCATTTACATCTTTTCAAGATGAACTCACTGCGCTCGGAACGGTCACCGCGGTCACCGCCGCCGCTACCCCAGCCACCTTGGCTGGGACGGTAGCCAGCGCGCTCGGGGGCGGGGAGAGCCTGAGTGCCTATTAAGATGTGTCAGTGGTTAGGCAACAAAACTTGTGCGGCGCCAAACCGGCTCGTAGAAATGTCGCATACCAGCTACAGGACGTTAGCATTTGCTTCCAATATGGCATGTTTTAGGCGATATAACTCACTGTACGTATCCTCGACCTCATCAGCCCATGATCCGCCGTAGCCTATATAAAGTGTCAGTCGATGATGTGCTAATTCGATATTCGAGCAAGAAAAGAAGTCGGCGGTAGCAGTTGTCGAGGGAGCGTTTGTGAAAAGGATTGTCGGAGGGGGTGCGACTGACTGGAGTCCTGCAGGAAGTCGCCAAGGGCCATCTTGACCTGCTCCTTCTTCTTGGGCGCTATGATGACACGGTCAGTCTTGGTACAGGCGGGAGACTTCGCAGCAGCTTGCGACGGCGAGCAGGGTAGCACGAACCCATGATTGCGGTGTTGAGACGGCTTCGCGCGTCGAGTATGATCGATGCGCGATGCGGGGAGTATGTAGAAGAGCCGAACGGCGTGGGTGTTGGTTAGAGATGCGGATTTGGTGGGAGCGTTGGTGCGGAGAGGATTGGAAATGTCCGAGGGATATTTGGCAGTGTCGTGGGGGGGAGATGTCGCCTAAGTAAAGGGATATCTCTTGACACCGGAGATGGATAAAGTCTTTTTTGTACGATACGTCAGAGGGTATCGGAGACGTAGTAGACTTGGTAAAAACGGCCCAGCTTGCGGTGATTTGCTGGGGCTGGTGGTCTCTTTGGGGGGGGGAAGAAAGGGTCGAAGTTTTACCCGCGCAGCTGAGAGGCAGAGGGTGATTGAAAGTTTGTGAGGGTTGGACAATTTTCTCGAGGTGGCCAGGAGTGGGAGGCACTAGCCCCGCCGCGGCCTAGTTCACTTTTTCAACCTAGCGCCCCGCCAAAGACGCTCGGGCCAGGATCACCGGGAAACCCCGTGATTGAACAATTCCCATTTATGAAAGAGGGGCTGTTTTTTCTTCGCTTTTTTGCAGTGTTCCACAGCCTGCTGCCCACCTTACACTGGTACTGAACAGTGCCACGAGTGCGGCGTGCCCAGTGCTTCCAGTGACTTCAGCGGGGTGAGCCTTGGGGCCTCAGCGTTTTTCCCGCCTGTGTTTCCCCCTCCACTCCCCTCCATCCCTCCCTTCCCGCTCAACTTCCCATGCCATGCCCATCGCGCCCTGTGCTGTGCCACGGATGGCCCCCTTCACTGCTGTTGGTACGGATCTTATCGGTACCCAGGTACAAGGTACAAGCTTGGGGTCATCAACTTGGAAGGAGAAAAAAAAAGTGAATGATGTGCGCCTGCAGTTGAACATCACCCCCGCCTTTCTTGCATCTATCGGGTCTGCACGGTTCAATCTCGTTTTGAGCCGCACGAAACATTTGGACAACGTCGCCAACTCGCTTGATTACCACTACCCCGTTTGATGCATGTATTCTACCCTTGCCCAAAGCTTCCAGAACAACCTACATATCTGCATCGGGCCCATCGACTGTAAGTCAGCTCATCGTCATCTCATTTTGTGCTGCAACCCGATCTTTCAGTCTTTCATCATGTCAGATGAAGCGAGAGATGGCACAGAAGAGCACAGGCAGAGGCGGCAGCCTCGAGGTTTGCTGCCACCAGGGTTGGTCGATCTCTTGGGTCCGCCCCTGAAAGTTGGTGCAATGACTGGTAGGTGATGACGTCGGAGGTAGAACCCCATCAGATTAATTCTCTGAGGGCTGCCTCATTTCGAAGCAAAGCGCGGTTCTACAGCTGACATCTTCGACAGGCACCATTGGCATGTTCAGTGGCATTGCAGCCGGCATTATCCGGGACTCCACACCAGCTCTGTTCGCGGTAGCATCTGGTATCCAGTGGTTCGCCCTCGGTTCAAGTTACTGGCGTATGTAGCTGGATCTCTCATATTCTTCATGACGGCGTACTGAAATTTTTGCGATAGTCTCGAGGTCTGTAGTTATGGCCGCGTGGGGCGGCGAAGAGAAGCTCTCCAACTCATCCAAGATCCAAGCAAGTGCCCTTGCAGGAGGCACGGCAGGAATGGTCGGAGGGCTGATTCGTAAGTACTCTCTTCCTGAGATATTGACCGTCTCTAACGCTCATCAGGTGGTCCGAAAAACATCATCCCAGGAGTCATCGTGTTCTCCCTCATCGGAGGAACGGGACAAGCCTTTGTGAACGCATCGCAAGGCAGACCGGAGGTTACGGAAAAGAAGAAGAGCATCTTCGAGTCAAGTTGGAGCCCTCTGAAGAAGCTTTCAGATGACGAGTACCGCGACATGATTGATGAGAAGATGCTTAGGATAGACGCCGAGATCGCTCTCATTGACGAAAAGATTGTAGAGCTTCGCGCCGCAAAGGCAGCAGCTCCTCCGCCACCCCCGAAGGACGCAGCACAGCCACCAGATGCCCGATAGCAGACATTTCGTCTGTTTCATCACCGTGTATAACTCTGTCAGCATTACAACTGTAAATTGTACCAACAAGCAAGATTTATTTACCCTTTCTTTCTTCATAGAGGAGCCTTTTCATGCTTGTTTCAAGGAGCCAGCTCTTCCTCAATATTTCCATATCTGTAATGCACTTATGTTGTCCATCACGTAACACCAGATGGAGATCTCAGAGTGTCAGATGGAGTTGCACCCAACTTGGGACTACCCCTGGCATCATTATCGCGCTGACGTTGATTGGCCAGACATGCATCCAACCTAGCCTCATGCGATTGGATACATCTTCAAGAGTGAGCATCCGCGGCTCAAACACTCCTCTCACATCAGCAACGGCATGACCTCGTAACGGTCATTTTTCACTGTCAATAGCTTTGTAATCAATTAATGCTCATATAATTTATACACTATGAGGCTAATAAATACTTCAACACTGCAACTCGAAGACTTCTTCGACTCAGATCTCCCCAAATATGCCATCCTCTCACACACATGGGGCACCGACGAGGTCACCTTCCAAGAATGGCTGCTATGGCAAGAAGACGACCTGGGCTCCCGCAAACGCATCAACTCCAAGCGCGGGTTCCAAAAGATTACAAACACGTGCCGCATCGCCCGGCAAGAAGGCATCAGCCACGTCTGGGTCGATGCGAACTGCATCGACAAGAAGAGCAGCGCCGAGCTCTCCGAGGCCATCAACTCCATGTTCGCCTGGTATCGCGGCGCCTCCATCTGCTACGTCCACCTCGAAGACCTCGAGCCCGGCGGGACAAGGGTCGACCTACGCCAATGCCGGTGGTTCACGAGGGGCTGGACGTTACAGGAGCTGCTGGCGCCCGCGGATATGACGTTTTACGATAGCACGTGGGAGCCCATCGGGACCAAAGAAACTCTCGCGTACCCCATTGCTTCCATCACAGGCATCGACGTAGATGTCCTCATTTATCCGCAGACCCTCTCCTCCGCCTGCGTCGCCAAAAGAATGTCGTGGGCGTCCAGCCGCCGGACGACGCGGACTGAGGACACGGCTTACTGCCTTCTTGGCATCTTCCAGATCCACATGCCTCTTTTGTATGGCGAGGGCCACGAGGCCTTTCGCAGGCTACAAGAAGAAGTCATGAAGGTCTCAACGGACCAGAGCCTCTTTGCGTGGGACTGGACCGAGAAGACAATGGACCCCCGCCGCGACCTCTGGGTCACGTTGCTGGCGCCGCACCCCTCGGCGTTCTCGGGTTGCGGACAGGTCGTGAAATGCAGAACCGCCGCGGACGACAACTGGTCCCTCGGAAAGGAATTCACAATGACCAATCTAGGTTTGAGTATGACGCTGCTCCTCATCAGAACAGCTTCCTCAACGACGGTCTACGCCGCCATCAACTGCAAACACGACATGAAGAACCACGACGATACCGTCATCTGCATCCCACTCTGGACTACCTCCTTCACATCGACATTTGGTCGGCACAGGTCCAGACCGCAGGCGAACCTCCCGATCCCGCTGGCCAACGTGTCCATGCCCACCCGGTACGCCGCGCGCCGCCAGCAGCAGGCCGGCCGCGCTTCTTCGGTCTCGGTGTCATACTTCCCGCGCTTCTCCGAGCTGCCGGGCTTCAAAATGTCAAGGTCTTTTCAGAAACAGGTCCTGCCGGCATACGACGTCGAGCGTGGCAGGACGCCAGAATTACTCTTCCAGCTGTTCTCGTGTAACGACGCGCTGGCGTCGTGGCAGGTTGGCGACGACGCGGAGGCCGATCCGCAGGAGTATCTGCAGACGGCGGCGCACGCGAGCAAGACGTTTGCGGGGAAGGAGGTTCATGCTTTTTGTGTGAATCTCGTTAATCATGGTGGCGGCAGCAGCAGTAATGGACCCAACGGCGCCGGGGCTAAGCCGCGGCGGTGGTGTCTCATCATCATGTGGTGCGAGGCGTCCGGGTGGAAGAGGGTGTTTTTCAAAGAGGACAAGGGTAAGAAGGTCTCGCCGGAAGCGAGGAAGCGGTTCATGGACTTTTTGCTCGAGACGTCGTGGTTTGCGTTGCATGGGGATACAGCTGCGTGTGATGGGTTGAAAGTTGAGGTTGGGATGAAGCATGATCCTCCGAGGGATGGGTATTGCCCGGTGGTGCCTTTGTATTTTGATAGAGATTACTAAGTGATTAAGATCCCATGTCAAATGTGACGACGAAGGAGAAGACTGATGCTCAGCTACTAGCTTACTTGAATGGCCACATGCTATCAGAGTACCGCGGACATGACTCGTCTTTGAAGCCGCCGTTGACTTGTCAGTTGGCTAGGTTTGTTCCCCATTAGCCCCGGATTTTCCAACGGTCAAGTTTACCTGACAATTAGTAGTGTAGTTGATAAGCGGAATAGACATGTTTCGAGGTTTCGCATGTAAATGATATGCTTGAAAATGAGAAAGTCATAGACTTCACATTACCTTCGATCCTTGAACCTGGTCGCCTAACTCGACCCTGATGATATCTAAAGGCAAGCTTGAAATTGTCTAGATCTGGGGCAGGCTGGCATTCGTTTCATTTGGCAATGGGAATAGGAGGGGGAAGGCTGATCCTCCCCCCTGAGGCTGCTGGCCCTTGCACTTAGGTATCCATGCACCCTGCCGTGCTTGCTTATCTCACCCACCGAAACAATATCTCGGTCTAAACTTGGTTGTTCAGGTAGTCCCTTCGTAAGTCCGAAGGCTTACATCTCGATAGCAATTGCAGGGAGAAAGGATATTGGGGAGGCGCGCTTGCTGCACGTGCTAGATCCTTGGAGCAGCCCTAGCTTCGGCGGTAACAAGGACAAGGGGGGATAGCCAGGCAAGAAGACAGGCACAAGCACATTGTGAGGCGTAAGGCGATGGTACCGTCCGATGCAGCGGCGCATTGATGGGTTGAGCTGGAGCATGAGCACGGCCCCTCGCTGATGCAAGAGAATGTGGTGAGGTGCATACGAAGTGTTAGGTAGTGTGAGTGATGCAAGTAATTGTTGAACTGATGGAGGAGGATCTCCGATGTGATGCTCCAGGGCGGCTGGTACCACGCGGTGACAGGCAGGTG